CGTTTTGGGCCTAGTAAGCCTCCCTGCACTTACCTGGGAGCCAAAATGGGGTGTGTGGGAACTCCTGGAAGGGGCAGGGAAGGGAGGGGCCAGTCAGCAATTTAGCTACTAGTTTGCTCGAACCGGCCCAAACTGGCTGAATCCCACCTTGGTCTCACTTTCAGCAGAACTTTTAAAAGTTCTCTTCCTTTTCATTTAACCCATAACATTCATTTTCCCATCTATGATCCTGGTCACTGCCTAACAAAGACTTTTGATGGACTTCCTAAATTGATGAATAGGAATTATATTCTGGCTTTCCACTATACAGTAACTCCAGGCAACCACTGAGGTCATTGTCTGAACTGAACAAATGAACTAGAAAGGTAACGTTTGGGTTATCTGGCACCACTGAGAGCTTTCTACCGTTCCATTTCTCCCATGTGCAAACCAGCCGGAAATGAAAGCAAACTTCTGAACTTTTAAACACAAAAGAAAGAAAAGCCCACAGTTTTACTCTTTTCCTGTCCTTGGAACTAGGACAGGAAAAGAGTAAAACTGTGGGGTTTTCTTTCTTTTGTTTTTGGAAAGTGGCAAAATGTTTGTCAGTTTCATTGGATTTCTTTTATATCTACATCCATATATCTATATGTACAGGTAGATATAGATATATATAATCTCTGTCTCTTTATCCGGTCCCTAACTACCAATCAATTCCAACAGTTAGCTCAAGCCCGAGACAAACGGAGGACTTATCTGAAGACTTCGGTGTCCGGAGATGACAGCCCGAGGAATCGAGACCAACTGCAGAAGTCAACGCCCCCAGTGAAATCCAGGAGGTTCCATTGGCGGAGTGGGGAGAAACAGGAGGTCCCTCTGACCCGCTCAACACCATGCCTCGAACTGAACTGTGCAGGTCTACTAGGGTCCGGACATTCCTTGGTCACCTGCGCGATTTTGTATGTAAATGTATATCCCAAGTGCCTTCTAGGGAGGGAGGGGTGTTATGTCTCTATATCATCTATATGTTGTGGCCCGCCAGCAGCAAGCAGAGCTGGCAGCAGATTCGGACAGTGAGGAGATTGGGGAGGAACGTGGGCCAGTCCTGGAATCTGAGGAAGGCTTGGATGATGGCTCTGAGTTGGAGACAGAAGGAACGAAGTCCATCTGTTAGTTCTTTGCTGCCTCCGGAGTCTCCGGAGTCTGACATCAGCGAGGCAGAAAAACAGCGTGAGCCTGTTCCCAGTATGCGCATGCGCAGAGCTGCCAGGAGACGGGAACAATTAAGGAAACAGGATCGACTTGGGAGTAAGGCTTGGAGATGATTGGCCCCTCCCATAAGACATAAAAGAGAAGTGAACAGGACGTGAGCTTTTGCAGGAAGCAATTTGTTATGTATATAGTTTTGGTGGGAAAGTTTGAATGTAATTGCTCTCAGCTGATTGGCTGATTGCCAGGACTGTAAGGTATATAAAGGGAGCTATTTCCCTGGGTCAGTTGCTGGATTCACACCATGAAATAAAGAGTGTTGTTACTCACGACCTGGCTTCTGTGTCCTCATTCACCCTACTTAACACAATTAGTTCATCTGGTCAGTAAAAACTCTGGAAAAGCTCTGTTTGACTCTGTGCTAAGTTTGGCCTTGCCCTGAGTTTGGCAATTAGTTCTCTGGCAGCTTTCCAAGGGAGATAAGGTCAGTGTTTGTAAACACTCCTCTGAAAGACTGTTTATCAAGCCTTGCGGACTGTAAATAAAAGTAATCTTCAGCCGTAGGAATTAAAGAGGTTTGCCGGGACTAAGTTTATGCTGTTTACTTCCTAAGGAAGCCTAGGTCAGAACACTATATATCTATATCTTCTTAGGCTTGACTTTCTAACCGCCACACTCCGCCGCAGGGAGGCGGAACAGACCAGATGGTTCCGCCCCAGGCGCCTGATGGATCCTGATAGGTTCCAGATGGAGCTTGGGCCATTTCCTGAGGCTCTGACTCATGGCTCGGCTGAGGAGCTGGTGGCTGCCTGGGATAGGGCGGCTACTGACGCTTTGGACCGAGTCGTGCCTGTGCGGCCCCTGACCTGTCTCCGAGTCTACCTGGCTCCTTGGTTCTCTGAGGAGCAGAGGGAGATGAAGCACCAGAAAAGACGCCTAGAGAGCAGTTGGAGATCTAGTCGCTCCGAATCTGACCGAACACTGGTAAAATCTCATATTAAGACTTACCTAGTGGCGATAAAAGCGGCAAAATGTCACTATTTTTCCACTCTTATCGCATTGGCAGATAATCGCCCGGCCGCCCTGTTTAGGGTGACCCGCTCCCTCCTCCATCTGGGAGCACGGGAGGCTCCCTTGCAGGGTCGTGCTGAGGATTTTGTCCAGTATCTGCACGATAAAATCACTCAGATTCAGGAAGGTTTGGTCTCTGATTGGGTAGGTATGGACGGGATGATGGATGCCGGTCTTGAGACTGCCATTTGGGAGGAGTTTGACCCTGTTGCTCCCGAGGACGTGGACAGGATACTGAGGCAGCTGAACGCGACCACATGTTTATTGGACCCGTGTCCCTCCTGGTTGGTCCTGGACTCCCGGGTGGTTACTCGAGGCTGGCTCCAGGGGATTATCAACGCTTCCTTGAGTGAGGGTGTCTTGCCATCTGCCTTGAAAGAGGCGGTGGTGAGGCCCCTCCTCAAGAAGCCTGCTCTGGATCCAGCTGTTTTGGCTAACTACCATCCAGTCTCCAACCTTCCCTTCTTGGCGAAGGTTGTTGAGAGTGTGGTGGCACGACAGCTTCCTGGGTACCTGGATGAAGCTGTCTATCTGGATCCGCTCCAGTCTGGCTTCAGGCCTGGGCACAGCACGGAAACGGCATTGGTCGCATTGGTGGATGATCTCTGGAGGGCTCGGGATAGGGGTTGCTCCTCTATCCTGGTCCTGTTAGATCTCTCAGTGGCTTTTGATACCATCGACCATGGTATCCTGCTGCGCCGGTTGGAGGGGTTGGGAGTGGGGGGCACCGTTCTGCAGTGGTTCTCCTCCTATCTCTCCAACCGGTTGCAGTCGGTGTTGGCAGGGGGGGCAGAGGTCGACCCCGAGGTGCCTTGTTTGTGGGGTGCCTCAGGGGTTGGTCCTCTCACCCCTTCTGTTCAACATTTATGTGAAGCTGCTGGGTGAGATCATCCGTGGCTTTGGGGTGGAGTTCCATCAGTACGCTGATGATACTCAGCTGTACATCTCCACCCCAGGCCATCCCAACGATGCCCTTGAAGTGATGTCCCGGTGCCTGGAGACCGTGCGGCCCCCACGGACAGGGCTTGCAACTTGGGCATCCTCCTGGATGCACGGCTGTCTTTAGAAGAGCATATGACAGCCGAAGCCAGGGGGGCTTTTTATCAGGTCCGCCTGATTCGCCAGTTGCGTCCCTTTCTGGATTGGGACTCCTTACGCACAGTCACTCAGGCACTCGTCACTTCCCGCCTGGACTACTGCAATGCTCTCTACATGGGGCTCTCCTTGAGGAGCACCCGGAGGCTCCAACTGGTGCAGAATGCAGCCGCGCGGGGGATTATGGGAGTGAGGGGATGCTCCCATGTGACACCTCTCCTGCGTGAGCTGCATTGGCTTCCAGTGGTCTTCCGGGTGCGCTTCAAGGTGTTGGTTACCACCTTTAAAGCGCTCCATGGCATAGGACCTGGGTATTTGCGGGACCGCCTTCTGCCGCCGATAGCCTCCCACCGACCAGTACGCTCCCACAGAGAGGGACTCCTCAGGGTGCCGTCGGCCAGGCAATGTCGGCTGGTGACCCCCAGGGGGAGAGCCTTCTCTGTGGCAGCTCCTGCCCTCTGGAACGATTTGCCCCTGGAGATACGAAGGATATCGGATCTCCGGGTCTTTCGCCGTGCCCTGAAAACTTTTCTTTTCCATCAAGCAGGGCTGGCGTGACCCCCCCCCCTTCTTTAGTCTTTTTTAGTTTTTTAGCTTTTAAATTGTCAATGGGTTTTAATTTGAATTGTTTTAAATTTGGGCCAAAGTTATGTAATTCTTTTAATAATTTTAAATTTTGTATTGGTATGTGTCTTAGTTCTGGCTGTGCACCGCCCTGAGTCCACTGGGAGAAGGGCGGTATACAAATTGAATCAATCAATCAATCAATCAATCAATATCTATATCTATGGTATTTATATCTATATCACTCTTTATCTCTCTATCTCTATCTCTCTATCTCTATCTTTCTATCTCTATCATCTCTTTATCACCCTCCCTTTCTGTATCTCTTTCTTTATCTCTACCTCTATCTATATAGCTATATTTATCTAATCTATCTCTCTCCCCCCCTTTCTCATCTAATTTATATCTATACATTGATCTATATCTGTCTAATCTTTATTATCTAATCTATATCTATATTTATATTTATCTATCTATATCTATGTCTATCTCTCTGTCCATCTCTATCTATCTATCTATCTATCTATCTATCTATCTATCTATCTATCTATCTATCATCTATCCATCCATCCGTACAGTTGTCAAAGTTGAGAAAGACACTTCTAAAACTTATCATGACTTTTCTACATTAAAAAGTTTTATCGAAGTTTGGAGTGTGAATCATCCCAGGGGAAGGAACTGCAGCTGGATCCTTTGGTCAACATGTTTTCTCTGGCCCTGCATTGGTGTCACAGAGAAAATCGAGCCTGTCGTCAGGACTGGTGTTCTTTGCCTTATGATTATCAAAATCACCATCATTTTCTCTTCTTAAAAAGAACCCCAGGGACCTTTGCCAAGATCGTCTTTAAGTTGAGCATCAACAAGAGCAGGTGATGTTTTCCATCCAAGGCTGCATAGACTGATTCCTCTTGTCTACTAATGCTGGATTTTGACCAAGGTCCAACTCAGGGGAAGAAGACTTAAGGTTTCTCCACTCCTATCCTCTCTGGAAAGGAATCAAAGGCTCAAGAGGTCTTGGAGAGCTTCTCCTCATGGTCCTAATCAGTTGTGAAGCCGGAAAATTCTTCTAATCCTCATCAGAAATGTTGCTGGTGTTTACCCTGCTTCTGCTGCTTCTACTACAGATAACCTGTGGGATGTGGAAGACCAAATGCTCCTTGACTTTGGAAGGGAGTATAACACAGCGCGTGCAGGATTTCAAGTCAGCAGACTATATCCTTGGCGGGATTGCTTCTGAAAATATGGTTCTGCGCCCATTTCACCATTTCAATGTGTCTCCCTCTACCCAAGAATACTTCCAGTGAGTCCAAAGGAGGGGGTGGAATTGCCTCTAGCTCATTCACTCTTGATTTCATCAGTATCAATTATCCAACTTCTACTAGGAACTCCCTGCACTCATGGCTGCTTCTTAAATCTCCAGGAAAGACTTTGATGATCTATATATTTAGAGTTTTACAATGCACTAGAGCAGCATTAGTGTTCTTTTTTTTTTTTTTTTAATTTGATTTATATGCCGCCCTTCTCCGGAGACTCAGGGCGGCTTACAGTGTGTTAAGCAATAGCCTTCATACTTTTGTATATTTATACAAAGTCAGCTTATTGCCCCCACAAACTGGGTCCTCATTTCACCTACCTTAGAAAGGATGGAAGGCTGAGTCAACCTTGAGCCTGGCGAGATTCTATCTTACTTTAATTGCAGACAGCTGGTGTTAAATTACAGTGCTTCTGTCTGTTGAGCTAAACCAGGCTCCTGAACTCTGAAATAACTCTGAATTGGAATGCCATGGGCATAATATAGCACGTAACCAATTCTGAAGGCATGATTAAAGCTCCCCGACTCTCTTATAGCCTGTATTTGAGTTCTGTTTGTAAGTTTGTCAATGTTCTTATTTCCTGGAAGTGACAAATTTTGGAGGCAGGAAGTCCAATGAGTTCATGCTTTCTCCAACTCTTCAGTTTGCATCACAGCTTCCTTTGTACCTATCAGAAGGTAACTTCCCTACTGCTAAGATTTCTAAATAATCTCCATGACAACATCATCCATATATTGTCCCAATCTGACCCTACAAAGAGAAACATGGCTCATTATGGTTATGAGAGTAGTTTGTAGTACAAACACCCTTCTTTTTTTTCTTTTTTTAGCTTTAATCAAAATATCTAAGGAGTGCTTAGACATTCAGGAAAGAGTTAATGGAAGGGCTAAAAGCAGAGGGGATTGGATTCAAATGTGTAGGAAGCCCCCCCCCTCCCCAGATTAAAATATTCTTTATTCTTAATATTAAAAAGAGGCAGGATAGAATATTTCCCCAAAAGGGAAATGGAGAAAAAATCTTAACAAAGGCAGAAAGCAGCCCTCGTCTTCCTGCTGAGGGAAAACAGCTTCAAACTAAGAAGCTTGGAGAGGCTGAGCTTTAGGAATGCAGATGTTTGTATCCTCCTATTTATAAACAAAATGCATTCAGTCATAAATTGTCCAGTCTGAGCTGATTAAGAATTAAGAATTCTAAGGGATTAAGAATTTACATTCTCCCACCCAAATTGTAAGGACAGGTTACAATTTACAGACCTTTAGGACATAATAGGATTAACCCACCACATTGAAATAGTAAAAGGCACAAGGCTCACTACATTGCACCACCCCCTGGAGCATCTCAATCACAAAACCCCAGAACCCAAAAAGATCCATCCACTCACTCAGCCATTTTGTCAGCAACCCCAGAAACATGCTGCTGTCACTGAAGTTTCTGGAAACCAAATAAACAGAGAACTTCTTTCTAACCTGCCAACCTCTATTTTATTTCCAATGTCTTTCTCCCATCTTGGAACCAGACTGGATTTTTCTTCCTACAAATGTATATTAATTTTTAAAATTTTTCCCTTGACAAAATTCTAGTATATTACCGTAAGTTAGCCATTTGTCTTTACTTATCATTTCTCTTTTATACAATTCATCTTGTGTCCTAAATGTATTTTCAGTCACAACCTAGGTTTCTATCAATTCTATATTCTTGATATGGCATATCTAACAAAATGGCTTTTAAAATATGCATTAATCTTATCTTTGTTGTACATAAATGTCCATGCCACCCAAATCTTAAGTCATGTCCTTTTATTTCTCATGAACATCCACCCTTTCATTCAAATTAAACAAGCAATGAAGTATAATTTCAGATCAAGTAACCCCAGTCCTCCCCTTTCTTTCACATTCTGTAACCCCTTATATTTAACTCATATTTTTTCTCCCTACTACACAAATGTAGATGTATCTTTCTGCCATGTTTGAATGATACATCAGTTGTCAAAACAGATACTGTCTGAAATAAAAATAATTTTCAACAACAATGACAAATGTATTTTCTCCCATCCCAAAATATCTTTTTTTAACTTCGTTTCACATCTTTATGTAGTTACTTTGAAATAACATATGATTCATAGTTGTTATTTAATACCAAAGTATTTTATCTTCTTCTCAATCTTAAAACCTGTTTTATTCATTCGTTCTGTTTTACCTTCTGTTTCTGTTTGGTTGTGAAACCTGCTAATAGACCAAATTATTTTAGTTTTCCCATTAGCAGCCTGATTCCCTTTAATGGATCATCCAAAACCAGCCCCAAATCATCTGCAAAAGCTCTTAAATTGTACAGTAAGTCTCTTTTTAATGGTCTTCATGAATAAATTCTTGTAAAATTATTGTCATTAGAAATAAAGTTTAGCAGTACTTAATGTCCATATAGCGGAGGTAGGTTTCAGCAGGTTCTGACCAGTTCTGGAGAACCAGTAGCGGAAATTTTGAGTAGTTCAGAGAACCGGTAGTAAAAATTCTGACTGGCCCTGCCCCCATCTATTCTCTGCCTCCCAAGTCCCAGACGATTGGGAGGAAATGGAGATTTTACAGTATCCTTCCCCTGCCATGCCCACAAAGCCACGCCCACAAAACCATGCAATGCCCACAAAGCCACACCCACAGAACCGGTAGTAAAAAATTTTGAACCCACCACTGCCATATAGGCTACATTTTATCCATGTGAGCGAATCCTTTGCTTCCTAGCCACTCAACATTCATTCATTCCTGTCATTTATTTATGGGGAGCAGCTGTGCGGAGAACAAGGGAGTTATCTTCTGATCGCTCTTTTATTTGGAGAGATTTCAGGGGCTAGTACTAGCACTCAGAGCTCCCATCTCCATTGCAATGATGTCCCTCTTCCTTCAAAAATGTCTAGTCTGCCATAGATTTCACTGGAAACTCCCAGAAGGAGAGAATATATTATGACACAGAAGCTAAATGGAGTATGATAGTGTGATCCTATTTCTTTTTGCAGGGCAGAAGCAAGAAATATATGGCATCTCCTTTCCTTCATGTTCACCATCCAAGAGATCAACCAGAATCCAAGTATCTTATCGAATATCACTTTGGGCTACAACCTCCATGATATTTATTGCAGCGAAGAAATGACTTCTGAAGCCTTGCTTGACCTTCTTTCTTTTGGACAAGCCAATATTCCAAATTATACGTGTGGAGGCGAGGAGAATCTGCTGGTTGTTCTTGATGAGACAGACTCTGACATCTCCATCCAGATTTCAACCCTCTTAGGCATCTACAAAATCCCACAGGTAAAGCTGGGAAAACTGAAAACTATCCATTTCTCCCTTAAAATTCCATCTGAAAACTCAATGCGTAGCAAACAATGTAATAGTGTGCAGTTAGAAAGTTACAAGGATCCATTAAGGTTGTAAGTAGTGGTGGGTTTCAAATTTCTTTTTACTACCAGTTCTGTGGGTGTGGCTTGGCAGGCGTGGCATGGCTTGCTGGGCGTGGCTTGGCGGGCATGGCAGGGGAAGGATACTATAAAATCTCCATTCCCACCCCACTCCAGGGGAAGATTACTGCAAAATCCCCATTTCCTCTTGATCAGCTGGGACTTGGGAGGCAGAGAATAGATGGGGGTGGGCCAGTCAGAATTTTTATTACCGGTTCATCAAACTACTCAAAATTTCCACTATCGGTTCTCCAGAACTGGTCAGAACCTGCTGAAACCCATCTCTGGTTGTAAGTTGAAGACTGCCTGTAATTCAGAGGTGGGATTCACTTATCTTCCCTACCAGTTCGGAAATGTGCCACCTCTGCGCATGCGAATGGCTTTTAATGCGCAGTAGTTGTGCATTACATCCGGGCAGGTGGGCAGAGCTTCCCGCAGTCGCTGCTACCGGTTTGCGCGATCCGGACAAAACCGGCTGAATCCCACCACTGCTGTAATTTTGTCATTTGTATGGACTTATGTTGCTAGGGTGTTTTTACAGGTTTAACGTGACTCATCTGCAACCCCTTCTTTTCATTTAATCCCTTCTTTTCATTCCAGATATCTTATGCTTTTGTTTCTCAAGTGTTGAGCAATAAAGACATGTTCCCGTTTTTTTACCGGATGGTGCCTGAAGAAGGAATCCAATATTTAGGGATGGTCAAACTCCTCCTTTATTTCAGGTGGACCTCCACCGGCCTCGTTGCTCCAGACACAGACAAAGGAGAGGTGTTTCTGAAAACGTTGACGCCGCTCCTGGAAACGAATGGCATTTGTGTCCTTTTCTCACTAACCCTCTCAGGGATAAATCGGTACCAAGCGGATATCCCTTCTGATATCTTTCTCAAGTGGAAACAAATCAATGTATATATTTTCTTGGTGGAGACAAAGTCTGGCTTCTTTAGAATGCTTCTTATAGAAAATGTCTTTGAGGAGGAAATAAAGCCTAAACAAGGGAAAATCTGGATCATTACAGCAATGAGGAATATCATCCTTGACTTGAAGTATTCTTCTCTGTCTTTCCAGTACACCTATGGCTTTTTTTCTTTCTACATCCAGACCAAAAATAAGATAAAATATGATGACATGGCTCTCTTCTTTGCTTCAATGGACTGGTATGTTTATCGATCATTTCGGTGTTCGTATTCAAAACATGTCTTGTCCGTGAATGGCTGGATCAGATGCAGAGAGAGAGAGAAGCTGAGGTCTTTGCCCCAGGAGCAGATTGAAAGGGTGCTTTCCCTCAATGGCTACCGCCTCTACCACACCATCTGGGCAGTGGCCCATACCTTAAACGCTGCCTATGCCTCCAGATCCAAGTGGAGGAGGAGGAAAAGTGGGAAGGAGTCAGGAATTCAAACGCTGCAGCCTTGGCAGGTATTTTGTTTTCATCTCTGATTTCTCTATCTAATGCCCGGGTCGGCAACCTTAAACACTCAAAGAGCCACAAAGGTTCTAACCGGAAGCCCCCCATTCAATTCTGGAGCTGACCAGAAGTCCAGTTCCCCCACCATAGAGTCTCCTCCTAGTATGGCATCCTTCTTCCTCTACCTGTCCTAACCGAAAGCCTTATCAAATTGGGGAGCTGACCGGTGACAGGGAGCCGCAGCAGAGGGATGAAAGAGCCACATGTGGCTCCAGAGCTGCAGGTTGCTGACCCCTGATCTAATGTAATCATCACTTTGCAAATAGTGGAAGGTGAAACGCTTTGTTGTTTGCAATAAAGGAAAATATTGATAACAAAATAACCGATTTTGTTGTATACATGATGTACAATGACAATAAAGGCTATACTATATTTGTAGCTCAGGGTTGAAATAGCAGTAGCACTTAGACTTATATACCGCTTCACAGTGCTTTACAGCCCTCTCTAAGCGGTTTACAGAATCAGCCTATTGCCCCCAACAATCTGGGTCCTCATTTTACCAACCTCAGAAGGAGGGAAGCCTGAGTCAACCTTGAGCCTGGTGAGATTTGAACTGCCAAATTGCAGGCAACTGGCAGTCAGCAGAGGTAACCTGCAGTATAGCACTCTAACCACTGCGCCACCATAGCTCATGGAAATGAAAGGTCCTTGGTGCTCTCTGAGCTTGGTTATTTTCTTGCAGACATTTCATTATCCAAACTAGGTAACATCATTGGCAGATTAGCACTGAGGATGTTACTAGTTTGGGTAATGAAACAGCAAGAAAATAACCAAACTCAGAGAGTACCAAGGACGCTTTGCTGTTTACCCTGAAAAACCAGGGTATTTGAGAAGAATATACATGATTTTCACTGGCTTGCTCTGAGCCTTCTTGCTCCCTTAAGAAATGGCTTGTTGGCACCTTCTGGTCTTCACCATGACACATTTTGCCAAGTGCCAAGTGCCACCTGTCCTTTGTGGGGTCTAGGACAACTTCAGTGGTAGGATTCAACAATTTTTACTAACGGTTCTGTGGGCATGGCTTGGTGGGCATGGCAGGGGAAGGATACTGCAAAATCCCCATTCCCACCCCTCTCCAGGGGAAGGATACTTGTTGTGACTCCGACTCCCGAACCTGTCCTCATGGAGGAAGAGGACTCTGAAGGTGAGTGGGAGGAACTGACAAGGCCTCCCTCTCCAGGACCCTCCTCTCTGGTAATGCCTCAGGTTCCATCCGAAGGCCAGGAGGAACAGCCTGGGATGGGCCAGAAGGAAGGCATTTCGGAGCACCCATTGATAGAGAGTGATAATGATGAATCCTGGCTTGTCAGAGGGAGAAGCGTGCGCAGCAAAGGAAGAGGCGTGGGAGGGCCAGGGATTGAGCTGAGTCACTGAACCATGCCCCACAAGGGATAAAAGGGGGTGTGATTGCTCGGCAGGCTTTGTGACAGACAAAAGTTTAAACTCTAAAGAGTCACATCGTGAATCCTACACTTCGGCTCAGATATATTTTGGACTAAACTCTTGTGGATAATTTGTCGCTCTGGAAACGGACTGCAGAGAAGGCCTCTCCTGCTTTTTTTTTTTTTTTAATTTGATTTATATGCCGCCCTTCTCCGGAGACTCAGGGCGGCTTACAGTGCGTTAAGTAATAGCCTTCATAGTTTTGTATATTTTATACAAAGTCAGCTTATTGCCCCCACAAACTGGGTCCTCAATTTACCTACCTTAGAAAGGATGGAAGGCTGAGTCGACCTTGAATAAGAATAAGAATAACAATAATTTTATTTCTATACCGCCCTTCTCCCGAAGGACTCAGGGCGGTGTACAGCCTATTAAAACACAAGACAACATCAGTTAAAATAGTTTAAAATTATTAAATGAATTCGGCTCAAATTTAAAACCCCAGAAATTTAAAACCCAATTTAAAATTGTTATGTTGATAGACCAGCCTGGCGGAACAACAGGGTCTTGAGTGCACAACGAAACACACGGAGGTCGGAGATCTTACGTATTTCCGGGGGCAGTTCGTTCCACAGGGCTGGGGCTCCCACAGAGAAGGCCCTCCCCCTGGGTGTCGCCAGCCGACATAACTTGGCCGATGGCACCCTGAGGAGACCCTCTCTGTGGGAGCGAACTGGCCAGTGGGAGGCTATTGGTGGCAGAAGTCGGTCTCGAAGGTAGCCGGGTTCTGTGCCATGGAGCGCTTTAAAGGTGGTGACCAACACCTTGAATCGCACCCGGAAGACCACTGGGAGCCAGTGCAGGTCACGCAGGAGAGGTGTCGCGTGGGCACAACGGGTTGCGCCCATAACCACCCGCACGGCCGCATTGAGCCTGGCAAGATTCGAACTTACTTTAATTGCAGACAGCTGGTGTTAAATTATAGTGCTTAGTCTGCAGAGCTATCCAATTAGTACTTTTGGGAGTACTAATTGGATTTGGCAGGCATTTTACAGTTAGCTGCCAGAACTCTCATCTGCCAGGAATTCTGGTCTGTTTATACAATAAATTATTGGCAGGCGTGTTTGATACTGCATTTGTCTGTGTGAGGACGGGGGACAGAACAATACTGCAAAATCCCCATTCCTTCCCCACTCCTGGGGAAAGTATACTACAAAATCCCCATTCCCTCCCCACTCCTAGGGAAGGTAACTGCAAAATCCCCATTCCCTCCCCACCCCACTAACCTGCTTTCCATCTCCGTTCTCCTGTGCAGGGCAAAAAAAGAAGACTTAGCTGATCAGCTGGGACTCAGGAGGCAGTGAATAGATCGGAGGAGTGGGGGTGGCACCAGCCATGCCAAGTCATCCAGAGGTAGTATTTGCCAATTCTCTGACCTCCTCAAAATTTCCATTACTGGTTTACCAAAACCGGTCAGGACTGGCTGAATACCACCTCTGGACGACCTGGCATGGCAAACTCACTGTGGGACAACACACTACGGGACAAGAGTTACACTAATATCAAAGAAATGGTGGAACATACCTTCTAAAATTTGTCATTCTAGCTACATCCTTTTCTACAAAATTCTCAATTTTACAACAACTCCATAGAGAGTGTATACCTAAGTAAGGACGGAGAGCTGATAGCTGACTTGGACATTATCTACTGGGTGAAGTTTCCCAATAAATCTGTCAATCAAGTCGTCTTTGGGAGCGTAGAGAGACAGGGATCCTTGGAGTCCGAGTTGATTATCAAGGAGGATGCCATCGTGTGGCCAAAATGGCTGAACCAGGTGAGAACATCACTTCTACACATACCCCATCATTGCCAGCAGCATTCTGGCAGTGGATTGTAGGACAACACAACACAGCATCTGAATATCTTTTCCAATTCCTTCATTGCTACCTTACCAACGGTGATATATTTCTTGACTGCTGGTTTCTTTAATCTAAAAGGTAGAATCTATCCAACACTTTAAAATCTTTATTGTCATTCTTATAGTGGGTTATTGTATTGTCATAGTTTAGTCACCTTTAATGTTTGTCCTGTTGTTACAGTGTTCCTTATTTTTTATTCTTCTCTTCTCTTCTCTTCTCTTCTCTTCTCTTCTCTTCTCTTCTCTTCTCTTCTCTTCTCCTCTCCTCTCCTCTCCTCTCCTCTCCTCCCTCCCTCCCTCCCTCCCTTCCTTCCTTCCTTTTTCAATTATTCACTGTACATTACAAATAAGGTCTCATGTTCTGCCAGCATTGATCATTCAGAACCTTTTGAGATTCGTTTTAGAAGTTTTGCCCAAGTTTTTGGTTTGTTTGTCTGTTTTGTGCCTACGAGTCAGTGTTGACTCCTGGAGAAGTCCCTGCAGTTTTCTTGGCAAGACTTTCAAAAGTGGCTTGCCATTGCCTAGGGCTGAGAGAGAGGAACTGGCCTAAGGTCACCCAACTGGATTTGTGCTTAAAGAGGGATCTTGGATCTCATGGTCTCCTGGTTTAAATGCAGATGCTTTAACCACTACCCCACACTGGTTCTTGCCCTAACATAGAGCTTAAAAATCAACCAAGAGGAACCCAAAGGGGAATAATGGAGAGAGGAGATTAATTGAGAAGCCATCGGCAGTTATTCCATTTGAAGAGTTAGTGTTGAATACCGATTTTTAGTTAAACCAAGTTTAGTTTCCTTTCCTTAGATGCAGAACCCCAAGACCCATTCATTAATATCTCTTTTTATCTATTTAGTCCATGCCCCCTTCCAGGTGTGTTGAAAGCTGCTATCCCGGATGGGTCAAGCTAGTTCCAGAAGGAGATCCAGTCTGCTGCTACAAGTGTGTTCTTTGTGCAGATGGGACCATCTCCATTCAGGAAGGTGGGAATTCTAGAGAAGTGGGGTTTCAGTCAATCCTATTACCCATCTCCGCATCCTCATTTCTGTGCCCAAATGGTGGTTGTATGAAAGTGTGGCCCCAAGTATAACATCATGAGAACATGGAGTATGGAGATGAAGTCACTGTGCAAAGTTGTTGATGAAGATTCTCAGTCTATCCAGGTAGACCTGTCTGGAAGTTGAGTCGGGGCAACTGGACTTCTTTTCTTGTCGCTTTGAAACTGTTGCAATATTTTCAGGATCAGACTCAATAATAATAATAAGAGTTAGAGGTTTAAATATATTTCTCTTTAATTATAATAGGCATTCTATATTCACTGAATATTCACAGATAGAAGCAAAGAAAATGGTGAAGGTGGCTCCTTATATATACAAAGGGTGGAGCCAAGAGTGGGAGTGGTGAATTATGAATACATTAAGAGTCAAAGAATAAGTTAACCCCTGATATCCCATATATACATTATTTACACATTAGGGAATAAGGCATTTACATCTGACAAATCCCCCTCTAAATGCCGGTTCGCTATACAACACCAATTACATTCAGATTCAGGACAATATAAGACATACAATTTGGAAGTTAAGTATTTGTGCTGTTTAGAAGGTAAAGGCTTCGTCAATATGTCAGCTAATTGTTCAGAGGTATCACAATGCACTGCTTTGATAAATCCATCTTGAGACAATTGTCTCACATGCTTAAATTTTATATCTATATGCCTGGATCTTTGTCCAATGGCATCGGATCTAGATATTTCAATGGCTGCTTTATTGTCTTCATGCATAACAAAAGGCAAAGCAGGTTTTTTCCAAACATCTGAAATTAAATCATTAAACCATACAAGGTTATTTGCAGCTTTGGATAAACAAACATATTCCGCTTCTGTGGTTGAAGTGGCTACCAGTTCTTGTTTACCAGTGTACCAGTAAACTGGACAGTCATTTAACAGAAAAATATAACCAGAAGTACTTTTTCTGCATGATATATCTCCAGCCCAATCCGCATCTGTGTAACATGTAAGTTTTGGTTCTTTATTATCACTAGGTTCTAATACTAGGCAAAAGTCTAATGTACTTTTCAGATATCTTAAAATTCTTTTGACAGCTTCCCAGTGATACATTGTTGGTTTGCTAACGTGCCTTGATAATAAATTGAGTGGTAATGCAATATCTGGCCTGGTCCAATTAGATATATAAAGAAGTGAACCTATGACTGATCTATAAAATGTATTATCCTTGAATTCAGGGGAAGATTCATCAGTATTTCTAAGGAAATCAGTTTGCATAGGAGTGTCACAGGGTTTGGCATTGTTTAAATTGCATTTGTTTAGAAGTTCAATAATCTTATCTTTCTGAGAAAGTTTGAATCCCCTTCTAGTTTTGTTAATTTGTACACCAAGGTATTTGTTTACTTTACCTAGAGATTTCAACGAGAAATGTTCATTTAGCTTGTTTACAAAGATTTCTCTTCTCTCTTTGTGTTTTCCTATATATAAAATATCATCTACATAAATCAATACAAATTCAATGTGATCATCACTCTTTTTGACAAAGAAACAGTTATCAGCAGTGGTAGCGTTGAAATCCATGGTCTTAAGTACTTTTACCAAGCAATCGTACCATCTTTTGCCAGATTGCTTTAATCCGTATAAACTCTTGTTCAATAGCCAAATTTCATTTTTATTAGTGTATTGACTGTGAGGTGCTCTTACATATATTTCCTTATCTAGTTTTGCGTGTAGGTACGCAGTCTGTATGTCATATTGAAATACATCAAGATTGAGTGCGGATGCTACTACTAGAGCTGTTTTAACACTCTCTGTTCTTACTGTGGGGGAGTACGTGTCAGTATAGTCCTCCGGATATTTTTGTGCATAACCTTGTGCAACCAATCTAGCTTTGTATAAGGTATTGCCTCCTTCTAGGTTCTTAATTTTATAAATCCACCTGGTACCAATAATTGTTTTATCTTTAGGTGCAATCGCAGGTGTGAATACATTTAATCCTTGCAAACTTTCCATCTCTTTTTTCATAGCTAGTTCCCATTTTTCCTTTTCTTCACGAGGGAGTTTTAATACTTCCTCATATGTATTAGGTGTTATTTGTTCACCATCCATATGCATTATGTAATCTCTGTATTTATTTGGTATTTGATTTCTGTTGTTCCTAATAGCTCTTTCTGGTTTGCTATGGTAGTCATGCAAATATCTTGCTTCCTTTTTTGTTAATGTGTCTGTCTTTATTTTGTGTTGACTATTTGTCCATGTTTTGGTTTTGTTTTTATTTTTGTTGACATTTTGATTTTCTATTGTCCCTTCCTCACGAGATTTTGTATCTTTGCATTTATTTGGAAATATTTCATTAAGATGTAATTTAGACCAGTTGGCCTGTTCATGGAACACAGCTGTTCTGGAAACTATAAATTTGTTATTATTATCAATGAATCTGTACCCTTTGGTGCCAGTTTCATATCCCATAAATCTTAGTCTTCTGGATACGTTTTCTCCCTTTCTTCTCAACTGTTTAGGTATGTGTACGTCTGCAGTGACCCCAAATATGTGCATGTGTGCTAATTTTGGTTTCCTATTATACATCACCTCATATGGTGTCTTATTCACAATACTGGACCAGGTTCTATTTTGAGTGTAATTTGAATAATGTAAGGCTTCTGACCAAAATTGTTTGCCTAAACCAGCATCCTCTAATGTGCACCTAATCATGGTTTGTAATGTGGAATTCTTTCTCTCTACAATCCCGTTCTGGAACGCAGAAAATGGACTAGACGTGTAATGTAGCATTCCTCTATCCTTTAACCATTGGGAGAATTCTTTAGACATGAATTCACATCCCCTATCTGTCATAATTTGTTTTATTCTGATATTATGTTGTGTTTCTATGCGTTTGTAAAATTCCTTAAATTTTTGAAAGGTTTCATCCTTGTGTTTTAATGTGTAAACAAAACCATAGCGACTGTAATCGTCTACTATTGTTAGGAAGTAACGTTTTCTATAAGTGATTGATGGAGTTAATGGGCCAACTAAGTCCATGTGTACTAAGTCAAAAATTTTGTTAGTTGATCTGGTGGATTTTTTTGGTCTGGGACTAGTTTTTAGTTTAGTAGATTTACATACTGAGCATTCCAAATAATTTTCACAATTTTTTATTTTGACACCTTCTGCGTGTTCAGTCATTTTTTGTACTACAGGAAAACTTGCATGTCCTAACTTCCTATGTAAGATGTGAGCACACTCGTCATGAATTGGTTTACCTATTTTTGGTTTCTTCTCATTGTGTGTATCTGTGTGATCATGAGATATTTTACATTCATCATTGTCACTGTTACTAATATTTTCATCATCTGCCTCAATACAATCTTCCATATTTGAATCAATGTTATGTAACCATCTTTCTTTTGTTATCAGATAGGGTAGGCCTCCTTTAATCATCACAGTGCCTACATTTGTTTTATTCTTTTCTAAAATTGCTTTTCCCTTTGAGAAAACTATATTGATGTCAGAATCTCTGCTTAGTTTTATGGCACTTAGTATGTTATGAGGTATTTCTGGTATTAACAATACCCCCTCTATTTTTCCTAGACTAGGCAAGGTCACATTCCCTCTGCCTAATACTTGAACTTTTTCTTGATTAGCTACCTTTATTACAAACTTATCTTCTGTAAATGAAGACAATATATTTTTGTTATTAGTGGTGTGATTAGTTGCCCCAGAATCAATAAGCCAATTATTGTTTTCATTTTGTTGCGTTTTAGTGCTGTCTTGTTTATTTAGTCCATTCAGTGAACCAGATTTTCTCTCTTTTGAATTTTCTCTGCCCCCTCTACTTTCTCTGTAATTTGGTGGGCTTCTATATTTATGTCTATCTGTTGAAGACTGTCTATAATTGTATTTATTCCTATATTCTGACCTATGTCTTTCCTTTGAAATTTTGGGACAATCTCTTCTATTGTGTTCCCTGGACCCACAATTGTGGCATTTAAAAGTTTCATTATATTTTTCTTGGAAAGCTACCTTCCTAAAAGATTTGTGTTCTGTGTGATTGCTATAACGATTTTTTCTTGAATTGTCTTCTGCTATCAATTTGTTAGACAGACTTTCTATTGATAAATATCCTAGATTGATGGTGTCTAAGTGTGACATAAAACTATCCCATGATGAATCAAGTGAGTTGATAATAACACTTTTCATTGTTTGATCTGAAATCACTTCCCCCCTCAAATGCAGCTCAGCTCTTATTTTGTTTAAAGATATTAAATGCTCACTTATGGAAACCCCTGGTTTTACTCTGGAAGAAAAGAAGTCCTTAGACATTCTTGTGGTGGTAGCTACACTATCGCTGTGAAACAAATTAAACATGCATTGAATTATTTCTGAAACAGTTAGATTTGGTTTGATGCTATGATACATTGCAGGAGACACGCTAGATATTATTAAGAAAAATGCCTTATGGTGTAAACAATCTATTTTTAAAGTCCAAGGTCTTCTTGGGGGACTAGTGATAAAAAATAGTAAATTTTCTTTCATAAAGACAACCTGGAGCTGTTGATACCATTCTTGTAAATTAATGCCATCAACCCTAAGTTTTGGGAAGTCACTGGGTAAGTTACCCACATTATTTTGTCCATTACTTACAACCTGAGGTAGTCCGTGGTCTCGCAAGTGTAGGAAATTGCAAAACGGCATGGGGATGCTCGCAACGAGTCTGCGCGGTTCTCTGGCCAGTTCAAGTCTTTCCGGACCGTCTACGTAGTTTCGCACATGCGCGTTGTTCATTTCTTCTTTGACGTCGTCGTGGAAGGTTCTCTCCATTGTAGCTCGCTCGCTCCGCTCCTCTTCAGACGAGTCGGTCTCTGGCTCGGTCTTAGGAGTTCTGATGGCGGCGACTGTTCTTCTCTTTCTTTTGGGTGCGTTGGCACTTGCTTCGGTCTGCGGTGTAGGGCGGAATCGACATGGCTCTCTGGGCTCGGGCGTCGTCGCTCTCGAAGTCAGGATGGGAGCGTGCAGGTCTTGAAGTATCGGCTTGTTCGCTTGCTTCTTCGTTGGCGCTTTGGAAATTTTTAATTTTGGCCCAAATGCAGCAAAAAGCGTCTTCATTGCTGACTTTACTTGGGATTTCGTTAAGTCGTCTTCACTTTCTGATTCTGGCTCTTCCGAAGAGTTTGAATCCTCCTTTTCGCTTTCGTTGTCTGATAACGTTTCTCGCGCCAGAAATTTTGAACTGAGCATTTTGATTGGCTCTGCTTCGCTCACTTTGGAGGCTTGTTGAAACCAAGATGGCTGCCATTCAAAATTTCGCGCGGGATCACATTTTTTCTTTTTCATAACGACTTTCTCTGTGGTCATATCACTCACAGTTTTTTGGTCTTTGGGTTTCTCTTTAGCGATGTTTTTCTCTCTCGCTGCTCCGCTGTTCTTCAGCATTTCTTGGAGGTTCGCGATGAGGCTTTCATCATTCTTCTGGCTTTTTAATAACTTCAATATCTCTGACCTGAGTTCGTTATTTTTTATTTCGATTTCCTCCTGGCCATCATTTTCATTTATTAATTCTTCTTCTTCAGTGGTGTATTCTCCGGATTCTCTCGAAATCGCGTTTGTGGATTCGTTGATTATTTCTTGTTCAGTTTCTATTTCTTTGCTGTAGGCCCTGGTGTTGGGCCTATCTTTCTTAGACATTTTTAGGTATTTATTGAGTCAATTAACCATCCTCTGCTACCAGCTTGTTGCAATATTTTCAGGATCAGACTCAATAATAATAATAAGAGTTAGAGGTTTAAATATATTTCTCTTTAATTATAATAGGCATTCTATATTCACTGAATATTCACAGATAGAAGCAAAGAAAATGGTGAAGGTGGCTCCTTATATATACAAAGGGTGGAGCCAAGAGTGGGAGTGGTGAATTATGAATACATTAAGAGTCAAAGAATAAGTTAACCCCTGATATCCCATATATACATTATTTACACATTAGGGAATAAGGCATTTACATCTGACAGAAACATTTCACTGCTTGTCCAAGTAGCTTCTTCGGTGTGAGCAAGTTGGCTAGAGGGACCCCATATTTGTCTTCCGGTGTGGTTTCATTTATCACCTAATCTGAATAGGCTCAGATTAGGACTCAGCTTTATCCAGATCTGAATAAAACTTGTGACTCAGCAAGAATTGGACTCTGCCTCTTTGTTTGTTCCAGGCCAGGTCAAGTATTCCTGCTTAACAAGTAGGCAGAGAGTCATTGGGATGTAAGTGAGCCTGGATAGCTCAGCAGACTAATGCATTGTAATTCAGCTCCAGCTGTCTGCAATGTCTGCAATTAGTAAGTTCGAATCTTGCCAGGGTCAAGGTTGACTCAGCCTTCCATCCTTTCTAAGGTAGGTAAATTGAGGACCCAGTTTGTGGGGGCAATAAGCTGTATTTGTATATTTTTGTAAAAAAATATACAAAAGTATGAAGGCTATTGCTTAACGGATTGTAAGCCACCCTGAGTCTCCGGAGAAGGGCAGCATATAAATCAATTTTTTTTTTAAAAAAATGTTCCAATTCCTAAATCCCCTAAAAGTCATTAAGTGTGGCATCCCTGGTGAACATGTGAAGTGGTCTTAAACTTCCTGGGAACTGAGGAAAGAACAACATAAATAATCGGGGACAGGTTGTGCCTGAGGCCTCCTTAGTTTTTTCTAAAGCTAGTTTAGTCATCTGGCATCTCTTTTTCCATGTGGAGCTCTAATCTGTTTTAGAATAAAATAGAATAAGAGAGTTGGAAGGGACCTTGGAGGTCTTCTAGTCCAACCCCCTGCCCAGGCAGGAAACCCTACACCACTTCAGACAAATGGTTATCCAACATTTTCTTAAAAATTTCCAGTATTGGAGCATTCACAACTTCTGCAGGCGAATTGTTCCACTTATTAATTGTTCTAACTGTTAGGAAATTTCTCCTTAGTTCTAAATTGCTTCTCTCCTTGATTAGTTTCCACCCATTGCTTCTTGTTCTACCCTCAGGTGCTTTGAAGAATAGTTTGATTCTCTCTTCTTTGTGGCAGCCCCTGAGATATTGGAACACTGCTATCATGTCTCCCCTAGTCCTTCTCTTCATTAAACGAGACATACCCAGTCCCTGCAACCGTTCTTCATATGCTTTAGCCGCCAGTCCCCTAATCCTCTTTGTTGCTCTTCTCTGCACTCTTTCTAGAGTCTCCACATCTTTTTTTACACCGTGGCGACCAAAACTGAATGCAATATTCCAAGTGTGGCCTTACCAAGGCATTATAAAGTGGTATTAACACTTCACGTGATCGTGATTCTATCCCTCTGTTTATGCAGCCCAGAACTGTGTTGGCTTTTTTGGCAGCTGCTGCACACGGCTGGCTCTTATCTAAATGGTTGTCCACTAGGACTCCAAGATCCCTCTCACAGTTACTACTATTAAACAAGGTACCACATATATGGTACCTGTGCATTTTGGTTTTCTTGTCTAAATGTAGAACCTTGCTTTTTTCACTGTTGAATTTCATTTTGTTAGATAGAGCCCAATATTCAGATCTGTCAAGATACTTCTGTATCTTGAGCCTATCTTCTGGAGTGTTGGCTATTCCTGCCAGCTTGGTGTCATCTGAAAATTTGATGAGTTCCCCATCTATCCCCTCGTCCAAGTCATTGATGAAGATGTTGAAGAGCACTGGGCCTAAAACAGAGCCTTGGGGTACCCCACTGCATACTTCCTTCCATGTAGATGCAGTTCCATTGAGGACTACACATTGAGTATGGTTTGTCAGCCAGTTACGAATCCATCTGGTGGTGATGCTGTCTAACCCACATTTTTCTACTTTATCTAGTAGTAGGTTATGGTCTACTTTATCAAATGCTTTACTGAAGTCCAAGTATATTATATCGACAGCATTCCTCTGGTCCACTAATTTTGTCACTTTGTCAAAGAATGCAATATTAGTCTGGCATGATTTGTTTTTGACAAACCCATGTTGGCTTTTGGTTATTACTTGGTTTGCTTCTAGGTGTGAGCCTTAGCTTTCCTCACTTCATTTTTACAGGCTCGGGCTATTTGCTGATATTCTGCCTTAGTTATTTGCCCCTCTTTCCACCTTTTATACTTGTCCTTTTTGTCTTTGTCTAATCTGTATTGCTGGGAGTAAATACGGATTCCAGTCAAAAAGAATAAGTTCTTATTCTTGTCCTTTGCAGATTCAGAGCAATGCATCAGATGTCCAAACAATCTCTATCCAAACGAAGATCAAGATCGATGTATCCCTAAGATTACAGTCTTCTTCCATTACAGAGAAACTTTGGGCATTATCATGGTTTCCTTTGCTTTATTCTTATCCTTAATCACTGGGTTCATTTTAGGAATCTTTATTAAATATTTGGAGACCCCGATAGTCAAAGCCAATAACCGGGATGTTTCCTACATCATCCTCACTTCCCTCCTGCTTTCCTTCTTGTCCACTTTTCTCTTCATTGGGCGGCCAAGCAAAGCCACTTGCCTCCTCCGACAAACAGCCTTCAGCATCATCTTCTCAGTGGCTGTCTCTTCCATCCTGGCCAAAACGATCACGGTGGTGCTGGCTTTCCTGGCCACAAAGCCAGGGAAGAGGATGAACAGATGGCTTGGGAAGAGTTTTGCCAACTCCATTATCCTTTCTTGTTCTGCTGTCCAGATAATCATTTGCTCCATCTGGCTCAGTGTTTCTCCACCTTTTCCTGACTCTGACATGCACTCCCAACCCAGAGAGATCACCCTGCAATGCAATGAAGGCTCTGTCGCCATGTTTTATGTTGCCCTTGGGTACATGGGCTTCCTGGCTGCCATCTGCTTCACGGTGGCTTTCCTGGCCAGGAATCTGCCTGGGGCCTTCAACGAAGCCAAGCTGATCACCTTCAGCATGCTGGTCTTCTGCAGCGTTTGGCTGTCCTTTGTGCCTGCCTATCAGAGCACCAAGGGGAAGTCCATGGTGGCTGTGCAAGTCTTCTCCATCTTGGCCTCCAGCGGTGGTCTGTTGGTCTGCATCTTCTTCCCCAAGTGCTACATTATCATCCTAAGGCCTGATCTGAATACAAAAGATCATCTGACCACAAAAAGGAAAGACGGCACCTGAATCTGAAATATTTATGCAGTGGTTCATTTATTCTGAAGAAGCAATGTTCCTTCAAATTGGCATATTAGATGCTGCTAAAATAAGCAACTGTCTTTTCTTTCCACCGTAGATCTTTAGAAAAGAAGTCATCACTTCACACTGCATTAGCTAGCAACTGTTTACATCCTCTTTATGTTTAGCTTGAATTTTCATCTATGCCATTTGAATCCATTTGTGTCCTGCTGGCACAACAGAGATGAAGTCTATGGCAGAAGTGTGACAACCCTTGAAATATTTGAAGAGAGTTGTTGCATTTGCTTTCAACTCTCTTTGTTGTAGGCTAAACAATCCCTGCCTTCCATTGAAGACCTGTATACTGCACGAGTCAAAAAGAGGGCTGTGAAAATACTTACAGACCCTTCACATCCTGGACATGAATTGTTTCAACTCTTACTCTCAAAACGATGCTATAGAGCACTGCACACCAGAACAACTAGACACAAGAACAGTTTTTCCCAAACGCCATCACTCTGCTAAACAAATAATTCCCTCAACACTGTCAAACTATTCACTAAGGCTGCATTACTATTACTATTAAGCCTTCTCATCGTTCCTATTACCCATTTCCTCCCACCTATGACTGCATGACTGTAACTTTGTTGCTTGTATCCTTACGACTTATATTGATATTGTTTCCCGATTGCTTATTTGTACCCTACACTATCATTAACTGTTGTACCTTATGATTCTTGATGAACGTATCTTTTCTTTTATGTACACTGAGAGCGTATGCACCAAGACAAATTCCTTGTGTGTCCAATCACACCTTATTTTATTTATTTTTATTTTGGCCAATAAAGAATTCTATTCTATTGTATTCCTTTCACTGTTCCTTCTGGCTTTTGGTTTCCAGTGTTGTAGAAATAAGGAGCTGAAGCACATTCCTGGGTCAGACAGATCTGTTTATTTGCGCAAGATTCAGGGCTATGTTTGAATTTTGCAACCTGAATGAAGATGGGTCATTTTTCTATTACTTAAATACGTTTTCAAGACAAAGAGTTCCATGAGCCTTTTCCGGCTTCCATATATGGTTACATTAAAAATACATTTCACTTACATTACACTTTACTAATTATCAAACCATTACCTACTACTTAATATAATTATTTTGGCTATACATTTTCACTACTCCATGATTAAACCATTATAACCTTAACTAACCCATCACTTTATGTTTTACAACTGTTCTTTAAGAGCTGTAATGTATAAATGCAGAAATTATGACTATACTTTTAAACAATAAATAACCTTTTGCATCCCCTGTATCCGTCCAGATGTTCACATTTGATTCTGTTAAGATGTATAGAATCAGGGGTTTGACACAGGGCCATAGGTCAAGTAATTATGGGGACATCCATGAACTAATTGCTTAGTTCTATTCACCAAACTCCATTCTTAACTTTTCTGCTGGATGACAGTTGAGCCTCATCAGAAGATATATTTGACTAATAAGGCAGTCCAGCTGCTTTTAGCCAGCACGTATCCTTAAGTGAATAGATGAGCTCATTCAAAGGTTGCTTAGAGTTCATAGGATTTGATCTGACTTTATATACCTGACTTGGAATGATTATTTCTTTTATTCACCTTTTATCTTCTCTTATTTACCTTAATTCCATCTCACCAGGGCTTCAATGCCTTGCTTATCTTTTTTTGAAGTTGTAATTGTTCTTTCTGTTCTGTCGTACCCCAAAATTGGATACTATATGTGGACTCTTCTAGGTTAATGAGAACACCTGCAAAGAAGCATATCTTACGGTCAAGATTTCTGAGGGGCAGGTTTGTCAGGCAAAAGAGACCTCTATGTTTGGGATTGCATTATTTTTGTGGGTGAACTGACATTGCTGCAGCTGTCCCAGGACTGGCGTGTGAAAATGCCGAAGAAAGAAGAGAGGATCACCCAATGAAGCAGATTGGCTGGACAAAGACTGGCTGATGGAGAAAAAGACCTACATTGGAAAAGACGTAACTCAGATGTAACTGAGGGACAAAGCATGACCAAGCATGATCGCTAGAAGGAACAAAGTAAAAATAAAGCAAGGATTTTTTAACATGACAAACCTCAGTCAGTCATTGAGTTTAACAAATGTGTGGATTATGGAGAGAGCAATTCAGACAGTGAAGGAACTGCAGGAAGCTCTGTAAATGAATGTATATTTGGCTGTTAACTGCTGCATGTGGGAAACAGAAGCATGAAATATTTCTTCCTCATTGCTAACAATAAAAATCAGTTTTGTTTCACAAAAGAACACTGTGCATGCATCTGAATTTGTTCCACTTTCTTTGTCTAACCCCAGTTCTTCCACCTGGACATTTTTTTTCCTGATAGTTAAACCATATTGTGATAGCTACAACCTATGGAAAGTATTTCCTCAGCATCCTCAACATGGCTCTATTTATGTATCTAAACCCAGATTTCAGGACCCCTCCCAGTCTTTTGTCTAAACAGAACAATTCCAGAATTCTCCACTACTGATTAATAGTGAATTGTGCAGTTTCAGAAATTAGCTTAAGACAAGAAAAATGTGACACTGGGTGGGATAATCTGTACAAATCAGTTCTTTTATTCCAGCCAAGACAATCAGAGAAAAATAATAAAGGGATATACAGGTAAGAATATAAGGAAAGAGCTGAAGATTTGAGTTCTGGGGGAAAATATTCTAAACAATCTTGGAATAGACCATGATGGGATGGGATGGGATGGGATGGGATGGGATGGGACGGGACGGGACGGGACGGGAAGGGAAGGGAAGGGAAGGGAAGGAAAGGAAAGGAAAGGAAAGGAAAGGAAAGGAAAGGAAAGGACTCTTTTCATTACAAGAGATTCTAAAGAATGGGGTATTGAATTTGTAAAAATGGCTACCTTAAGAAACAGTCTCATAACAGTTTCATTTTTAGTTTCCCCATGTTGGCTGGGGAATTCTGAGAGTTGAAGTCCACATATCTTCAAGTGGCCAAAATTGAGAAACAGTGTCTCAAACATTAAAGTTAAATTTCAGAGAAACGTGGAGCTTGCCTGTTGACTTTTCGAATCATAATACAGTTCCTCATGTTGTGGTGACCCCCAACCAGGGGTGGGTTCTAAATTTTTTTACTATCGGTTCTGTGGGCGTGGCTTATTTTGTGGGCTTATATTCCTCCAAACCACAATTTAACCATTTCTGCTTTCAACACAATATACAATTAATAATATCTCAATTATTACAATTCCCTAGTTAAATAGAGCTTTTTTTCTTTTGTGTTTTAAAATCTTGAACCTCCTCTTGCCCTAAATTTCCCATTGTTTGCAGTTTTGCACCTACCTTTTTTGGTGAGGAAAAAGAAAAAGAAAAAGAAATCTCTCTCTGCCTCATTTTGTCACGTTGCAGCAAAGATCCTGCTTTACTTTCAGTTTCGTTTTTTCAGCATAGCTAGGGGAAAAAAAAGCTGCTCCTCTCTTTGCAGCTAGCAACAGAGCCCTCCGCAAAACAGCTGAGAGCAAATCAGCTGAGAGTCCAGAGGCTGATCAAATCAACTTATGGTAATTAACCTATGCTGAAGCTGAAAGGGGCTGTTTTTTTCTATTTTTGCAAGCTTCTCATTTGTTTTCTTTTAACACTGATCAGCTGTAGGACGGCCGTTTGAAGCCCCGCGGCAAGAATTTAAACGGTTTGTTTCCCTCTAGCCATCAGCTGGGACTCAGGAGGCAGCAATAGATTGGGAGTGGGCGGGGTAAGCGAACGGCAACCAGCAATCCAGCAGAGGCAGAGGGTGAGGGTGAGTGAAGGCGTGGGGGGGGCGAGAGAGGGCTTTGGCGACCCCTGTGAAATGGCCGTTTGACCCCCCAAAGGGGTTGCAACCCCCAGGTTGAGAACCGCTGTTCTATATGCTCAAGAATGACTGATCTTGAATATCTATGTCAATACCAGTGTAAATCAGTGGTGGGTTGCCCCCTGTTCACACCGGTTCTATAGAACCGGTAGTAAAACCGGCAGGAAGCTCCGCCCACTGACCCCGACGTCATCAAAACGCTTCTGCGCATGCACAGAAGAGCGCGCGCGAGGCCGCGCACCGATAGTAAAGGTAAGTAGAACCCACCCCTGGTGTAAATGTACATATGAAAAGATGCTCTGCTGTTCCATACCTTCACCAGCCAAATATTAATTTTATACATGGATCCATTTACGGCATTGAATTGTTCAAAGTTGGGGGGCATTTCTTTGCTAATATGGGGGCTTTCTTATATTAAAAAAGGGGAGAATTCTCCCTACAAAATATTAATCCGTATCTGATTTTTTTCCCACTTTTAATTTGCTTTGGCTTCCTTCAATCCCCACCTTGGTGCCCCATCCCACCCCAATGATTTTCCTGGTTCTCTCCAAAGTTGAGAGCAGCTCTTAGCAAACCTGTCTCCCGTACTCCGACTCGCCCTACAAACACCTCTCACAACACCCTCAAGTTAAAAGATTCACTTGAGAAATCCTGATGGAAATGGAAAAACTTTGTTTTATTTCATCCAATGATTGGAGAAAGAAAAAAATATTTCTGCTCTAGATCTCCGGTGGCGATCTGCACCCCAGTCTTCTGTTACCATCACTGGTGAAAACGTAAGTAGCCAGTCTCCTGGAAGACAGCGTAACCCACATTTAGTGGGTTTTTGTATAGACAAAAAAGGGCGGGACAGCAGACTTCATTGATTCTTCCTTGATTCTCTTCCTTGCTCAATAGTTTTGGTTTGGCCGGAGATTTTCTTCTTTAATGTTTTTTGATATCTTCGTCTGTCGAAGAAAAAGCATGAAAATCGTTAGAAGCAGGATTCAGCCAATACGCTTCAGCCGAGGATTGTCTGTACAGGTAGTCCTCAACTTATAACTGTTCATTTAGTGACTGTTCAAAGTTACAAAGGCGCTGAAAAAAGTGATTTATAACCATTTTTCAGACTTATGACCATTGCAGCATCCCCCTGATCACGCGATTTACATTCGGATGCTTGACAACTGGTTCACATTTATGACGGTGGCAGGGTCCCAGGGTCATGCGATCCCCTTTTGCAACCTTCTAACAACCCTGTGACTAATGTTTAACAACTGCACCGATTCACTTAACAACTGTGGCAAGAAAAGTCGTAAAGTGGAGCAAAACTTACTTAACAAACTTCTCACTTAACAACATAAACATTGGGCTCAATTGTGTTTGTAAGTCGAAGGCTACCTGTACTAGTAAGTTTGGGGTTCTGAACAGGGGTGGGCTTCAAAAATTTTAGCAAGGGGTTCTCTGCCTGGTTGCTGGGTAGGCGTGGCCATAGTGGGCGTGGCCTAGCTGGCCTCCTGCACCACGGCGCTGGGGGCGTTTTTAGCCTCCCTTGGCTCCGGAGGCTTTCCTCGAGCCTCTGTGAGGGTGAAAATGGTCTCCCCAGGCTCCGGAGGCCCTCTGGAGGCTGGAAAGGGGCCTTCAGAACTTCCAGACCTTCCGGTAGTCCCGTTTTTCACCCTCCCCGAGCCTCTGCGTGCACCCTGCATTTACCTGCATCCAAAATGGGCTGCTTGGGGACTCCTGGGAGGGGCGGGGTGGGAGGGGCCAGCCAAGAGTGGGATTTGGGGGTTCTCCGAACTGCACAGAATCTTACCTAGAGGTTCTCCAGAACCCCTGTGGACCCCCAGCAACCCACCTCTGGTTCTGAAGGAGGATGTTGAATGGCTGTGTGGGAGGATTTTAGCTTTATATTGTTTTCCACCCAAAAATGAAGAAAGGTGAGATGGCCTTTACAGGGGGGAGGGAGTGATTTTTCTATGGTAGCAGCATCCTATCTTTGTAATTATTCCCTAAAGAGGCTTCACTGATGCTCACATGACTCTCACTTTGGCACTAGGTGAAGACCTTTCCCATGTTCCCAATATTTTAAACTGGCTTTAACTCAGATTATTTCAGATTTTGAATGGCCACTATGCCTCTGTCTAGTTTATATGGTGTTTTCATTTCACACTTGATTTGATTGCATATGTCTTTGTTAAAATTGTGGTTTTCTTAGAGTGGAAAAATGCAGGAAAAGATTAGGTCTAACTGATCCTACAAAATCAGTCTTGAACGTGTATCTGGGTTCCAGATTTCCAGACACAAGCAGAAGAAGCTGGTCATCTGGAAGCAGAAGCAACTGGTTGGTCCCATAAGAAGCAAAATGTTGGAATAAAGTGGTTTTTGCTTGGATTCAGCACAACTGTTCTACTTATAGAGAACAAGACAATGAGCACATGTGATCTTGACAGAAGTTGCTCTCTCTAGCTCTGACAATGGCAAGATACAGAATAGCAGAGATGGAAGGGGCTTTGGAGGTCTTCTAGTCCAAGTAGGAAACCCTATACCATTCTAAACAAATGGTTGTCCAATCTCTTTTTAAAAACCTCCAGTATTGGAGCACCCACATCTTCTGAAGACAATCCATTCCACTGATTAATTGTTCTCCCTATCAAGAAACTTCTCCTTAGTTCTAGGTTCCTTCTCTCCTTAATTAGTTTACATCCATTGCTTCTTGACATGCCTTAAGTTGTTTTAGACAATAGGCTGACCCCCCTCTTCTTTGTAGCAGCCCCTCAAATATTGGAAGACTGCTCTCATGTCACCCGGTCTGTTCACAAACAGTCCTTCTTTTCATTGAATTAGGCATAACTAATTCCAGCAACTGTTCTTTATTATGTTTTAGCCTCCAGCCCCCTAATCATCTTTGTTGCTCTTCTCTGCATTCTTTCTAGAGTCTCAACATCTTTTTTATATTGTGGCAACCAAAACTGGATGCAAAACTACATGAAAGCATGGTCTTACCAAGGCATTTGGGGAAGGTGTCAATCAGGGGTGACATCCAGGAAGTTCTGACAGGTTCTGGAGAACCGGCAGCAGAAATTTTGAGTAGTTCGGAGAACTGGCCAATACCACATCTTGCTGGCCCCAGAGTGGGGTGGGAATGGAGATTTTGCAATATCATTCCCCTGCCATGCCCACCAAGCCACGCCCACCAAGCCACACCCATAGAACCGGTAGTAAAGAAATTTGGATTTCACCACTGGTGTCAATATAGCCTTTTCATAGAAACCCAGACTATTCTATGAGGTTATCCCAGCCACAAGAAAGGCTGATTTCTGTAGTGCAGGATCCCAAATGGGTTTCAGCCAGATTTTGTCCATATACAGATTGCAAAGTGGGGTTCCACGCCATTATAACAAAATTCACTTTTAAAAAAGGGCTCCATAGTGATCTAACTACCCTTTTGAAGGGTTTGTTTTTAGCTTTGCAAAAACAGGATGAAATTGAATTATTTAGAAGTTCTTGTTAAAATAAAAAAAACCCCATGATGATCTCTGAAGAGGAGGAGAAAAGACATGCCTAAAATTGGGAATATGGGCAAGAATCTATTGCTGTTTATACTCCACCTTTGCTGCAGGGGGCGATGTACTCCGAGATGGCAAAATCATCTGAAAACACAAGAGGAAGAACTGTCAGACTGCTTCACTTAATTTGGCCAAAGGACACCAGGCTCATTAGTCCTCATGCTGCATTAGATTGTTTTCAAGAACTGGTGTCAGGACCCTTATCCCTTTAAGAACACCTTTGAAGTTTGGGATAAATTTTTAGGTTAGATTAGATTAACAGAGTTGGAAGGGACTTTGGAAGGGAAGTTTGGGATAAACTTGGAAGATGGAGATGGATTTTGAAAAACAATAGAATTAACTGTACTAATCAGGCCTCTCCCCACTGGGATCCCTTCCTCACCTGTTTCATAATAATCGTAGACTTTCACCATGGCAGGCTTCAGGCCCTGGACAGGAGTCTCCCGCTCCACTGTGAAGGAGTAACTCTGGCTTAGACTGCTGACCTGCAGACCAAGAGAGATTATGGGGTTATTCTAGAGATGGCCAGGCTAGAGAAATGTCTTCTCTGAAGCGTGCCACCATGCATAGGGAATTAATGGGGACCTTCCACTTCCAGGGCTATTTCTAAGTTCCCTGGTCACCTGATCTCGCAATGTTGTGGCCCCGCCCTCTGAGCCTATCTCATCAGAGGAAGAAAGCTCCGAGCATGAGGAAGAGGAGTCAGCCAGGCCTCCCTCTCCAGGCCCCTCCCCTCTGGCACTGCATCAAATGCCGGCCGAGGAAGAGGAGATTAGCCAGGAGCCAGGTGTCTCCGATGAGAGCGAGGGAGGTGATCTGTCGTTCCTGGATTCACGCCAACGAAGGCGTGATAAACGGTTGCAGCAGTTAAGGAGGCGTGCTAGGGATTAGAACTGAGTCACTGGACCACACCCCAGAGACTATATAAGAGAGGGTGGTGGCTGGTAAAACTCCGTGACGAACAAAAACGAACTTTGGCTAGTCACTTGAACAACGTCTGAAGCTGCCGAAAGGGATATTGTTTTTGCTGGACTATTTGCAATGCGTATGTAATTTATGTTACCTGTTGCAGTAAAAGCTCTTGGCAGACGGTGATTATATTGCTGCCAAGTTTGAGATAACGACCTGTGTGCATGCCAAGTACTTTCTTAACCCTCGGCTGGCTGTGTTTGTGTGTGTGTGTGGACGGGGACAGATCACGCAAGACCAAGGACATACTTTGCCCATGTCCATAGAGGAGCTCTGATTAGCTGACTCCCTCCCAACTAGAGAAAAATTGAGCACCCCACTATGGGACACTGTCTAGGGACATTCCTGAACAAAGGGACCAGCCTCAGCTCTCTCCTGGGGATGTCCCTCTGAGAGGCCACACACCTCTTAGGCTGAAAGGGAAGGCCTAGAGAACGGTTTCTCTATTTTACCAACTGCTCAAGCAAGAGATCCTATACCAGTGTTGGCGAACCTTTTTGGCACTGAGTGCCGAAACGGGAGCACGCACGCATGTGCACGCACGCATGTGCCGGAAACCGGAAGAGCAGCTGCCTGGCGTGCATGTGCATGCCAGGAAGATGATTTTCCGACTTCTGGCGCACCACCTGATCTTCTAGTTTCTGGCGTGCGTGTGCGCGCGAAGAAAACCTGGCCAGTGTGCATGCGCGGGCCGGAAACCAGAAGAGTGTCAACCCACCACCCACCACTGAGAACAAGCCAGTGCACACATACACACTCCCACCACTTTTGCCAAGGGAGCGCGGCACTTCCCGGCTGGTGCTCCTCTTACCCCGGTGCTGGCCAGATGTTCCTCCCATGTGGACTCAGTTCATACGCAGGCCCGCTGCCCGTGAATAGCAGCAGCAGCAGCCGTAGGGCAAGGGACAGGAACGACTGGCCAGCCCCCGCAGCTGCTCCTCCGCTGGTAAGCCAGGCCCTCAGCGGCGTCTCCATGCATGAGGAGCTGCTCTCTCCTCTGACCCTCTTGGGGCAGCTCGCCTCCTTGACAGCGGCTCCTCCTCCTGACTGCTCCAGCATCCCGGCGGTGGCAGGGCGGCCAGCCACCCTGCCAGCAAATGCTGCCCTGCTGCCCCTGAGCCGGCCAGGAGCTCCGGACCGCAGATGCGTGTCAGTACCACAGGCTGGAGGACTGGGGCCCTGCAAATAGCCCGCTCAGGTGGGGAGGGAGGGAAGCCCGGCCCGTCTGTCCTGGCTGACAGCTCTGCTCCCCTAAGAAGCACAAAGCACACCAGGTGGCTGCTCTTTTGTTTTTTGGTGCTCCTGTTCATGTGAAGACCAGCTGGCAGGCGCACCAGAACCCGGAAGAGCAACAGGCGACGGCTCTGTGTGCCACTTCCAGCACATGTGTCATAGGTTTGCCATCCCAGTCCTATACTGTTTCAGACAAATTTTTGTCAAATCTCTTCCTAAAAACCATCAGTAATGGAGTACAACTTCTGGAGGCAAGTCGTTCCACTGATTAATTCTTCTAACTACTAGGAAGTTTCCCCTTAATTCCAGGTTGCTTCTCTCCTTGATTAGTTTCCACCCTTTGCTTCTTGTCCTACCCTCAGGTGCTTTGGAGAATAGCTTGACTCCCTCTTCTTTGTGGCAGCCCCTGAGGTATTGGAACACTGCTATCATGTCTCCCCTAATCCTTCTTTTCATTAAACTGGACATACCCAGTTCCTGCAACCGTTCTTCATATGTTTTAGCCTCCAGTCCCCTAATCATCTTTGCTGCTCTTCTCTCAAGAGACTCGTCATCTTTTTTATATCGTGGCAACCAAAGCTAATTTTGTCACACGAGCCCTTCCTTCTTGCAGGGAGGAAGGGTTCCCCCACCCCAGCTCTTGTTCACCAGCCCCCCACTCACCGCTTCCAAATACAGGAGGACCTGGGTGGTTGCAATTTCTGTACGCTTGACGAAACCATGCATTTCCAGCTGGCGAAGAAAGGGAAAAGCTGGTGTCATAATTCAAACTCTTTGGCTTAGAATGAAGAAAAGGAAGGGGAGACCTCATGGAGGACTACTAAACCACACCTGGCATTATCCATGTGGAAGGGACTTTCTCTCAAAATGGAGAACTTAAGAGTCGTGGTGACGCAGTGTTTGGAATGCAGCATTGTAGGCTAATTCTGCCCACTGCCAGGATCAAAATCCTGAACTTCATTAAGTTCTACATTTTTACTGACACTCCAAAAACTATAGTATATATTGCTGTGGGCCATGCTGAATGAGGCCGATTAGTCTTCCTGCTCTGTCTGTGCAAAGCTGGATCAAAATTGTGGTTAGTCTGAATGCCAGGGTTCGTGCATCCCATGTGCTGATTTGATGCTTCAAGATATAGCAATGGCAACTACTTTCATTGAATATTAAAGGGTAATTGGGGGCGAGACATTGGCCCCCAGGGAGAGGGCGCATAACTTGGGTGTCCTCCTGGACGCACGGCTGTCTTTAGAAGAGCATATGACGGCCGTGGCCAGGGGGGCTTTCTATCAGGTTCGCCTGATACGCCAGTTGCGCCCCTTTCTGGATCGGGACTCCCTATGCACGATCACTCATGCCCTCGTCACTTCCCGCCTCGACTACTGCAACGCTCTCTACATGGGGCTCCCCTTGAGGAGCACTTGGAGGCTCCAACTGGTGCAGAATGCAGCCGCGCGGGTACTTATGGGGGCGACATGGCGTTCCCACGTGACACCTCTCCTGCGCAAGCTGCATTGGCTTCCAGTGGTCTTCCGAGTGCACTTCAAGGTGTTGGTTCTCATCTTCAAAGTGCTCCATGGCTTAGGACCCGGTTATTTACGAGACCACCTTCTGCCTCCGATAACCTCCCACCGGCCAACACGCTCCCATAGAGAGGGTCTCCTCAGGGTGCCGTCTGTCAGGTAATGTCGGCTGGCGACCCCCCGGGGAAGAGCCTTCTCTGTGGGGGCACCCGCCCTCTGGAATGAGCTACGCCCAGGGATACGACTAATCCCGGACCTCCGGACCTTCCGCCGGGCCCTGAAGACTTTTTTATTTCAGCAAGCCGGGCTGGGTTAAAAATTTTTTAATTGGGTGAATTTTATGGGTAAGGGGTTTTAAATTGGAGAAGCCAAAGATAATTTAATTTTGTTTTAATGTATTTTAATATTTGTATTGTGCGTTTTTAATTCTGGCTGTTCACCGCCCCGAGTCCTTCGGGAGAGGGGGCGGTATAAAAATTTAATAAATAAATAAATAAATAAAATAATTCTAAACCTCTTCATGCCCAGTTTTGTGGCCAAGAACAAAAAATTCTTTGGAGGAATGAAAAAGGTCATTACCATCTTTACGGTTGATTTCACCGGGATGTATCCGGATAGCATCTTAATCTGGACAATTGCCATGTTGGAAATCACGCGTTGGCCAGTGTAACTAGGAAATCAGGAAAAGAAAGATGACATGTCACATTTTTTTAAAGCAAAAGTGCACAACTTAAGGGAAAATGCGGCGGGTTCATAAAGGCTTGGGTGTGTCCATCCATCCCATGCAGCCATTGAATGGAACTTCTGGAGTGCAGAACATTGGGTTTTCAGAAGGCGGAGGAGCCGAGTTGTGGCCCTTGAACCCTTAGAAGTTGCCCATCCTTGAAGGAGAAGTACTGACTAGATAGCAAGAAGAGGTTCTCTTTCCCCCATGCAGATGCCCACATACTCAGCGCTGACCCATTACCTGACGTTGATAGCAATGTCAAAGGTCTGGTGGGCTTTAGGTCCTGTGCAATTTTGGGGAACCGTCTGCACCTGCAACTTGAATGGTGCCTCCTCCTGGGGTGGTTGGATGTTGTACCTCAAGCTGGTCTGAAAAGGAAGCAGCACACTCGTGTCTTATCTCCGAACGGCTGCTGTGGGTGAGACGCGTGGATAAGATGTGAATGCAGAAGGGCCCGTAGAGGGGGAGAACCCATCACTTCCAGAGGCAGGGAACAGAGTCCAGGAACTATTCAACCTACAGCAAGCACCACTGGACGTTAAGCCTCTAAATTGGATCGCCCAGAGACAGATGTTCTTTACTCTCAAGGGCATCGGGTGATACAGCTTGTGACCACAAGTGTGGTGCTCAGAAGGGTGAAAACAGAGGACTTGGAGATGTCCCACCAAAGGGCTTCAAGCTCCAATCTCCAAGTAGGATTGTGGGGAACCTGAAGGCTATCAAAGAACATTCATATCAGAGCCATGGTGGCACAGTGGTTAGAATGCAGTCTTGGAGGCTAACTCTGCCGACTACCAGCAGTTCAATTCTCATTGGCTCAAGGTTGACTCAGCCTTCCATCCTTTCAAGGTCAGTAAAATGAGATCGTTGAGGACAATATGCTGACTCTGTAAATCGCTTAGAGAGAGAGCTGTAAAGAACTGTGAAGTGGTATATACTGTAAGTCTAAGTGCTATTGCTATATCTCCTTCCAGTCCAAAATCTTCTGTATTGATACCTTATTCAGATTATTCATACAGATAGTCCTTGACTTACAACCACAATTGAGCCAAAATTTCTGTTGATAAGCAAGACAGTTGTTAAGTGAATTTTGCCTCATTTCATGACCTTTCTTGGCACAGTTGTTAAGCGAATCAGTGCAGTTGTTAAGTTAGCAACATGGCCGTGAAGTGAATCTGGCTTCCCCATTGACTTTGCTTGTCAAAAGGTCGCAAAAGGTGGTCATGTGACCCCTGGGACACCGCAACTGACATAAATATGAGCCAGTTGCCAAGCAGCCAAATTTTGATCACGTGACTGCAGGGATGCTGCAATGATCACAAGTGTGAAAAACGGTCATAAGTACATTTTTCAGTGCCGCTGTAACTTCAAATGGTTACTAAATGAATGCTTGTAAGTCGAGGACCACCTGTATAGCATTTCAGTCTGTCCAAGCAAACTTTACAGGCGATGGAAAGTAATTTTCTTCTTCAGCAACTGGCTCAGGACACTCACCTGCATAAAGATGCAACCGGTCACCTCAGCCGTGTAGTCCCCTGGCACCGAGGGCAGATCTTGGCACTGGAGCAGCAGAGAGTTGGTGCTGTCTACATGGAATTTTCTCAGGGCAACATCTCCAGAACTCAAGGTCACTCCAGCGTCAACTCCATCCTTGGAATAAGTAATTGTCCGGTACTGGCAGAGGGCCTGGAGAGCCACCACTGTATCCTATAAAAGAAGGTAAAGCTAGGACATCTTTCTTGGATGACACACCACAGCTGGAATCCTGGGAACTAAGACTCAGCACAACTGGAGGACACGACAGGGAAAACATCACGTCCACCAAGTTGGTGCAGGGAGTATTAGGGCATCTTCCAAGCATCCTCTGAGAATCTGTGGCGAGACAACGTACCTGCGTAGAAGAGAATCCTCCATTGGGATTCTGTTGGTTGGTCAACCATTTGACAATGGCAGTTGCCGTCGTTAATTCTTCCTGGGACGGGAATGGTTCTTTGGCCACATAAGCAAGGAGAACGTAGGAGGTCATCTCTACCTCGGCAGAGGGCGCCCGGGGGTAGTAGTATGGAAGATCGAGTGTCTTCTTTTCCTTCTCAGGTCTCTCCCAGTGGATGGAGCCATCCTCTTGAGAAGGAGAATGAAGGGTTTTAGCGTTGGGTGGCCCCATTCAGGCAGCACCAGAGGCCTCCAACATTGGTCAAGTATCTTTGGCTTCTCAAGGACATTTTATTGCACTTAACAGAATAACAGAGTGAAGGGACCTTGGAGGTCTTCTAGTCTCACCCCTTGCTCAAGTAGGAACTCCTATACCATTTTAAACAAATGGCTGTACAATCTCTTCTTAAAAACCTCCAGTGATGGAGCACCCATCAGCCGTTCCACTAGTTTATTGTTCTCACTTGTTAGGAAATTTCTCCTTAGTTGTAGGTTGCCTTTCTCCTTGGTTAATTTCCAACCATTGCTTCTTCTTTTGTGCTATTCCACAACCCTTAAATACCATAGCTGAAGCTTGGCACACCATTAATTGCCCAGCCCTCCAAATATTTTAGTATCTGTTAGATCAGCATGTAGATCAGACCAAGAAATCAACTCCACAGGAAAGCTAAAACTACCTATATTAAAGTTGGCTCCAATTACCGTATTTTAGGAGTATAAGACTCACCTTCCCCCCCCAAAAAAGAGGGTTAAAATTTGGGTGCGTCTAATACACCGAATGTAGCCCCACCCAGCCTCTGAAACAGAGGTTTCAGACGCTGAAAAAAGCCTCTGAAACCTCCGTTTGAGAGGCTGGAAAAAGCCTCTGAAACCTACATTTGAGAGGCTGGAAAAAAAAGCCTCTGAAAAGGAGGTTTCAGAGGCTGAAAAAAAAGCAAGGCACAGAGCTCACAACCAACAAATCTGTTGCTAAAGTTTACCTCTGGAAACAACTGATTGGGGATATTTCAGGAGGTCGAGCCACTCCCACTCAGCTTTTTTCTTATTTTCCTCCCCAAAAACTAAGGTGCGTCTTATACTCCGGTGCGTTTTATAGTCCGAAAAATACAATACGTAATCTGCTGATGCTACTAGTTTGATAACAAAACCTCTGCAAGAGAACATAGAGCACCAAGAACGCTCATCATCTTTCAAGTCTAATTGTGCTTCTCCTCTTCTTACATCCAGTGAATCAGGACAGTGTCTGTCCAAACTGCTTCCAAATGTTGTCTCATTGCTCTGGACTTCGAAAAGATTTCAATCCCTTTTACTTGAGTAATGATACTTGCATATTTCCATCAAGATTATCCTTCTTACTCTCTGCATTATCCACTCCTTTCCCCAAATCTGCAATCTCTTAATGGAGGATCAGAGGGTCTTGTTGTAATGCCAGGAATGTGAGGATACTTTTAGTGAAAATCGGATTAAAATGGTTATGGATAAATAACAACAACAACAACAACAACAACACATAACATGCAGGGGGACATGTTATGTATTTCATGTGTAAATTCCATGAGTTCATTCTTTTTTGACCACTTCCCAGCAGTCCTCGGCTTACGACCATAATTGTTCCTAAGTGAGACTGTTGTTAAGTGAGTTCTGCCTCATTTTACGATCTTTCTTGCCACAATTATTAAGTGAATCCCTGCAGTTGTCAAGTTACTCACACGGTTGTTAAGTGAATCTGCCTTCCCCATTGACTTTGCTTGTCAGACGGTCGCAAAAGGGGATCCCATGACTCCGGCGACACCGCAACCGTCATAAATATGAGCCGGTGGCCAAGCGTTCAAATTTTGATCATGTGACCATGGGGAAGCTGCAATGGTCATAAGTGTGAAAAACGGTCGCAAATCACTTTTTTCAGCCCCGTTGTAACTTCGGACGGTCGCTAAACGAATGGTTGTAAGTCGAGGACTACTTGTATGTGAAATGGGCCGCTATATAAATTGAATAAATAAGCAGCAGAGCATCAGAAGAAGCTAAACTCCACAAACATCCACCAGAGGATGCAAGAGGGCTGACAAAGGTCCATCGCTCATCAAGTATTCCGCACAACAGCCTAAGAATCACACATCCAACTTGCATCATGCTCCTATCGTATTTTTCAGAGTATAAGATGCACCGGAGTATAAGACACAGCTTAGTTTTTGGGGAGGAAAATGGGGGGAGGGGGGAAATCTGCCTACCAGGTAGTCATCTGGCTAGTGTCCTTGATCTGGTCAGCTTCAGCACATTAGTTTGCTGGTTTTTATCCCCTGCTTGGGGATAAAGAACAGCTTCTAAAGCACAACTGATCTTTTGGAGAGAGCAGCAATGAGAAAAGCAGCCAATCCACGGAGATCGCTTCACTCGGTAGCTCAGGGATCGGCAACCTTAAACACTTAAAGAGCCATTTGGACCCGTTCCCCACAGAAAAGAAAACACCGGGAGTCACAAAACGCTTTTGACATCTAAAATGAAGATAAGACTGCATATATTGTTTTTTATCTTTATGCTATGTATAAAAAAACTATAGCGTATTGTATTTATTAAATCAATGACCCGCTACAGATAAAACACATTTTTATTTCTGCCTGCAACAAAAACATTTTGAACTCTGAAAAAAAAAGATGGGCCGAAAAGCTCAATAAATCACATGCTGGTGGGTATCGCAAATTGGCAGTTGTGATGCATATTTTGAGCGACAAGTACACGCAGCAGAGGGATGAAAGAGCCACATGCGCAGGTTGCAGGCCCCTCCAGAGCCGCGGGTTGCACACCTCTGTGTTAGCTCCTCCTTAGGGCTGAAAAAAAGCTTCACAGCTGAGAGTCGGAGGGAGCAGGCAAAGCACAGAGATCGCTTCACTCGTTAGCAGCTGAAAAAAAGCTTCGAAAAAGCTACATTCAGAGTATAAGATGCACCCAAATTTTCAGCCTCTTTTAGGAGGGAAAAAGTATGTCTTGTATTCCAGAAAATACGGTACTTCTTACCTTCTTTCACGGCTAGTTCCTGAAGGGAGTCCAACATTTCTTGTCTCTTCTCCTCGTTCCCTGCCAGAGTAAAGGCGTACGCCAACAGAGCCTGAAGGTAAATGTGGATCTCTTCCGTCTGGGCCTCCATCTCCAAGAAGTGCAAGGCATTTCGTACCAAAATGTGCTGCCGAGGGGGAGAACCATGAGGCAGGGAATTTACAGAAACCAGATGGATTCACAAAAGTTGGTTTGTTTTGGATCCAGAACTTTCTCATTCCCCGCCCGTAATTCAATCACAATAGAGCTTGAAAAGGACTTTAGAGGTCTTCTAGTCCAACCCTCTGCTCAAGCAGGAAACCCTCTACCATTTCAAACAAATGGTTGCTCAATCTCTTCTTAAAAACCTCCAGTGATGAAGTACCCAAAACTTCTGGAGGCAAACTGTTCCACTGGTTAATTGTCCTCACTGTTAGGAAGTTTCTCCTTCATTCCAGGTTGTTTCTCTCCTTGATTAGTCTCCATCCATTGTTTCTTGTCCTGCCTTCAGATCAGGGGTGGGTTCTAAATTTTTTTTACTACCGGTTCTGTGGGCGTGGCTTATTTTGTGGGCATGGCTTGGTAGGGGTTAATGTGACTGGGTGGGCATGGCCAACTTTTTTTTTAAAAGCATTTTTTCTACAACCTTAAGAAGTTGCAGAAAACAATTCTTTGAAAAGCTTCTGCCGATCAGGCAACTCAACTGGGATCGTCAGAGGCTTTTCAAAGCATTTTTTTTACCACCTCTTCAGCTGAAGAGGTTGCAGAAAACAATGCTTTGAAAAGCCTCTGCCGATCCCAGCTGAGCCGCGGGATCATCGGAGGCTATTTTTTTTTACTTTTAAAAGCATTTTTTTGGCCAAAGAGGTTGTAGAGAAAATGCTTTTAAAAGTAAAAAAAAAAAAAGCCTCTGATGAGGTGGGGTAAGCGAGTGGTGACCGGGCCGGGGGCCTGGCCAGCCAATGTTATTACCAGTTCTCCGAACTACTGCAAATTTTTACTACCGGTTCTTGCGAACCGATGCGAACCAGGAGCAACCCACCACTGCTTCAGGTGCTTTGGAAAATAAATTGACTACCTCCTGTTTGTGGCAGCCTCTCAAATACTGGAAACCTGCTATCACGTCTCCTCTAGTCATTCTTTTCTCTAAACTAGCCAAACCCAAATCCTGCAACAGTTCTTCCTATGTTTTAATATCCAGGCCTTTAATCATGTTAATTGCTCTTCTTTGCCCTTTTCCAAAAGTCTCCACATCTTTTTTTTTTAATGTGATGACCAAAATTGGATGCAGTACACCAGGTGTGGTCTTACTAAGGTTTATAAAGCAGTTCTAATACGTCACGTGATTTTGATTCTATGCCTCTGTTTATACAACCAAGGATGGTATTAGCTTTTTTGGCTGCTGCTGCACAATACTGGCTCATGTTTAAGTGATTTTTCTGCAGGAATGAAGTTCAGTCAGAGCATTTCAGAGTTTATTTCAGAAGTCTCCAAACTTGGCAACTTCAAGACTTGTGGACTTCACCTCTCAGAATTCCTCAGTCAGCATTGGCTGGCTGAGGAATTCTGGGAGTTGAAGCCCACAAATCTTAAAGTTGCCAAGTTTAGAGACCCCTGGTTTATTTTATTGTTCAATGATCTTACTTCTAATAAAGGAGAATATTTGTAGCTCAGGGTTGACATGAGGGGTCCTCCATGCTCTCTGAGCTTGCTTGTTTTCTGCCGTCCAACAATTACGTAAACAATACCCCAATCACAAAACTGACAAAGAAGCCAACAGCAAACAGCCCAACAAAAATATCTTTAAGACCGCCCTCCCCCGCCCCCCAGACAGGCAAGCCACTAGAATATAAACTGGCAGCAAACTGCACTCCTTAGTAGCACTGATGATGTTACCTAGCTTGGCTAATGAAAGATCTGGAAGAAAACAAGCAAGCTCAGAGTGCACCAAGGACCTCTTATACCTTACTTCTGTTCTGTTCATACTCTTTTAAAGTCTCTTAAAAAGTCTTCCTTGTTATTGTTGGAAGCTGTCCAGAGTAGACCCCCAGTGAGACACGTGGCAAATAATCGTTCCTATCACCCATCTCCTCCCACTTATGACTGTAGGACTGTTGCCGTATCCTCACAATTTATATTGATTGTTTCCTACTATGATTTGATTGCTTATTTGTACCCTATGGCTATCATTATTTATTTATTTATTTATGAGATTTATATGCCGCCCTATCTCCAACTGAACTCAGGGAGGCTCACAATAGTAAAAAACATCTAATGAAAAAGTTAAAAAGAAATTAAATCCAAATCTCATAATTTAACAGTTAACAGTGCAATTAAGACTAACAAGTTAAAAATTAAAACCCCATCAGTCCAGGCCAGCCAAACGAAACAGCCACGTTTTCAGGTCGCGATGGAAAGAGAGGAGGTCGGGGGCCACCCGGAGCTCCAGGGGCAGTTGATTCCAAAGGGTAGGTGCCCCCATAGAGAAAGCTCTCCCCCTGGGGGTCGCCAGCTGACACTGTCTGGCCGACAGCATCCTGAGGAGGCCCTCTCTGTGGGAACGCACCGGGCGATGGGCAGCTGTTGATGGCTGCAGATGCCACCCCCCAATATCCCGGGCCTAAGCCATATAGGGCCTTATAGGTAATCTCCAGCACCTTGAATCTCACTCGGAGGGCAACCGGCAACCAATGCAAGTTGCATAGGAGAGGTGTAACATGGGAGTGTCGAGATACTCCCATCACAACCCGCGTGGCCGCATTCTGCACCAGCTGAAGCCTCCGAGTGTTCTTCAAGGGCAGCCCCATGTAGAGGGCATTGCAGTAGTCAATACGGGAGGTGACAAGCGCATGAGTAACCGTGCATAGGGCATCTAGGTCCAAATAGGGGCGCAACTGACGTACCAGGCGAACCTGGGGGAATGCCCCCCTGGTGTTAAGTGTTGTGCTTTATGATTCTTAACGAATGTATCTTTTCTTTTTATGTACACTGAGAGCATATACACCAAAGACAAATTCCTTGTGTGTCCAATCACACTTGGCTAATAAAGAATTCTAATCTAATAAATTTAACAATGTAGGAAGTTAGCACCCACCCCTTTCCTGGAAGAGTGAAATATTTTATGAAATATGAAAAAGGCAGAATATTATATTTCCCTGGATGAGAAATGGATAAGCATGTTTTGAAGCAGCTCCCATCTTCCTTTGTCAATGAGCCGTTAAGGCCTGGGCCAGTCTATTCTACATAACAAAGATCTACCTCCTTCAGGCAGAGCCATAGTAGGAATTGCCAAAGATCCAACAAAGATAGGATTAGCCCTCTACACAATAGCAGCAGAAACTCACCACATGTGACCTGGGAAGCACATGTGACCATCAGCCAGCAAGGCTAGCTAAGACCCCCACCCCCTGGGAGTCTGACAACCAATCAGGATACTCTTACGGGGCCCCAAGAAATGCAAAGCCAGAGAGAGCATAAAAACCCGAGGATTTACTGTATCTGCCCTTTTCTGTTCAGGAACTCAAGCCATGTGATCCTGTCCACCATTAAACCATCTTTCCAAGCAGTCTCCATGTTTCCAGTGTCTGTTTCCCCACTTGGAGCAGAACCCAGAAGGAGATTTCTTCCAACAACAAATAATAATAATTTCCTTGGCCACAAGATAGTAGTGGTTTACCTGAAACTAACTTAGAGGATGTTTACTTACCGTGTGAGGCAGAGGCATTTCCAGCAAAGCTATGGTGATATAGGCCGTAAGAGAAATCCTGTCATCAACTCCACCCTGGAAGAAGGGAGACAGGCAGATATCAGGCCTTTTGCCATCTTTCTAGTCCTCTTTCTAAGATCAGTATCCCATCACACTCACATAAAAGCAAGATTTTTTCTCCCTGGCCTATGCATAATGTGGGGTGCTTGCATCTAAGGACATTTCCAATCTCCAACTTCCCTAAGCCATGGTGGTGCAGTGGTTAGAATGCAGTATTGCAGGCTGACTCTGCCCACTGTCAGGAGTTCAATCCTGACCAGCTCAAGATTGACTCAGCCTTCCATCCTTCCAAAGTCGGTAAAATGAGGACCCAGATTGTTGGGGGCAAGATGCTGACTCTGTAAAACCACTTAAGAGAGGGCTGTAAGGCACTATGAAACAGGATATACGTCTAAGTGCTATGCTGTTACTACTCCTCCCATGTCTCCTTTGCCCTTTGCTGAAGCTTCATCTTATTTTAGGCAGTATAAATCCCCATTTCTGCCTTCTGGTACAGCTCCTACAATTTCCCCAATTCCACATAATCAAAACCTTGGTGCTTAAAGAAGAAGCAACATAGCTTAGTGACTTAAGGCCATTTGCTAAGCCCATAAGGGGACAGCAAAGGGGTGCAGAATTCCATGCCCTCTGCTGTCACCTAGTGGTCATTGGGAATTTTTCAGCCTCTATATGGTGGCCTAATAGTCTTGGGGTAGGAGAGGACCAGCCCATTCACTGCATTAAAAAAAAATACTTAGAAAAGAAAATCCTGCTCTATGCAAATGATGTATTTTGCACAATCATGCTATCAGGGGTCTCCAAACTTGGCAACTTTAAAACTTGTGGACTTCAACTCCCAGAATTGCCTAGTCAATATGGGTGGTTGGAAAATTCTAGGAGTTGAAGTCCACAAGTCTTAAAGTTGTCAAGTTTGGAGACCCCTGCTGTATAGATCATTAGACTAGGCAATATTTATCCCCAATGTGAGAATGTTATCATTTCCAGCCCTTGATTGCAAACCCCAATCTCGTCAATAGCTTTCCCAACAAACTGCCACTCTATTTTTTCATTGTTTTTCCAACCCAGGGGAAGGTCAGACAGAAATTATCAAAAGGTAGTCAGGACTATATTGATCAGTATGATAGAAAACTGAACAGAATGGAAGCAAATTTGGGGAAAGAAGGAAGGGAGGGAGGGAGGAAGATAGATAAGAAGGGAGGAAGGAAGGAGGGAGGGAGGCATTGCCATGAGTTGGGCAGCCATATAAGTTTCTTTAATAAATAAAATAAAATAAATAAAATAATAATAAAATAAAATATCAGTGTAAAGGTTCCGACAGATGCCCTAATTAAATCATGAGTCTCGAGCCAAGTTTCAAAAGGAATCCAATCAGTGGTGGGTTTCAAAAATTTTTACTACCGCTTCTGTGGGCGTGGTGGGCGTGGTATGGCTTGGTGGGTGTGGCTTGGTGGGTGTGGCAGGGGAAGGATACTGTAAAATCTCCATTCCCTCCCCACTTCAGGGAAAGGATACTGTAAAATCTCCATTCCCTCCCCACTTCAGGGGAAGGATACTGCAAAATCCCCATTTCCTCCCGATCAGCTGGGACTCGGGAGGCAGAGAATAGATGGGGGCGGGGCCATCAGAGGTGGTATTTACCGGTTCTCCAAACGACTCAATATTTCCGCTACCGGTTCTCCAGAACTGGTCAGAACCTCTGAATCCAATAATTTATTAGGAGCAACATGCCGGCATCTACTCAAGTGAAGTTTGCTCTGCTGCACCGTAAGTTACGGGTCACTTTTGGCCCTGTTCCCCCCTTCCTTTCAGTCTGTGTCATAAATCACATTCTCCAATGGCCTCACACCCCGTTTTTGGTAATCTGAGAAATGTGCTCCCCCCTTGTTTCTAGTGGCAACTCGAGAGCAGACTATAAATGCTTTTGCGAGTTGACAATCAGTTCTATCAAATACCAAAACAAGAAACGGATGGAAACCAGGTCTTCCATCCCAACTGCAAATCCTGGTTCACATTTCATTGCACAATTCTGACCCATGAATCTGAACATTGATTTCACTAGGCTTAGGTTTGATGCATTGCAATCGCTAGAATTCTTCCATAATGGCTTCTTAACTTTTCTACAAGAAAAGCATTTCTTAAAAGTTCCCAGGTCATTATTTGTCCATTAATTGTTTTTGATCTGAAAGAAGCTTGACCTGACCTTACTTCCACCAAAACCATAATTAAAACTATCATCCAACAAAATATCCCCCCCTTTGTACCTTTAGTGCGTTGTTCAGCAGAGACCCTGTTACCAGGAAGGAACCATCTCCCAACTGCCAGAGTGCCAGTGAATTCTGAGCATCAGTGATATGTTTTTGGTCCACGGAGATGAAGGCCGCCGCCTGAGTGAAACTCTTCAGCACAAAAGCGGTCAACCTACAAGATAACCCAGAATATAGGAGAGCTTTCATTTTTCCTTATATCTTCTTCAGAATGGGGCCTTCTTGGTCCACAAAGAATTGTCTCCTTCACACAAGAGTATTAGAGTTTTTTGCAAAAATCAAATCCAGAAGCACATGCAGATAAACTGATTCAGCAGGGTTCATAAACTTCTTTATATACATAATAACAGATGAAGTAAAATTTACAATACCAATAGCAGAGTTCTTTCAACTAGTAACAAGTAGAGAGATCAGTTTTCAGTTCGGCAGAGCAGACAAGCCCAGGCTTGTTTCATTTCAGAGTGGAGCCCAGAGCTTAATACAAAGAGAACCTCCTCTATAAAGGGCAGTTAAGCTTCTTCCACAGACTCAGTTGCCTAAGCCACGTTCAGACTTCAGACTTAAGTTTCTGTTTCCAAAATAAGCCTCATTGGCTGAGCCTGTTACCATGCCTATTCATTGGCTGACCTTGTCTCCATTCAGTCCCCATTGGCTGATCTATTCCAGTCCATGAATATTCATACTCTGACACAAATAAGGAAAATGATCCCTGGGGGACCATCTTGGAAGATCTGACCAATTATTGATGGAAACTGAATTTCCGATACAAATCTTTTTCATGAGGGTTAGAAATGGCCTCCCTTGCCTTGGATTAATATAAGGGGATGAAATCAACGATCTTTCAGTCCTTAGAAGGGGTTCCTTGGACTGGTACCCTGACTGACACCCCTTAAAACAATTATAATCAGGGTTTTAAAAATGCTGGAAAAAGGGACTTATGACTGTTTTTCACACTTACAACATTGTAGCATCCCTGTAGTCACATGATCAAAATTCAGAGGCTTGACTACTGCTTCACAATTATGACGGTTACAGTGTTCCGGGTGACGTGATCCTCTTTTGTGACCTTCTCATCAGCAAAGTCCATGAGGAAACCAGATTCACTGAACAACCGTGTTACTAAATTAACAACTGCAGTGATTGACTTAACAACTGCGACAAGAAAGGTCGCCAGATGGGGCAAAATTCACTTAACAGAAGTTTCACTTAGCAAACCTAAATTTAGGGCTCAATTATGGTTGTAAGTCGAGGACTACCAGTAACATGCCCAGAAGTCGGGATTATGGACTGTAAGGTTCCCTGCATTTTTTTGAACATACATCTTATGTTGTCAAAAGTTTTCTTTGTGTGCCTTGGCAGGGAGGGATAGGACACCCCACACCCTCACCCCCAAATAGAGCTGCTAGCATCTTTCCCATTCACAGAGTTATTATCCCTCCTATTTAGAATGTTTCATTTTCTCTCTAAAAAAAATTAAAAGCTCCTTGAGCTGCATTCAGCTCCTGGTGATTTCACTTTTGTGTCCCATGTAATTATCTTGGCAACAATACAGGTGGCTCTTCACTTAACGACCACTGATTCAGCAACTTTTTGAAGTTACTACAGTGCCAAATGAGACTTATGACCTCAAAGTTGTGGTCATCACAGAATTCCTGTGGTCATGTGATTGCCATCTGCAATCATCATTTCTGGCTTCTGAGAAGCAAAGTCAATGGGGAAGCCGGCGGGTAATCGTAAATCACAACCAGGTGATGTTGCATTTAAGGATAGTGTTTGACTTGCTTACTGACCGCAATCAATCAACCAAGTCCACAAGGATGGAGTTGCTGGTTCATATTACATTTATTCAAATTACTTATCTGTGTCAACCTCAACGTGTCGTGGTTGTAATTTGGGTGGGCAGGGGGAGGGAAAACCCCGCTTACCAGTTGTCATATCCAGTCTGCGTACCATTGCTGATTCCACCCTGCTCGCCATTTCCGCAGTAGCCGCCGGGACGTGAAAGCCTTGGATAGGCTTGGTGCCGTTGAGGGGGCCTCCATTATAGCAGCTGCAATGCTATCGCTGCTGCACAGCTGAGACGCGAACCTATAAGTGACTACGCGGCTTCTAATATTAAAGACTATTCCTTAGTGTTTCGATGAGCTGGAGGGGCGGAGCTTTGTGTATCCTACCCACGATGACGGAATGTAACTAGCATAGGGGGAGGGAGTATGGGGTGGAGTCACGGATAAAAGGTGATGGGAAGCACTGCGTGGTAGCGCAGACAATAAACCATTCTCCACGGGTGTTTGTTGGTTCGTGCCGGAGCCGAGGAGAATGATTGCTAAAACACAGATAACTTCTGGTTTGGAGTCTTATTTCACCGCGGAAATCCGGAACCTGACAATATGGAGGCGATTTGACCCGGGTCTATGACAATTTGCCGCAGCCAGCTTGCCATGACCAACCTACCACAGCCAACTTGCCACAGCCATCTCACCACAGGACAATTCGCTGCGGAACATGAGTTACACTAATATCAAAGATATGGTGGAATAGAATCATTGAAGAAAGGATGCTAAAGGAGGGACAGAACGAAATGTGAATGGCAAAAATTAAAATCATTTTTAGTTGTATTTATTTTAAATAGATTGTTAAATTGTCCCACAAGGAGTTGTCTTTCAGCGAGTTGGCCGTGGTGAGTTCGCCCACTGCAAGTTGGCTGTGGCAAGTTGTCCCACTCCTGTTTGACCATTGCCTTATTCCACAAAGTTTTTTTCTAACTTCCTACTTTAGCTCTAGGCCTTCTGATTTTCTGGTGGCCTCCTATTCTAAGTGCTACCAAGGTTCAACACTTTTAGCTTCTTGCTGTTAGTGGGAAGGGGAGAGGAGCCACGTTGAGCATTATTTTTCCATAGAACAAAGAAATCTCACCAGGTATTTCCTATCATTGAGCTGCTTTCTCCAAAGGTGCTGTAGGAACCGTCATGATGCTTGTAATTTAGTTGCCTCTGATAGCCTGAAGCGGAAGAAGAACATGAGTGGCAGGCAGAGAAAAATGCGCAAAACCCCTTTCAAATCCAATTCAATGAGCTTGCTCAAGTCAATTTGATTCTGAAATGGGATGAAACCAGTTAGGGCTGATTGATGGCCAGAACCCACCCAAACTACAAGTTAAGCATTAGCCACTGTGCTTGGCTACAGCTTCTTTTCCCAACAAACAGCACTTCCCTATGAGATTGTACAAATTTCAAAGTATCTGCGGGATGCATTCCTTTCCAACTGGCTCCATTTTACCTTACATTCCCAATTTCTTCCCTGGCATTTTTCAGCTACTCCAGGATAATACAAAGGAAAGATTTTTGATTGCTCCTTTCTGCAGTGTTCCTGCCCTCTTCTTTCCAACGGTTGAAGGGTTCCACGATTGACTCAGAAAATCAAATTTGACCTAATTTACAATCTCCTTAATCAATAAAGATAAAGGTTCCCCTGCCCAGCCATCTGACTCTAGGGGGTGGTGCTGATCTCTTTTTCCTGGCCAAAAAATCCAGCCATCAAGCTCAAAGCACGCAGTGGCGCAGTGGTTAGAATGCAGTACTATGGGGTACTTCTGCTGACTGCCGGCTGCCAGCAGCTTGGCAATTCAATTGTCACCAGGCTCAAGATTGACTCAGCCTTCCATCCTTCCGAGGTGGGTAAAATGAGGATCTGGAGGGCTGTAAAGCACTGTGAAGCGGTATATAAGTCTAAGTGCTATTGCTATTATGCTGTTGCAATATGCTGTTTGTCAGCTTGCCAACAAACAAGGGGGGAAGGACAGGTGAGAAAAGACTCCAAACTTCGAAGAGGAGAGGCATGAGACTCAAGGGCGCACTTGCAGGTGTTAGCCAAACCCAAAGACTCTTTCTCATAACAATACAAAAACACTCAATTGGACAATGTGAACTGCACAAATAGTAGGGAGAGGGAATTTCATATTGAACTATGTGGGTTTGTGCAGGAATTAGGTAGAACTGGTTTTGCCTTCAGTGGTGCTAAAATAATGTACTCAATAAAGTTTTGCATTGAGACATTGGCAAGTCTCAAATGTGCTTGCTTTAGTTGGGATTGTCAGTTGGGACGTTGACACCCTCATTGTCTGAAGATACTCCCGTGGTCATGTGGCCAGCATGGCTATATGCTGAGGGGCACCGAACGCTGTTATCTTCCCACTGAAGTGCTGCCTATTTATCTACTCACAGTTGCATGCTTTTAAACTGCTAAATCAGCAGGATCTGGAGCAGGAATGGGAGCTCATTCCGTCACGTGGTACTTGGGTCTTGAACTGCCAGCCTTCCAAGCAGGGGTGAAATGCTACCAGTTCAGATGAATTTGTAGCGGCGGGTGGTTTGGAGAACTGGTAGTGATGGCAGTGCAAGGCTCCGCCCACCCACCTGGATATTGTTACTTCCTGGTATTAGGATCAATCTGTTGTTGATCCTCTGCGCATGCGTAGAAGGCTTTGTGTATGCGCAGAGGGTCCAAAATCGCACATGATGTGCATACGCACTTCCGAACCGGTAGGGAAGGGAAGTAGATTTCACCCCTGCTTCCAAGCCCAGAGGCTTAACCACTAGGCCACTGCGCCCCTTCCTTAATCAGTACTAGTGGCCAATCTGTGGATCAAGTCTTTGAAAGTTCCTAACCTCAGTAAGAAAATAAAGAGGGGAGAATTCATATGGGACTGCCCTGGGATGCTTCTCACCTGTCACTAAGTATCCGATGGCCTTGGATTTGATCTCCTCGGTCAGTTGTCCAGTCTTATTGAGATAGTTCAGAATGTAGATATTGGGGGCAAAGAGGGCCATGTTCTGCTCCCCACAGCCGTAGGGCATCTTGAGAAGCTGATGGATGTTCTGTATCGCTCCCCCTAGAATGTCTCCTGCAAAAGAGAAAGAGGTGGATTGAAAATAGGGGTCATTATAAGATTTAGGAATGCGTGTGTTGCAGGTTGGGAAGCTCAAGTCCAGAACCTCTGAAGAAGAGGCCAGATAATTCTGGAAGAAGCTGTAGAAAAACGGACATTTAGGAGGATGCCTCTGTGTGCTTCTGGCTATTCCCAAGGCAGAAATAGTTTAAATGACATTGCTGTCATTGCTTGTGGAGAGCTGGCAAAAGAGATCTAAGCCTGATCCTATGAAAGCTTGTGTTGCTCATCTCTAAATTACAAAAACTGAGAATCCCAGGTAGAATGTTTCTAAGACATCAAGCCCAGGATCATCCAGTTCAGCAATCTGTCCAACAGTGGCCAAAGAAGCGGAGTCTGACAACCTCTGACATTTTAATCAGCAAAGTTTCACTCTGTAGAATAACAGAATGACAGAGTTGGAAGGGACCTCAGAGGGCTCAAAGTCCAACCCCCTGCCCATGCAGGCAATCCTATACCATTTCAGACAGTTGGCTGTCCAATCTTATCTTTAAAATCCCCAGTGATGGAGCACCCACAACCTCTGGAAGTAAACCATCCCACTGGTAAACTACATAGAAGAAAGTTCAGCTTTGACTTCAGAACATCCTTCCTCTATCAGCTGCCAGCCAGTGGAACAGGCTGCCGTATGAAGTGGCAAGTTCTCCTTCACCGGGGAAGGTCTTTAGACGGACGCTGTCAGAAATGCTGGACTGCAACCTGCACTGAGTTGCAATAAATGATCTATAAGATCACTTTCAATTTTATGATTTGATAAGGCAGGTGAGGCAGAAGTAGAAGGATAGCATCTGGAACACAAAAAAGTAGATGACAGAAAAGAGAAGGGAAGGGGGTTTGAAGAGCTAGGAGGAGGGCAGGGGTGAAATGCTCCCGGTTCGCCCGATCCGGTAGCGATGGCGGCGGGTGGTTCAGAGAACTGGTAGCAAAAATCCCTGCCCCCCCCATGCCCAGCTGAGCCGCATGATTATCAGGGGCTTTTTTTTTTTACTTTTAAAAGCATTTTTTCTTCAGCCGAAAAAATGCTTTTAAAAGTTAAAAAAAGCGCCTCTGATTATCAGGCAACTCAGGTGGGATCGTCAGAGCCTTTTAAAAGCATTTTTTCTACAACCTCTTTGGCCAAAGTTGTAGAAAAAAATGCTTTTTTAAAAGCATTTTTTTTAAAAAAAATGGCCATGCCCACCCAGTCACATTAACCCCCCAAGACATGTCCACAGAACTGGTAGTAACAAATTTTACATTTCACCACTGGAGGTAGGTTCCTATACTTACCAAGCACACAAAAAGTCGCTCTGGCAGAGCCTTCCACAACATTTTCTGGCACCTTCAAAGAAAGAGGTGCTGACTGTACATCTCCTGGAAGAAAAGAGAACTTAGATGGTGCTGGCTGCCCTACAGGGTTTTTATATCAGCTGGGGTATCCAGAACAATATGAGATCAAATCCTACAATGATGTTACACTTAGAAACTCCAGGTTCAAAAAAAAAAAAAAATCCCAAACCCTCGAAACCCCCTAAATTAAAAGTGGATTTTCCATTATTGGGTCCTCTGATTTCAATCTCAAGCATTTCCTCCTGCTGTCAAATACATCAAATTTTGGGTGGATTCCACCAATGCTTCCCCACCCCCACAGCAAGTTTCTTAGAATGCAGAATAACAGAGTTGGGAGGGACCATGGAAGTCTTCTATGTCCAGTGTTCCCCAACCTTTCTGGCTTTGAGGACTGGAGGGGGAGGGAGGAGAGAGGATGGTTCAGTGTGAGCGGTGGTTGAGTGTGTGCACGCACAAATACATTTCCTCAAGCGGCGAGCATGTGTCCACAGCTCGCACAAATGAAACCGCGCATACATGCATGTTTGGCCGCCGTTTCCACGGCCAGGTTCCAAATGGGTCATGGCCCCGTACTGGGCTGCAGCCTGGGGGTTGGGGACTCCTGTTCTAGTTCAACCTCCTGCTCAAGCAGGAGACCCTATGCCATTCTGGAGAAATGGCTGTCCGAGCTCTTCTTAAAAACCTCCAGTGATACAGCACTGAAGGCAACTTGTTTCACGGGTTAATTATTCTCACTTTTTAGATTCCAGTTAGGAAAGCAAGTTTCTTTAAGCATTTACCATATTTTTCGGAGTATAAGACCCTCCAGACTATAAGACACCCGGAGGATCGTCTTACTTTTTGAGGGGAGGAAAACAAGAAAAAAAATCTGCCTCTGCCTCCCAGCAATTTGCCTCCTTGCAGCAAACAGCAAACAGCTGAGTCCAAAAATGGGGCGGGCGGAGGCGGCAATAGGCAATGGCAATCCCTGCAGCCTTAAACAACTGATGGTCAGGAGGCCAATCCAACTGACAATCAGCTGCTTGTGCTAATCAGGCTGTGCTGAAGCTGAAATGGGCTGTTTGCTGCAAGGAGACAAATTGCTTGGAGGCAGAGGCCAAAGGGTGGGGGCCGGTGGGTGGGTGGGACTACATTCGGTGTATAAGATGCACCCAAATTTTCACCCTCTTTTTAGGGTGCAGGGGGGGAGTACTTCTTATACTCCAAAAAATACGGTAACTATTAGCTATTTAGCAAATATTAACTATTTGTAAGGTTTACAGCTCGCTTAAAAAAACTTTTAAAATTCCTCCCCGTTACCAGAAAGGGGGCTAAATTTTGGGCCCTTCTGCTCTAAAGCAAATCGTCCTCATTCATTTAATGCTGGGATGGAGGAGAAGCACTGTGAAGAAGCAGTCATACCATGTGAACAGAGAAGAGAGTTGAAGACCACCTCTTTCTCGATCCCTTCAGGCTTCACCGGAACAGACAGAAAAGAAGGAAAAAGGGAAAGTTAGGGATGAGTACTGGAAACTCTAAAAAAAAAAAAAAGCTGCAGAAATACATGCAAAGGACAACAAAGGGAGGTGAGGAGAAATTAGAATCTAGACAACCTTATATGGCAAACTACTATGGTAGTTTGCTAATGACTTGTGATTTCTCTGTATCAGGAACACAGGAGGACCTTCTAAACACATAACAGTATTTCTTGAACTTCTCTTATAGTGAATGGAGCTCAGGCCCCAAAATAATTAAAGGAGTATCTGACTTGACTGCCAAACACCTGCTGTCGGTCCAAAAAAATATGCAGAAATATCTGAAGTTTATGAAAATCAAATTGTGAGGTATCAGTCAAGAGCTGGAAGATTCCCTTTGTCAGGTCAGTTAAAATAGAGCCATGGTGGCGCAGTGGTTACAATGCAGTATTACAGGCTAGTTCTGCCAACTGCCAGCAGTTCAATTCTTACTGGGTCAAGGTTGACTCAATCTTCCATTCTTCTGAGGTCGTTAAAATGAGAACCTAGATACTCATTTTACTGACCTCTGGGTAAAACTTCAGCCTGGGGGAATAGGCAGACATTGTAAACTGTTTAAAGATGGCTGTAAAGCACTATGAAGCTAAGTGCAATTGCTATTGCTAAAGATTAAGTTTCTTCTTTGTTTCCGTCTCTTTCCATGGCCTGAGAGCTAAGCAAGAAAGGAAACACAGTTGATGAAATCTGAGTAAGTTATATAACAATCTAGGGACTGGCAGGCTAGATGTGCTATTGATTTGACTTTTTATTCTGTAAGCTAGTGTTTCTCAACTTTATATCGGGTGGACTTCAAGTCCCAGAATTCCCCAGCCAGAGTCTCTATGCTGCATGATGGCTGGGGAATTCTGGGAGGGTTCACCCATCTTAAAGTTGCCAAGGTTGAGAAACACCAAGTAGGTTAATTATTATTAGGGGTTGAGAAGGAACAGAGAGTGATAACTCTAGCAAAATGAAAATCATTGAATGGAAAAATGGATTGGTGACCAAATTAATTTTCAGGAATAGACCAGCTAAAAATTGGAGTAATGCATTTGAAAACAAGAATATTGCTTTTGTGCATTTTTTTGCATGTACTTCACCACATCCGGTCCACAATTAAACCATCCCACGTACCTCAACTAAAAGCGTTTTGATCACAACATCTTTTTGCTGTATGCTGGGCATCTCCACTATTTCATTCCCACAGAGCTGATCTGAGCTCAGGGCTTCGGCACTGGCTGTGAAATTCACTTCACCTAGGACAAAAAAAAATCACCTGGTCACAACTATGATATACAAGCAGTTAAGGATGTCCAATTTAAGGACCATCACTAGATCTGAACGGTCTCCCAATTATTAAAAATGACAGACCGTATTCTCCTTTCTGGAGCTGATTAAGCACTGAAGCTATGCAGCTTTAATATATAGCAGATCCTGAAAGCATTGTGAATCTTCAGCATTTCACCACTTTGGAAGAATTGGAAGTGGAAAGAAGTGGAAGAATTTTGGAACAGACAATCTATTCCCAACTTAAACATGAGTTTCCGTCAGACACTGATTTACAAAATGGAACCCAGGGTCTACCTATAAATTACAGTAATTTTCCACCTTAAGTAATTGCCCATTGTAGATAGGAAATTACCAAAAAGCCTGATAGGGTTATGTCTAGCCTTTTGAATATTGTCTCTTGGTAGATCTCTTCTCTGGCCAGTTTGTTAAGGTATTTAAAATTTAGTAGCTGAAAACAGTGAGGTTGTACAATGAACCAGAGCATACAGTTATAGTTGATTGTTTGGAGGGTGCCGGCTCCTGTATGAGGCAATCTCCACTGTGATTGGTTGCTGTGGGTGTGGAGGGGGAGTTTCCCTTTTTTCCCGCCATTTTTTCTTCTGTGCCCTGGATGCCTGGATGATTTACCTCACGATGTATTGATGTGCCTGACTATCTTGTTTGCTGTCAATATAGATGTTAAATATATTTATTTATAAAAAACTGCAAGTTCGTGTCAGGGTGTCTTGATGCCATTTGGATACCTGCAGGGCAATTCCCGGATAGAGTTTTAGAACATATTTTCACAAAACTTTCTTACCCAAAGACCTTTCTTCACCCAGTCATCTGATAATCCAGGCAGAACTGGCAACTGACAATACAACCATTAGTCAAGAGAAATGACTATGGATCATTTTAAGGGACTATCGAGTTTTTAGCTGATCTACTTCTTCCAGTCCTACTTGATATTGCATGAGCTTTTGGGTCATCAAAGCTCTTTTCCTATTGGTCAGGCAGCACCTACGGGTAACCATTGTGTACCCTAGCCAATTTGTATTTGAGAGCAATTACTTGGACTACCATGTCTTGGTAGCCATGTTTATTCCAGAGTACCTTGCGTTTTTCGACTCTTCTTCATTTCCATATCTGTCCTTTGGAGGATTAAGTGAGCAGGGAAGAATTACTGGTTCAATCAATCAATCAATCAATCAATCAATCAATCAATCAAAACAGAGCTAGAAGGGACCTTGGAGGTCTTCTACTCCAACCCCCTGCTCAAGCAGGAGACTATACAGCATTCCAGACAAGTGGCTGTCCAGTCTCTTCTTAAAAACCTCGAGTGATGAAGCACCCGCAACGTCTGAAGGCAAGCTGTTCCACTGATTAATTTTCCTCACTGTTGGGAAGCTTTTCCTTAATTCCAGGTTGCTTCTCTCCTGGATTAGTTTCCATGCATTGCTTCTTGTCCTGCCCACTGGTGCTTTAGAAAATAAGTTGATCTCCTCCTCTTTGTAGCTGCCTTTCAAATACTGGAATACTGCTATCATGCCACCCCTCGTCCTTCTTTTCTCTAGACTAGCCAAACCCAAATAATACAACCGTTCTTCATATGTTTTAGACTCCAGGCCTTGATAATCATATTAGTTGCTCTTCTTTGCACTTTTTCTAAAGTCTCAACATCTTTTTTGTAATGTGGTGACCAAATCTGGATGCAGTATTCCAGGTGTGGCCTTACTAAGGCTTTATAAAGTGGTACTAAGACTTTATGTGATTTTGATTCTATGCCTCCGTTTATACAATCAAGGATTGTATTAGCTTTTTTGGCTGCCGCCGCACACTGCTGATTCATGTCTAAGTGATCATCCACTAGGACTCCAAGGACCCTCTCACAGTTACTGTTTTTGAGCCAAGTTTCACCTAATCTGTACTTTTACCTGCCTAAGTATAAATGCTTGCTTTTCTCCACATTAAATTTCATTTTGTTGAATAGGGCCCATTGTTCAAGTCTGTCAAGATCTTTTTGTATCCTGAGCTTGTCTTCTGGGGTATTGGCTATCCTTGCCTGCTTAATGTCATCTGCTTGAATTATTAGGTTGAATTGTTGGGTTGTTGAATTCCTGTAACAACCTTGAACCTTCTCTGACTTTGTTAAATGTGTTACCTTAATTTTGTTGTTATCTGGAACAAGTAGTATCCAAGAAAGCCTGCTCAACCCCAATTTTATTTCACATAAAACATTAAAATTGTTGTTCTGTGGCATGCAAGTTTAAACTACAATCATCCCCACTCATCATCCTCACCCTCTTTTTCAGTTTTACAACATGAGATCAGATGATGAAAACATAACTCATCTCTTAAAACTTATCTTGGTCCAGTAAGTTGGAAATCATCTTCTATGAAAATGGCTCCTCTTCCTCTCAGCCCCCAACCCTAACTGACTATTCCAACTTTATTTATATCTCACTTTTATTATTTTTATAAATAATTCAAGGCAATGGACATATATTACATACCAAGTGATTTGGGAGTCACCATCCAAGACACTGTTCTCCTTCCATTTGCACAAATGCAGTAAGATTCTTCCTCCTTTTTCACAGGGGTTGTCTCAAAGTCAGCAGAAGGAGCCAGAGATATTGTGACCTGGTGATAAAGAATAAGACGACAATGAGAAAGCTAGGTGGTGCCCCTTGAGTGGTACCCCTCCAGGGAAGGAATTCCAAAAAGGAGGAGAAAGAACAAGGTGGGCTTCAGTAGATAAGAAGTAAAGATTAAGAGACACAGAAGGTTTCAGACAGAGAAAGGGTAGATTAGCCTTGCTGAGTTTTAGACAAATGTTTGTCCAATCTCCTCTTAAAAGAACTCCAGTATTGGAGCGTCTACAACTTCTGGAGCAATGGCCCGCCATCTTTTGGGCACCACGGACTGGTTCCATGGAGAGAGGTTTTTCTGTGGCCCAGAGGGGGCGTGGTTTCACGTGCTGCCTGCAAACTGCAGATGGGGCTTCGCTTGTTTGCGCAGCCCGGTTTCCTTATTCCTGCATTGAGGTTCTGAGGGGCACATGACGTGGATTTTGTAATTTGTTAACCGACACAGTTATTTTGTATTTTAATTTGTTCTGACCCAGCCTTAGCAAGTAATGTTAGGCTGCTTACTCGAGAGTAAAAACAAACTCCTTTTCAAACAGGATAGGAACAGTCTTTTATTCATGTCGATAAACAAAAAACAAGCGTAATTACTCCCAACAGACCTCGGAATTAATTGCTTGCTGTACCTTAAAAACAGCAAGTCCGAATTGCTTGCTGTATCCTAAAAACTTCATGCTTCATGCTGCGGCCAAGTGCCGGTCCACGGACTGGGGGTTGGAGACCCTTGTTCTGGAGGGTTGAATAATTATGAGCCGCGGTGGCGCAGTGGTTAGAGTGCAGTACAGCAGGCTACTTCCGCTGATCACCAGCTGCCAGCAGTTTGGCAGATCGAATCTCACCTGGCTCAAGGTTGACTCAGCCTTCCATCTTTCCAAGGTCGGTAAAATGAGGACCCAGATTGTTGGGGGCAATAGGCTGACTCTGTAAACAGCTTAGAGAGGGCTGTAAAGCACTATGAAGCGGTATATAAGTGCTATTGCTATTGCTAATTATAATAGCCTAAAAACAGCATGTGGAGTCTGGGAGCATTTCTAGTCATTGAAATAATAGCAGAACAGAATAACAGAGTTGGAAGGGAGCTTGGAGGTCTTCTATTACAACCCCTTACTCAAGCAGGAGACCCTATATCAGGGGTCTGCAACCTTAAACACTCAAAGAGCCATTTGGACCTGTTTCCCACAGAAAAGAAAACACCGGGAGCCACAAAACCCTTCCCGTGCCTGACTATTTCTTGAGCGGCCACAAAACTAGCATATATAGTTGAATTAAACATTCTGTTTTCTTCTGAAACTTTTCTTTTCTTGGATGTATCCATGGTTGGCCTACCGGGGGTTGAAAAGCTCAATAAATCGCATGCCAGCGGGTGTCACACATTGATGGTTGTGACAAATATTTTGAGTGACAGGGAGGTGTGAAAGAGGGGTGAAAGAGCCACATGCGACTCTAGAGCCGCAGGTTGCTGACCCCTGCCCTATATCATTCTAGACAAACAGCTGTCCAATTTCTACTTAAAAACCTCCAATGATGGAGCACCCACAATTTCAGACAAGTGGTTGTCCAAGCTCTTCTTAGGAACCTCCAGTGAATGAGCACCCACAACGTTGCAATCCACAACTGTTAAGGACTCCTTACCCGGATGCAGTGAGTCTGGTAGGAGAAGACGGTGGCTTTGAGCAGGAAGGCTTCTCCTCGCACCACGGAATATGGCAAGGTGAGTTCAACGAAAAACGGCTGAAAGGCCTTCAGAACGGTGGGCTGGGCCAGGCCAAAGCCTGTGTCTGCTGAAAGGCAGAAAGCTCCGGCTTTCCATTCGGTGATGGTGTCCGGGATGGTCACGGGAACAGACAAGGTTTTAGAATCTCTGAAAGAAAGAAGAGATCAGCAAGTGAGGAGAAGGGATACCAAAATCCTTGCAGTGAGAAAACCTATGCAGGGTCAATATACACAGCATCTCAATTACAGATAATCTATAATTAACAACAGCAACAACTAAGCAACATGGTTTTCAAGCACAATGTCATGTCACTGCACCAGTGGTGGGTTCCTCCCGGTTCGGTCCGGTTCGGCTGAGTCGGTAGCGGTGACGATACGACGTCACCGAACCGGTTCTCCCCCCCGCCCTCCCACCCCCACCCACGTTATTCTTACCTTTTATTTGGTCCCACCCCCAATCTATTGCCGCCTCCTGAGTCCCAGCTGATGACTAGAGGGAAAAAAACTGTTTAAACTCTTGCCGCGGGGCTTCGAATGGCCGTCCTACAGCTGATCAATGTTAAAAGCAAACAAATTAGTCGCGTCGTAAGTGCGAGGACTGGTCGTAAGTGTGAGGACCTTCCAGAAATGACTGACCAGCTAGCCACGCCCACCTAGTCACATGACCTCCAAGCCACACCCACAAAATAAGCCACACTCACAGAACCGATAGTAAAAAAATTTAGAACCCACCCCTGCACTGCACCATTCGGTGACAGCAGTTCTGGTTGCCACCATTAAGTGAATCCCATGCCATTGTTAAGTGTGATATAACTTGGTTACTTTGAGGATGTCATATGTAGCACTCATTCAGCAAAGTCCTAAGTTTAAGCAATCACTGAATGTGTGATCATTAAACAAGAACCAATGCATTTGTATTGTACTTTCAAATCAGTTTCTGAAATCTTTTGGGGATTTTTTTTTTCTAGAGCAACTCCTATTCCTTTGGCCAAAAGGATAAATTTTAAGAACTGAAACAAATGGGATTGATGGAATTGTTCGTGTTGAGAGAACTGCACTCAGAAGGAATTGAGAGCCAAATCTGGCCCTAGGTTCTGCCTTGGTTTACCTTCCCAATAAGCAACCGAGTTGGAAGATCATTTAAAAGCAATTAATTAGGGTAACCCTGATAAAGTAGGATCTCCCTATGAAAAGGGAGAACCTCGAGACTCATCTTACATTCCTTTTTATAGTTAACACAACAAAGAAAAATGAAAGAGGAAAGATGCAGTAGGAGTAATCCCTCCTTGCACTGTAAATCAACCACAAAGGTTGTCGAAGTTAGATAACTCGATGCCAGTTGACACTAAGAAACTTTTTCTTATCAGGAGATAGTATCCAGCTATCCTTCTGTAACTTATCTTTTCAGTTTAAGGATGTTAGAAGCAATCTAATTAATCCATACAATCATAGGATATAAGTTTTCCTAGATTCCAATCTCTAATGAACCTGAACATTATTTTTTTTTATTGCAAAAGTTTTACAATTACATTTTCACCCCTTTTCCCCGCCCCCCAACACCCACCCCAAACTTCCCAACCTCCCTAACCCTCCCCGCCCCCCCGGACTTCCACACAATATAGTCATATCAAAGAAAGAAACCCCCCTTAATATAAAACTTGTATAAAACTTGAGCCCCTCCCTCCCCCTTATAATTTTTTTTCCCCACCCCTTTCATTACATTAAAATATTTCTAATACATTATTTTCAAATGAAAGCTATTTGGTACTTCCTAGTTTGATATTTGTTCTGAATATATTCTATCCACTTTTTCCATTCCCATTCATAAATCTCTTGTGAACAGTCTTTTAAGTATGCTGAAATCTTCGCCATCTCTGCAAAATTGGCCATCTTCAAAGTCCATTCCTCAATAGTGGGCAAAGCTTCATTTTTCCAGTATTTACCTATCAACAATCTTGCTGCTGTTATCATATACAATATCAGTTTTGTTTCACCCAATGTAAAACCCTTAACTATACCCAATAAAAACAGTTGTGGAGAAAATTGAATTTTTTTCTTCAAAACATTCTGCATGACCCACCAAATTTTTATCCAAAAAGCCTTAACTTTCCTACAGGTCCACCAAACATGATAATATGTGGCATCTAAACAATCACATCTCCAACATTTTGGTTGAACATTAGGGTACATACACGACAACTTTTTGGGATCTAAATGCCATCTATAAAACATTTTATAGAAATTTTCCCTCAAATTCTGAGACTGTGTAAACTTAACATTCTGAACCCAAATTTTTTCCCATGTTTCCAACATCACTGATTCTTCAAAATTTTGTGCCCACTTAATCATACAGTCTTTAACTAATTCAGTTTCTGAATCCCTTTCTAGCAAAACATTATAAAGCCTTTTGATATGCATTGGACTTTCTCTTTTATATGTCTAACCAATTCTACCTCATGCAACATAATACCAGTTTTTTGGTCCTCTTTCCATCTCGATTGTAATTGATTATATTGTAACCAAGTTAAATTAATCCCTTCAGCCAACAATGTCTGTAGTGTCTTCAGCTGCCATCTGCCCGCATCTGTAAAAAGAACCTCTTTGTATAACCCCCCCCCCCCGAGTGACATTATATTTGTATTCCACAAAATATGACCAAGATCCAGCCATAGCGGTATTTTATAATCCCATTTGGATCGGTGCTTCTTCCAAACTCTCATCAAAGAATCTCTAAGTATATGGCTTTTAAATACTTTATCAACTTTGTCATCATAAAATAAGTAAGCATGCCATCCAAATTCAAGATCAAAACTTTCTATATTCAATATTCCAGCCTTTTTCCTTCCAAACCAATCACTTGTTAAAGTCAAAGCTGCTGCATCATAATATAGCTGTAGGTTTGGAAGTTTAAGGCCTCCCCTTTCTGGAACATCTTGGATAATTTTCAATTTCACTCTCGGCTTTTTCTCGTTCCAGACAAACTTATTCACTCCAGTTTGCCACACTTTCAATTGTTTATCACTTTTAAGCACCGGAATCATTTGGAACAAAAAAAGAAATCTTGGCAAAATGTTCATCTTAACTGCTGCTATTCTTCCAAGTAGAGACAGCTGCAGTTTTTTCCAAGTCTCCATGTCTTTCTGCACCTCTCGCCACAACACCTCATAATTATTTTGAAACAATTTCATGTTTGATTCTGCAACCTGAACTCCTAGATATTTTACCTTAGGTACAATCTCAAAACCTGCCCTCCTTTCAAGCTCGTGTTTATGATCTTGTGTCATGTTTTTAACTATCATTTTTGTCTTTTTTGGATTCAGTCTAAAACCTGAAACTTTACCATAGTCTTGTATAATGTCCTTCATCAGGATGATTGATTCCATTGGTTGTGCTAGGGTAACAACCAGATCGTCTGCAAATGCCTTTATTCTGTAATCCTCTTGCCTTATCATTATACCTTTCAAGATATTAGAGTCCCGTATTGTGTTTAGCAAGACTTCTAATGTTAAAATAAATAAAAGTGGGGACAACGGACATCCTTGTCTTGTTCCTTTTTCAATTTTAAACTCTGTTGTCAAACTTCCATTAATGATAATCTGTGCCTTTTGCTCTTGATAAATTGCTGAGATCATCTGTATAAATTGATCCCCAAAGTCCATCTTTTTTAAAGTCTTTAGTAGAAAATTCCAATCCACTCTATCAAAGGCCTTCTCTGCATCCAAAAAAACCAGCACTGCAGGGATCTGTTTATTCTTCTCAAGATATTCCAATAAATCCTTACATTATCCTTCATGTATCTGCCCTCAATAAATCCCGCTTGATCATCATGAATCACCTTTTGAATTACTGGCATCAACCTGTTGGCTAATACCTTCGCATAAATTTTATAGTCTGTATTCAGAAGAGAAATTGGTCTATAATTCTCTGGTTTTTTAGGACCGGCTTGCTCTTTTGGTATCAGAGATATAAAGGCTGTTGTCCATGATGGGGGTATTTTGCCCCCTTGTTGAATATTACAAAATAAATCTCTGAGTTGTTCCACCATTTCAGCTTGCAAAGTTTTATGATACACTGCTGTCAAACCATCCGTTCCAGGAGCTTTAGCTGTTTTTAATTGTTTAATTGCTACTATTATCTCCTCCTCTGTTATAGGATAATTCATTCTTTCCTTTTGTTGATCAGTAATTTTTGTAACTCTTTTATCATCTAGATATTTTTCTATAAGTCCATTCTGCACCTCCTCTTTAGCGTATAGTTTAGAATAATAGTCCACAAAAGCTTCTTTAATTAATTTTTGTTGAAAAATTTCTTTCCCTCCAATATCAATACTATCAATAGTCCGTATACTCTGTTTTTTCCTCAGTGTGTAGGCCAACCATCTGCCCGGTTTGTTAGCATTGCAAAATGTATTATGCTTCGCATATTGTAAGTTTGTTGCAACTTGTTCCGCCATAAGCATTTGAAATTGGCCTTTCAAGAGTTTTATAGCACCACGTGTTCTTTCATCTGTTGGATTTTTAATAAGTAGCTGTTCTTTATTCTTTATTTCTACTTCCAGTTCAGATCTTTTCTTTTGTCGAATCAGTCTATGTTTAGAGTTCATGTGAATAAGCACCCCTCTCATATATGCTTTGCTTGCATCCCACACAATTTCTATTGGGGTACCTTTATTCAAATTTATTTCAAAAAATTCTTTCAGGTGTTTCTTAAGTTCTATTGTATTTTTTTCATACCTGAACAAGTTCTCGTTTAGTCTCCAAGAGCGTCTCTCAGTCTTATCTATCTCAATTTCTATCCATACTGGGCTATGGTCAGTCAAAGTTCTTGGAAAAATCTTTGTTCTTTTTGTCTTAACAAGTAGATCATCTGACAGCAAAATGAAATCAATCCTAGAGAAGGATCTATGTCTATCTGAGAAGAAAGTATAATCCAGTTCTTTTGGGTTGTGTATTCTCCAAATATCTTTTAATTCCAAATCTTCTTTCATATCGAAAAAAGTCTGAGGTAACCTAATCCTGGACTTCGCCAAACTCCTTTTATCTAATTTAGAGTCAATTACTCCATTCCAATCTCCCATGATTAAAATAGATCTATAGTCCCATTGCAGTATTTTGGTATGTAACATTTTATAAAAGTGATCCTGTTGTTGATTGGGAGCATAGATTCCGATCAAAAGAATTTGGCTATTTGTTGTACGTAATTCAATTGCTACAAACCTACCATCTTCATCTGCTTCTATAATTTTAGCCATAAATTTTTTATTTACATAAATAACCACCCCATTCTTTTTTTGTAACGTTGAAGATATAAAATGTGTTCCTAATTTGGAGTTTATCAAATATTTTTGATCTTGAACTGTAATATGCGTTTCTTGTAAACAAATTATATCATTATTAAATTGTTTCAAATATGCAAATAGTTTCTTCCTTTTCTGTGCTGAATTAAGCCCATTCACATTCCAAGATAAACACTTAAGCGTCATCTTTATCTTTCTGGAGCAAAGAGCAGAATAACCGAATATCTTCCGAAATCTTCGGTCTCGTTCCTCCCATGGCTCCAGTCTCTTGAGTAATAGTCTTAGCTCCCTTCTTATCTTGTCTTTCCTGTTTTTGCTTTTCTTTAAGTTGCTTAGATTTAGCTCGAGTTATACATTGATCCTGAACTTCAATCATCTGAGCCGGGTCCAAGATTGGAGAAGATTCCAGCAAAGGCTCATCCAGAAAACCTCCTTCAGCGCCTTGCGTTTCTGGTTCCTGCTTAGAGTGTTCTTGCGGTTCTTGTTGAGGTTGCTTCTCATCACTCCCCTTGATCTCCAACACTGTGGACGTACGTGGAGATGGTGTTCTTTCTTTAAAAATAGTAGTGTAAAAATGCTCCGCCTTCTCCACAGTATTCAATCGATATCTTTCTCCCTTGTATCTCAGAATTATGCCAGTTGGGGCGTCCCACCGAAATGGTATCTGTTGATTTTGTAATTCTTTAACCAGAAAGCCAAAGTCTTTTCTAGTTTTCAACATCTTAGGTGGTAATTCTTTGTACACTCCAATTTGTGAGCCCCCCACTTGCACAGAGGTGTAAAAGGATTTTTGCAGGATGTCATTTCTTATTGCTCTATCTGTAAAATATATGACCACATCTCTAGGCAATTGTCTTTGTCTGGCCACCCATGAATTCACTCTGTAAATTTTATCAATTTTGTGAAAAACCAGATCAGGATTAATTTTTAAAATTTCAGCCAAAGCCTCAGAGCAGATCTGTCTCAAATCCTGTCTATCATCTTCTCGAATTCCTCGAAGCCGTATAGCGAATTCCATTGCCCTGAATTGTAACATAACAATTTCGTTTTCAACTCTCTGCACTTTATCATCTACATCAGAAATTTTATAATCATTATCTTTCATCTTAACATTGACTTCTGATTTAAATTCTTCAACTTTGGAGTCAACTTTGATAATAAATTCTGCCAGGCCAGACGCCACTTCTGATATTTTTTTTGGTCACCTTATTTTGATTCTGTTCCACCATATCTTTAATTTCATTAATTTCCTGCGTAATTTCCTGTTGAAACTTTTGAAGTTTGTCATCTATTTCCTGTTGGGATTTTTGAAATTTATCATCCAAAATTTTTGAAATAAATTCTTTTAAATCTCCCACATCAAAATCTTTTTTCTGAGTCTGTATCTGTTGTGCAGTGGGAAGCTGCGTTTCATGCTTATGTGTGGGGGATCCCCCCCCCTGTTGCCTTCACTTCTTGCTTCTTTGAGGCCATCCTGCCACGTAAGCTAGTTTTTCTAAAAAGGGAAGTTCTTCTTCCTTTCCCACCTCCACTAAGATTTCTGAAAAAGTCCCCCAGATTTAGACAGATGAGGAGAAATAGAACAAAATCAGGGGAGGAATTTTTCTCTTATTTCTCTTATTATGAATGAAGCAACTTTGTAGCAACTTTAAAAACTTTGTAACAAGGCAAGATAAGTTTGCTAATCCACACTCGCAGGCTTGTTAACTCTCAAGCTGAGCGCCATATTTTTTCAGTTCACTTTCACTCATCCACATTTTGTCTCAGATTAAAAAAACCAACAAAACTCTAATACTTGTGATTCCGAGTTTCTGGGTTCAAGTAGTTTTCACTGATTATTGAGGCTGGTTCCTTGCGCTTTGAAGTTTCCTGCAGCCGGCTTGTTCTGCGAAAGCAGACTTGTCCCACGCCGCCCGGAGGTTCAGCAGGTTGAACGGGAGCCGCTCCTGTTCCCTCCCCAGAAACACTTCCCTGGGGGGTTACAGGGGCTCGACCTGTGCCCTGCGATCTCTTCTTCAAAAATCCTAAGGAATTTGAAGTTTTCGAGCCGCTTCTCAGTCGCGAAGCGGCTCTACAGCGGCGGGGCTGGCGGCGCTTCAAAAGGCACCGCCGTCGCCGAAGACGAGGAAACCGGAAGTCCCAACCTGAACATTATTTTAAAAGGAAGAAAATAAGTCAATTTAAAATACAAAATAACTGTGTTAGTTAACAAATTACAAAATCCATGTCATGTGACCCTCAGAACCTTGATGAGGGAATGAAAAAAGGTCAAGATAATAACTAAGATTGGGGGTGGGGGTCAAATCATCACCCATTTATTGCATGTTTTAAGAGGGACAGGGCTTTCAGTTCCCATGATTGCATCTGGCACTCATGCGGAAAGTAAGAGACGATGCAAAGGAGAGAAATTAATTTAGAGCGGTTAGGACTTGAATATGATAGCATTTAACTCTGCATTTTTAGTGCAAAACACAACCCAAACGTTTGTTACCATTTCAAATCGTCAGTTCTCTGACGTTTGCAGTGTGGTTTTCCAACCACAAAAACAATGTAAAGTAACGAGAAGTCAGTTCAAAAGTGTTGCAGATTGATAAAATGCCCTATTAGGCTGTTGTTAGGCATTTCTCTGCAAAATGCAGGACTTCAAATTAAAGCTTCTCTGACATCTTTCTTAAAAGAAATCCCATTAAGGAGAAGGCATCACATCTCAGGATCATCAGTGTCTATGGCCCTTGTTAGTGGCACTGCTCTTCCCAAAATGACAAGAGCATCCTTGAAGTCTTTAGAGAACCATAAAGATGATCTTGGAAGAAGCCATTAAGTAGCTACAAAAGTATTAGACTATCTTCCCTTAACTCCCCTGGAATATAAAAAGGTAGGGAAGGGAAAACACAGGAGACTTGCAAGATTCTGTTACCATAAAGGTAAAGGTTCCCCTCACACATATGTGCTAGTAATTCCCGACTCTAAGGGGTGGTGCTCAACTCCGTTTCAAAGCCAAAGAGCCAGCACTATCTGAAGACGTCTCCGTGGTCATGTGGCCGGTATGACTAAACGCCAAAGGCACACGGAACACCGTTATCTTCCCACCAAAGGTGGTCCCTATTTTTCTACTTGCATTTTTTACGTGCTTTCGAACTACTAGGTTGGCAGAAGCTGGGGCAAGTCACGGGAGCTCACCCCGTTATGCAGCACTAAGGATTCGAACCGCTGAGCTGCTGACCTTTGGATCAACAAACTCAGTGTCTTAGCCACTGAGCCACTGTGTTACCATACCAGTGTTGGGTTTCAAAATTTTTTACTACCGGTTCTGTGGGTGTGGCTTAGTGGGCATGGCATGGCTTGATGAGCGTGGCTTGGTGGGCGTGGCAGGGGAAGGATACTGCAAAATCCCCATTTCCTCCCGATCAGCTGGCACTTGAGTTTCTTTCTAATATTTTCCACCTCCCTGAGTTCAACATAAGGATCTTAAGGACTTCTGGTTGACATCTCGAAGGTTGTCACAACACACCTAAGAAAAGGGTGTGGCTTATATCACACCACCACAATGCTGCAAAGAACCTACAGGTTGGGGTGATATAGCATAAACACATGGGCAGCAGCAGATACGGGAATATTTTCTGAGAAGCTGTAATCAATGAATGGCCTGTACTTTTGCAGCCTGACACCACCACTTACTCTATTATCACCAAATCCCACAACCACGTTTCAGGGAACTGCATTCTGACAGTCTCAACAGGCCTCGTTTCGGTAGTGGAAGTAGGAGGACTATTTTCGAGCAAACTAAGTGACATACCACCCGGTGGTGGGGCACCTCCCAATTGTATATAGCCAGGAGGACCTAGAGGAAAAGAATATGAGAGAATTTACATGTATTCCACCTTATTTGTAAAGACCCTTGATAGACCTGATCTGCAGGAACTCATCTCATCTCTTTGAAAGCCATATTGTGTTTTCCCAAAAATAAGACCCAGTCTTACATTATTATTATTTGCCTCTAAAAGACACATTAGGGCTTATTTTCAGGGAAACATGGTACCAGAGATGGTGAGGGACTGGCCCCCGCCACCCTAGCCTCACGCCCTCCCCAGTGCACATCATCATCATCATCATCATCCCTCTGGTTTGGAACAATATGACCTCCAAATGTCACTGGTAGGAGAAGGGTAGGTGCCCCTCTCCTGATTCCAAGCTCCCACAATTCTGGTTGTCCAATATGAGAAATGTGGGGGACAAAGGATGTTGGCATGATCCAATGTGGGCGACAAAGAATGTTGGCATGACACACAACTGTTTGTTGTCCCAAAGGTGCTTTTTTCAAGAGGCAACTGGACTTTCTGGGGGGGTTTTGAAGACATTTTGCTTCTCATCCAAAAAGCTTCTTTAGCTCTGACTGGATGGAGGGGAATGGAAGGATTTATACTCCTTGCAGACAGCTGGTCATTTGTATTTTTTTAGTGGGTTGTTAAGGTCACCTGTGTTCTGTCCCCATTCCACTCACGCACCCCCACAGACGGCCCGAAGTTAATAAGCCACACAACAAAATTCTTTGAAAATAAAGCTGACAGCAACCCAGTGGCTAGCTGCCAATTCAGACTTTACTCACACAAAACAAAGATTAGCCTGCCAGCATTCCGATAAAACAGGCAGAGTTTTCAACAATACAAGGATTAATCCAAATGCAGTCCAATAAAGCAGGCAAAGAGCCTTGGTAGTACAGTGGTCTAAGGCACCCTGTTATTAAGCTGGTTATTAAGACCAGCTGCCTGCAATTACTGCAGGTTCGAATCTCGCCAAGGCTCAAGGTTGACTCAGCCTTCCATCCTTTCTAAGGTAGGTAAAATGAGGACCCAGTTTGTGGGGGCAATAAGCTGACTTTGTATAAATATACAAAAGGATGAAGGCTATTGCTGAGCACATTGTAAGCCGCCCTGAGTCTCTGGAGAAGGGCGGCATATAAATCAAATTAAAAAAAAAAAAAGTCCAGTAACGCAGAAATCATGGATTAGTTCTAGTTTTTGCTCGTCAGAAACTGAACCGGCCACCACACCCACATTTATTCCCTGTGGGGTGTGGTCCAGTGACTCAGCTAATCTCTGGCACGCCTTCCCCTCTGCTGCGCACCCTTCTCCCTGCGCCTCTGGTGAGGGTCCAGCCAGCACTTATCTCCTTCGTCACTGTCCACCTGTGGCTGCGGGGACGTGCTTGACTCTGAGCCTATCTTTTGGTCTTCGGTGTCCTCCGGAGGCATTGCCAGAGAGGAGGGTCCTGGAGAGGGAGGCCTTGCCAACTCCTCTTCCTCACTCTCAGAGTCTGCATCTGTCGATAGCCCAGGCTCAGGCAACGGAGCCACAACAACCTGGAGGTTTATCTTTGTCATCAGGATCACCTGAGTGGTGCATAATAGTGTGGAGCCTTCTTGGAACTTTGAAAGGACTGTGTTGTAGATTGGAATACGACATCATCTATCTCCAATCTACAACACAGTCCTTTCAACAGTTCCAGGAAGGCTCCACACCCATGTCCCAGGGCTATGCGATCACTTTTTGCGACCTTCTGACAAGCAAAGTCAATTGGGAAGCCAGACTGACTTTACAACTGTTTTACTAACTTAACAACTGCAGAGATTCACTTAACAACTACAACAAGAAAGGTCGTAAAGTGGGGCAAAACTTAATTAACAACTGTCTTGCTTAGAAATTGAAATTTTGGGCTCAATTCAGATCGTAAATCAAGGACTAGCTGTGTTTATCACTGCTACTAGAGTTACAGGTTACCTTTTTTCTAGAATGGAATGGAGTGGAGTGGAGTGGAAGGGGAGGGGAGGGGAGGGGAGAGGAGAGGAGAGAAGCTGGAAGGGACCTTGGAGGTCCTCTAGTCCAGCCCCCTGCTCAAGCAATAGACCCTATACCAGTGATGGCTAACCTTTTTGCTATCACATGCCAGGAAGGGGGTGGGGGTGGGGGAGGTTCGCACGCGTGTGTGCCCACACTCATTATTCTATGCGCCCTGCCCTGTGCATGCACACGCAACCCCCCTCCCCCCTCGCTCCTGGAATGTGATGGCCCAGTAGGCCAATTTTTCTTTCTCACCTGGCTCCAGATCTCTCTCTATGCATCTGTGAAGGGCGAAAAGTCTTTTCCACTCCCTCGGAGGACCTCCGAAGGCCTAAAACGGCCCATTTCCCATCTCCCGGTGGGACAGGAAGTGAAGTTTTTTCTGTCCCCAACCTCCATAGCCCCTCTAGGAGTCTCTGGTGGCTGGGGACAGCAAAAAAGTCACTTCCTGTCCCACCGGGAGATGGGAAATGGGCCGTTTTAGGCCTTCGGAGGTCCTCCGAGGGAATGGGAAAGGCTGTTTTTGCCCTCCCCAGATGCATAGAGAGGATCTGGAGCCAGGGGAGAAAGAAAAATGGGCCTCCCCCCACCAGGTCCTTCGAAGGCAGGAAACAGCCTGTTTCCCTACTTCTGGTGGGCCCAGAAGGCCCAAAAATCAGCTGGCCAGTGCACACATACACGCCAGAGCTGAGCTGGCATGCCCATTCATATGGCTATGCGTGCTACCTCTGGCCATAGGTTCCCCATCATTGGCCTATACCATTTCAGACAAGTAACTGTCCAATCTCTTCTTAAAAACCTCCAGCAATAAAGGGTTTACCACTGAAGAAGCTCAGAACAATGTACATATTATTCCTTCCTACAATGTCCAATCCACACCCCACTTGTTTAACGGAGTCATAAAGAAAATTGAAGAGGGGGTGGGGTTCCAAACAAGAAACTAAGTTTCAATTCTGAAAGGCAGAAAGGATGAGTTCCCTGATCTGGGTGCTCTTAAACAGCTTCCTCAGGAGGCTGAAAACTTAAATTCCGTTTCTGCGGCAAACCCTGAGAAATACAAAGGAAAACCTTGATGATTGGCAGATCTTCTCCATTGCAAACAGCCATGATTGCTGTAGAGATCGTAGGGAAACAGGTGATCCTCGTCTTACGACCACTTAACAAAGGTTTCACTTAGCAATGGAAATTTGTGGTTGTAAGTCGAGGAATACCAGTAGGTATTGCATGCTCTTTAGTCAGCATAGACATAAGCACATGCAGAAATACACACACACATGCACAAAGTTTCCCTTTGTAGCAAAGCCACAAGAGCATTTTATTTTATATTTCCAGAGTGCATATCCTATAAATTCAGCCCTCAGTGGATCAAATGCTTACCATAGTAGCCTCTGAAAGACGGGGGGTTAAAGACCCGACATATGTTTGGCTTGTCTATTTTAGTGCTAGTAAAAACATTCAAACCCAAGTCCTGTCAAAGGAATAAAGAAGTCACAGTGAAACATTTCAGAAAGCATGAACAGACCCAAATGGGATATATATATATATATTTTAAATCCAAGGTGAATGCTAGGGGTAAAAATCCAATTCTCTCACAGCTGAACTCAAATCTTGTGACTTTTCCATCAACTGCCTGGAAATCATTTACCTCTGTAAATCAACTAGTCTATAACCCTGGGATTTCCTGGTGGTGTCCTAAATGCTGTTATCTAACCAATCAAAGGTAATGACTCAAGTCAAATTTAATTCTTGGAGGGGGTTTTTTTGGAGGGGAGATATCTATCAAGTGGTTTTGGAAACAGTATGTAAGGAGAAGACTCCTGCGAGTCCCTTGGACTGCGAGGCGATCAAACCGATTCAATCCTAGAGAAGATCAACCCTGACTGCTCTTTAGAAGGCCAGATTCTGACGATGAAACTCAAATACTTTGGCCACCTAATGAGAAGGAAGGACTCACTGGAGAAGAGCCTGATGCTGGGAAAGATTAACGGCAAAAGAAGAACAGGACGACAGAGAATGAGGTGGCTGGATGGAGTCCCTGAAGCAGTTGGGGTGCACTTAAATGGACTCCAGAAGATGATAGAGGACAGGAAGGCCTGGAGGAATGTTGTCCATGGGGTCGCAATGGGTCGGACACGACTTCACAACTAAGAACAACAACAAATGGAAGGAGTTTATCCTCACCTGTATCAAGGTAGATTTTTCAGCCCGAATTATAATCCTGAATCTCCAGAAGGTTTCTAGCCTCCTATTAAGCCAAACTCACTTCATTTTTGAGATCAGCTAAGCAGTTTCGTTCTTATTGATTGCTAGCCTGTCTCTATTCAAATCAGGAAACTGAGCTAAGGGTTTCTGTCTAAATCTCAAGAAATCTCAAGACTAAAATGATCTTGAAAGGGGAGTGATCCACCTGTGCCCAATAGAATAAACTGGAAATTTCACCTTCCAGAAGCAGCAGAGAAGCTCACCTTAAGAATTTTGGAAACATCGGCTTCCCCATAAGAAAAAGGAACAGGGTGATAATGGATACCATCCACTTTAATATTTTTCATTTTGATGCATGGCTTCTCCCATTCGTTCCATCCATACTCAAAGTATCGGTCAGGTGAATAGTCTGGGAGCAATTTATAGATCTGAAAAGAGAGACGTTGAAATTCAGTAAAGCTACCCATCTCATGCGGATCCCCAATTCAGTTCGCGCAACAGTAGAGGAGGGGAATCTTTTCATTTTTGTGTTTGCTAAAATGGGATACCCTATTACCATATTTTTCGGAGTATAAGACGTACCAGAGTATGACACACCTACCGTTTTTGGTGAGGAAAAGAAGAAAAAGAAATCTCCCTCTGCCTCTGAGCAAATTTGCCTCATTGCAGCAAACAGCCAACAGCCTGCTTTACTTTCATTTTCAGTATAGCTTGATTAGCACAAGGAAAAAAAATCTGCTCCAGCAATTCACCTCTTTGCAGCAAGTAGCAGAGCCCTGCGCAAAACAGCTGAAAGCAAATCAGCTGAGAGTAGGGAGGCCGATCCAATCAACTTGTGCTAATTAGGCTGTGCTGAAGCTGAAAGGAGCTGTTTTTTCTTGCTGTTTGCTTGCAAGGAGGTAACTGCTGTGAGGCAGAGGCTACAGGGTGGGAGCCAGTGGGTGAGCAGGGCTACATTTGGTGTATAAGACACACCAAAACTTTTACCCCCTTTTACCCCCGATCTCTTAAGGTTGTAAACCTTAAATTTTTGCCCCCTACCTCTTAAGGTTGTAGGAAAAAATGCTTTTAAAAGTAAAAAAAAAAATTGGCCACCCAGTCACACTACCCTCCCCACCAAGCCATGCCCACAAAACAAGCCACTCCCACAGAACATGTAGTAAAAAATTTTAGAACCCACCCCTGATATGAACATATGACTTCATAGGTTCTCCATAGGACTCACCTTCTCAGTGGAAAGCTCGGCTTCAGGTTTCAAGAGAAAGATACTCTGGTCAACTGCATGGAAAGCACAGAGAGAGCCGGAGGAAGCAGCAAGATGGAGTTGGGTTTTCTGGCCAGGCAGGCCTTGTTGATTAGAGAACCACAGTCTGGCCTGCGAACATAAACCAGATCTTTGAAAAGGGCATTTCTTCTGCTAAATGGTATAAGAAATGAGCCCAATGGAGCCATCCTTCTCTGAAGCTGCAGAAGGCCAGACTGTGCTGGCAAGATTCAAAGCTTCTTGGCCCGCCGCCCTCATCGTCATGACAACCTAGCTGCCAATCAAATAAGCACTGTTTGCTAAGAGACAAAAGGAAGGGAAGACAAAATGGCTGCCGGGAAGTTCCACCATTACCAGTCTTGGTGAGGAAAAGGCAGAATAAGCAGCCAAACTCTGGAGTAAAAATAAGGAGTATTTTTAAAAAAAAAAAAATACAGTCCTGTGGAGACAAAGCAACGGAAAAAGAGGCATCAGGTGAGAAAACTGGGGGCGGGGGAAGGAGAGAAAGACATCTTTTTCCTTCCCTCAGAGCTGCATGAGGGAAAAGTTGTTCCAAGCCGTTTCCCTCAGACCGAGGCAAGATAGGAAAGAAGAAAAGAGGCCAGAAGCCCAGCCAGGATCCAACCAGCAGAAAAGCGGAAGAAAAAGTCACGGATTTGACACAAGCAGAAACACAAACTAAAAATAATAATAATAATTAAAAGATCAAGTTCTGAGAAAAAGATACAGCTCTAGAAAGGGACAATAGAGAAATGGAGAGAAGATAAAGAAGATAAAAGAAAAGAAAGATGGACAGATGTAGTGACATTGGACTTTTAAAGAATAGAATGTAGATAAAGAGCTGAGGGAAAATAATTATAATAGAAAGTAGTTCTAGTATTAAAATTAATTTCTGCACTGGCGGAAGACATTCATAATTCTCCGTTCCTTCCCCCCACCCCAATTTGTAAATTTCTGTTTTAAAAATAAAAGTCTTTCCTCAGCCACTGAGGAGTGATACAAAGAACCCAATCCACTATCCCAAGTTTCCAGTGTTTTGAGCCCAAAAATCATGTATCTCAGGGGTCCCCAACCCCCCTGGGCCACAGCCCACTACCAGGCCGTGGCCTATTTGCAACCGGGCTGCACAAGCAGTGTGCCAGTGCAGAGGTCTCTAACCTTGGCAACTTTAAGACTTGTGGACTTCAATTCCCAGAATTCCTCAGCCAGCTTTGCTGGCTGAAGAATTCTGGGAGTTGAAGTCCACAAGTCTTAAAGTTGCCAAGGTTGGAGACCCCTTGGCCAGTGTATGCACAAGTACGCATAGCTCAACTTGCACAAGCAGCAGGCCGGAGTATGTGCACACGCGTGCAGCTCAACTTGCGCAAGTTGAGCTGTTCGTGCACCCATGTGCATGCCGCCCCACTGCTCAGGCATGTTGAGCTGCATGCCCGCCACTTGTGCAGCCCAATTCCCTTCCTCCCCCGCCCGCCAAGCCACAAATATTGAGGACCACTGATCTAGCTCATCTTCTGCAGCCTATAAGTTCAACCATTTTGAGAAGTGACTGTCCAGCCCTTTCTTAAAAATATTCAGAGATGGAAAATCCATAGGTAGACAGTTCCATTGGTGTTTTTTTTTCTTATATTCAAATGAAACCAAGTCATTAGATGTAAGCAAGGATGTAAATGTAGACTGTTTAAGGAGCAGTAGTAAAAAAAAAAAAACTTGAGTTATTTATATAGGGTAGAAAGCACTGGAAACATTCATCATCCTTGCAATTTCTGCCCTAACCCTGCACTGTGACATCAGATGAATCAGGACTGATTGAATCCAGCTCAGGATCAACAAGTCCTATTCTACAGATGTGCAGATATTTTATTTTCTACATGCATACATTTGTATTCTGGATTGTCAGGAAGGATTTTTAATGAGAGGTGGCTATCTAGTCTATGTTTGGCTTTCAATTTTGAGTTTCAAATTTCTTTAAAATTATCAATTTAACTATATTGGTATATTCTATTTCACATTACAGATTAACAGACTTGGAAGGGACCTTTTGGTCATCTAGTCCAACCCCCTGCTCAAGCAGGAGACTTTACACCAATAATGGGCAACCTTTTTGCCATTGCGTGCCAGGAGGGGGTGGTGGGTTGCGCGTGCACGTGCCCATACCCATAATTCTATGCTACCTACCCCCACACATGTGGGCATGATACCCCCACGCCCCTGCGGCCCCCGCTCCTGGCACGTGATGGCCCGGTAGGCCCGTTTTTCTCTCTCACCTGGCTCCAGAGCCTCTCTATAAGTCTGGGAGGGCGAAAACAGCCTTCCTCACCCATCAGCCCATTTGCCAACTTCCAGTCATTTCCTGTCCAACCGGAAGTTGGCAAATGGGCCGAGGGGTTGGGAAGGCTGTTTTCACCCTCCCCAGACTCATAGAGAAGCTCTGGAGCCAGCTGAGAGAGAAAAATGGGCCTTCCCTACCACCCCCCAGGCCCTCCAGAGGCAGGAAACAGCCTGTTTCCCTACTTCTGGTGGGCCCAGAAGGCCTGAAAATCAGCTGAGCTTGCGTGCCCACTGATATGGCTATGCGTGCCACCTGTGACACACGTGCCATAGGTTCGCCATCACAGCTTTACAACATTTCTGACAAATGGCAGTCCAATTTCTGCTTGAAAGCCTCCAGTAATGAAGCCCCCACAACTTCTGAAGACAAGCTGTTCCATTGGTTGATTGTTCTCACTGTCAGAAAATTTATCCTTATTTCTAATTTCTCCTTGATCAGTTTCCATCATTATTCCTTGTCTGGCCTTCAGGTGCCTTGGAAAATAACTTGACCCCTTCCTTTCTTTGGCAGCCCCTCAAATATTGGAACACTGCTATCATGTCTCCTCTGGTCGTTCTTCTCATTTGCATTTCATTTACAAATGTCTTCTTTTAGGCTTCTCTTCTGCCTGATTTGTCCAATCTACACATTTTTCCAACCAATTCCTAGGAAGTAGCCATTAAACCTGGAGGCCTTCTAGTTTAACCCCCTGTTCCAAGGTCCCTTCTTACTCTGTAATGCTGTAAATCTATACTGTCTTTTCTGTGTGTTCAGTCCAGTTCAGGTCAGAAGGGATACCCATCTCACATTAACTACATGATCTGTATGCTATTTCCGAAACACGGTTAAAAGTGGACATTTTGTTTCTTCACTTACCTTGTTGGAGAAGCACTTTTCTACAGTGAAATCTCTTGAGTGAGCAACGAGTTCTCCGCTGGGCAAAATGGTGTAGAGAAGCAAGCGGGTTATGGGAGCAGTGTCAACATCCACCAAGAGATTCAAAAGGAAGTCCCCTTTGGGTTCTAAAGCAAGAAAATCCCAGGAGGAAAGAGAGAGAGAGAGAAATTGAAAAGGGGAAAGTTAGAAGGAATTAATTCCAGTTGGAATACATCAGATAACCACAACGGGCTGAGAAATGTGGGATAGAAGTGGATCATTGAAATATCAGGAGCTGGAGGGCTTCAGCTGCTCTCTTTTCCTTCATAGTTGTATGGCCTCACCTTATCCATGAATCAGGAGGTGAATCTCCCTCCAATAACATCTTCTACCGCAAAGGAGGGCAACGGACATAAAACACGCCACGTGGCACATGCCATGGAGCCAGTGGTGAAATATGAACCGGTTTACTACTGGTTCGCTGGTTGCGCATGCGCGCTGTGCACCAAATATGTGGTGTGTGTGCGCATGTGCAGTGTGCACCACACACCAAATGCGAGGTGGGCGTGCTCAGCTGTGATCGTCAAAGCCTTTTTTTAACCTTTTAAAAGCATTTTTTACAACCTATTTGGGTGAATAGGTTGTAAAAAATGCTTTTAAAAGTAAAAAAAAAAGGCTCTGACGATCGCGCACCACAGCTGTGATCGTTGGAGCCTTTTTTTTTTTACTTTTTAAAAGCATTTTTACTACCGGTTCCAGGGAACTGGTAGTAAAAAAAATGCTAAAAAAGTTTTTAAAAAAAAGTTCCGACAATCATGTGCCGCTCACGTGATCGTAGGAACTTCTTTTTTACATTTTTTACTACCAGTTCAGCAAACCAGACCAAACAGGGAGCATTTCACCCCTGCATGGAGCCCTTCAACCCTTTGCTATCTTAGAAAGTAAGGATGTTACCTCAGACTCGTGAGTCAGTGCTGTTATCGTATTTCCCTGAAAGTAAGACCCGGTCTTATTTTCTTTTGGGCTCCAAAATAAGCACTAGGGCTTATTTCCAGGGGATGTCTCTTAAGTTTTTCCATGTACGGGAGGCCCACTTCTTTGGTTTGCTCTCAGTGGAGCAGGACCACTGCAGTGAGAAGATAGAGCGATCCCACGTGCCCCGCACCAGCTTACAATACCTCAGGGCCCCCACACCCAGGCCATCCATGCCCTCAAAACTGTCTTGCCTTGGGGTGGCAGCTCCAGCACATCGCTCGGCCTCCTGCTCCATTGCAGCCACAAGCAAGCAGAAGAAGTAGGCCAGCAGTCACGTTAGCAACTGCTGCATCTGCTGCACCTGGCTGCTGGAGCCACTACTGTGAGGCGAGACAATTTTTTGAGTGTGGATGGCCTGGCTGTGAGGGCCCTGAGGTATGGTAAGCTAGTCTGTGGCGCATGGGGGGAAGCTCCACTCTGCCTCATGGCCACGACACCCCCACCTTCCTCGTGTCACCTTGTGTTAGCAGCACTGTGTAACCAGACGGAATGGGCATGCAGCCACTTGCCCAGGCACTTAAGTAGGGTTTATTTTGGGGATAGGGCTTATATTAGGTGCACACACAAAAACAGGCTTGGTTTTATTTTCAGAATAGGGCTTATTTTCAGGGAAGCATGGTAGTAGTGCCTCTCCAGGGTTTCTGCCCCCTGGAGAGGCACTACTAAGGGTTGAACTTGGAGCCTTTTGTATGCCAGGAAGTTGGGAGCTCTACCCTCTTCCCTCTCTTTCATCCTTCTGCCTTGCATGCATTTGCTTTCCTCAAAAGCAAAGTCACATCTAGCATGCTAGGCTGCAGCTCTGAGAGGCTGAACCCCTGAGCCTCTCTGGATCTCCAAGAAGGGCTTGTCCTAGGAGAAATGGTAGTAGGCAACTGGGCAGCATGGTGGCTGTAAAAAGATTGACTGTGACACGCAATCAAAACTCAGGATGAAGGAAGTGGCTGCAGAGATTTGTGAGGCATGGCCTTTTCATTCTCCCCCCTGTCCCCATCCTTTCCTCTGCTCACCGGCAAGGCTGACTGTATGTACCCACATCCCTTTCTCTGCCAGTATGAAATAGGATATAGCAACCAACTGCAAGTGGCAAAACTTTGCAGATCAGCAACGGGCATTCAGCAAGGGAGAACTGGATTACCTACAGATTGACACACTTCAAGACAGCATTTGAAATAGGAGTGATGGACATTCCAGGGAAGCTTTTTGCCAAGCATGGAGGGGAATGCAAGCTGGTGGGAGCGTTTACCTTTTCCCTGCATTGGCTGTGTGTGCGTCCCAGCTCGTATGATGCCTCCCTTAGCCATCACCTAGAAAACAAAACAGCAATTCTTGCAATACGGGTCAAAAACTGGCAGGGGATTGATGGAATGGTGGCAGCCATCATCTTATCTTGTTTGACCGCCTTCTGTCGATACCCTTGATCAAAATACTTTCAATAGCTCCCTGAAGTTGGGCAACAGGTTTTCCAGTCATTTAGCAGCAAGCAATTCAGCCAAAACAGCCTTTGAACTTAGTTTTTTTTAAAAAGCAATTATCCCTCTGAAATTCACAAGGGAAGAAGCTGAATATCTGGGGCATAGGAACATCCTACTCACTAGGGCCCATGGCTTCCTAAAATTGATATAACTGCAAATCCCGGCTTCTAAAAGGTTTCCCAGTTGTGGTTTATGCCATTGGTGAAATCTAAAATCTGTTACTATTCTACCTAAGACTGAATCTTCATCAATCTATGTTCACATTATGTACTCCTATAGTGTATCCTCACACCAGAAAAAAAGAAAATATATTTCTTTTCTAACTCACCAAATAATAAAAGATCACTTCCTTCTTCACAGCATTTGGATCCAGGATAAAATGCACTTGAATATGCTCTGTGTCGCCACAGCTCAAAGTTTTTGGCAGAGGATCAATGTGGAGGTAACTTTGACTTGGTGAGTAAAATCGGTTCACTAAGTGCGAGGCACGTTGGTGATAAATGGTGACCGAATTGTCACACCATTCATTTTCTTTGTAAACTCCCTGTTTATAGAAAGGCAAAGAAACCACTCTGCTTAAAGAGCAAAATATATGTACATATTTTCTCAAAATATAATTACTGAATGAAGGAAAGAGCTAAACCAGTGCCATGCTGGCTGAGGAATTCTGGGAGTTGAAGGCCGTAAAGGTCATAAAAGTGCCAAGATTGGAGACCCCTATAGACAGACTTGATAATTCAGATCAGTAGTATTGCAGGGATGTTTACAGCTAAGTATGAGACAGCAGGGCAGGTCCCTCCTTTCGACACCTTCATTATGACATTGCTGCAGGGAACCAAAAATACATTTTGCTGGGTTTCTTTACGCTGCAGCAGAGCTCCAAGGTATACAAGAGTGACACCTTTGTATGTTAAGCGCATCTGAAATACACATCCAGCAAAATGATTGTTATGTGAAGAAGCAGAACTCAAACACATGCTACGAATGTGACTGTCCTACAAAAAAAAAAAAAGGAAGTTCTTAAAGCTGTGAGAAAATTGGAAAATGATAAGGTTGCAGGCGTAGATGGTATAGCGGAAGAAATGTTCCGGGATGAAACAGGCAATTTGCTTATGGAATAGCTATGAAATTCATTGAATGTATGTGAAGACAGCATCTGTGTCAAACAATTGGAAGAACATTGCTATTGTTCCCCATTACAAAGGGAGGGATAACATGAGTGAATGCAAAAACCACAGGAGGATACGATTGTGAATTTTCCCAAAGTTGGTGCTTAGCAGAATTTGGATTGAAAGGGGCGTTTTCACTCCAAAACACTCACCTGCAAATTGATGGAATCCTCTGTGAACTTTGATGTATCTATGGAAAACTGTATTCGTCCTTCCTCATTGGTTGTGTACCTGGCGCTGTATTTCACAGAAGGTCCTGTAATCTCAATGCTCTTATTAGCCATTGGCTCATTCATATCATCCACCAGTTTCATCTACATATGGAAAAAAAAATCAACCCACATCCAATTATTTTAGATTTGAACTCTTATTAGGGGCATACCTGGAGGGTCAAAAATCAAGATGGTGGGCTGTAATCATGCCATCAAAACCTTGCCTGGTTTTTATGTGTGTTGCACATGTGACATTTGTTAAAAAGGGCAAGAGCTTTGATGCCTGGCCACCCTCTTGACTTTTTTGACTTACCCATGAATTCATTGTTCAAGGCACTTAACGGCTTTGTGGGTCTTCTTAAGGGCCCCACTCCCAAGCTGAGCAGGGCCAGGATCCCTGAGGGGGGAGCTGCTGACATAGGTGGAATATTTATAAAAATAAGCTCCCAAGATAAAGGTTAAGGTTCCCCCGCACATGTGTGCTAATTGTTTCTGGCTCTAGGAGCAGTGCTCATCTCCGTTTGTAAGCCGAAGAGCCAGTGATGTCCAAAGATGTCTCCATGGTCATGTGGCCGGCATGATTAAATGCCAAAGGTGCACGGAGCACTGTTACCTTCCCACCAAAGTGGTCCCTATTTTTCTACTTGCATTTTTTACATGCTTTCGAACTGCTAGGTTGGCAGAAGCTGGGACATGTAACAGGAGCTCACTCCATTATGCGGCACTAAGGATTCGAACCGTTGAACTGCTGATCTTCTGAACAACAAGCTCAGCATCTTAGCCACTGAGCCACCGCATCCCCTAACCCACCCACCCCCCAAAAAATTTTAAAGGCTAAAATTATTGTCCTAAACTCCCTTGGGGAAGGCCACTAAAGGAATTGTGGCAGACTATATGTGATCTTTGGTCTATCCTTTTTTCACCCCTACCATATTGACTAGAGAATTGAGGGGCTCTTCTGTGCGGTGGGTGGGGAAGACAGATAGCAGCTGAGGTTGTTGAGAAATACCATCTGTTAGCATTGATGGTGTTACCTGGTTTGGATAATGAAACATCTGCAAGAAAACAACCAAGCTCAGAGAGCATCAAGGACCCCTCAAATGCCATCTCCTTGGGCTTGGGCAAAGAGCAACTGGCTGAAAATCAATGTTCAGCTCTTCCCCACCAGTAATCTCTTTCCTGCTGCCTTACCTGCAGGAAAAGGGGGATCCCAGGCTTATAATAAGGCTCTGCGTTTTCAAAGCTCAGTATGCTGACTGTCGTAGTGATTCTTATGCTGCTCTCCGCTGTCATTTCCACCCCTGTCAAAGAGAGGAAGCATTGAAGGAGACGAGACAGGCTGAGGCTGCCAAGGCAGCACGGGCAATGTGGGGTTTAGAGGCTATTGCCATGCACTTCAAGTCCAGAGACTCTGAATTAGCAACAGGGGTATACAATGAGCTCCCCCTTCAGGAGATGGGTGCAATTGGGACCCAGAAACCAGCCTTATCTATTATGCCCCCACCTCTTTTGGAACTGCTCTCCAGACATTAGCATGGACTCTTCCAATTAGTATTGTACTCAAGAGGCTAAAATTTGCAGGAATAATGCTAATGCAAATAAAAGTAAATATGCATGTCCCAGGATAATATTGCAGGATCCAGTCTGGGTTGGTCACTAGGACCAAAGGTTTATTCTTCCAATAAGAAGAATAGCTGGCTCATGCTGGAACCTATCATCAGAGTACTTCTCTCTCTCCAGAATATGTGCATCGGCCTGTTCAATGGTTGTATTTATACAGTTCCCAGTTGTGTGTAGATTTTAGTTATTAGGGCATTAATGACTGACTATTAAGTCACTAATTTTGTTTTGTGTCACAGTGTGGCTTCTAAGTACCTGATAGGCTGGTGGTAAATCAGCACTCCTACTGACTGACAATATTCTGGAGAGAGAAAAGTTCTCTGATGATGGGCTCCAGCATGACCCTGAAAGCTTAGAAAAATAAACCTTTGGTCCCAGTGACTGACCCAGATTAGACCTTGCAATAATGGCAATGTTTTCTCTGAGACGTGCGTGTGTCTGTGTGTGTTGGTTGTTTGCCTAGCAATTTCTACTAGAGACTGAATGCTTTGTGTAACTTTGTAGGTACACAAATTGGCATACATTAAAATAAAATTTTGTTGCATAAAGCTCTTAAAGGGTCACCACCTCCAATACACACTACGTAAATAGGATAAAATAAATAAATACAGAATTATGCATATACCTAAATATATTATATGACATAGAAAAACACAGTCCAGTTTAGATGTATACAAGTACATGGTGAGAAAAAGTAATCTTGTGAATTTACTAGATGGATGGCATAGGAAACAGCTGTTACGGAATTGGGTAGTCCTGCTAGAAATACTTCGAAACTCCTCCCAGAGGGGAGCACCAAAAACAGATGTAAAGTGGGTGTGTGGAGTCTCTAACAATGCTTTGAGCTCTAAACACATGGTGCTTATAAGCAGTATCCTAAACAGCAGGGAGCAATCTTCCTATGATCTCCTTGGCTGTCCTTACCTCTCTCTGTATGGACCTTCTATCTGAGGCACTGCTGCATAGCGATATCTACTAAGAGCGGTTGCTTTTGTGTTTGTGTTACCGACGTTGATAACATTCAGTTGAAATGATATCATTGCAATATAAATGATATCATTGTATTGTACAATCTTCTAAACTGTCTAAAATCTAGGACTGAGTCAGATTACAAATGAATTAGATCACATCTGGTCTGAGAGTAATACAGTGATCTTCCACTCTCATCATAGATCAAAAGATGCTGATCTATTGAAACCCCCTCCCCCCTTGTTAGAGCTAGAACCTTCACAGAGCAGCAGTTCTCAAACATGTTGGTCTCGGGAACCCTTTACAATCTTAAAAATGATTGAGATTATATCTATAAATATATACTCTATTAAAAATTAAAACTGAGAAGTGTTAAAGCATTCATTTATTTGACTCTCCAGACCCTCTGAAAGGGTCTTCAGGAGATCACACTTTGAGAATCATTGCACTGGCCATTCATAATCTGCCTGAAGCTCTTCAGCAAAGGAAAGTTCACTGTTTCATGTGGTAACCCGTTCCATCGGTTCACCCGTCATCCAGTTGGGAAGTTCCTCCTGAGATCTAGCCCAACCCCCTTTCCCTGCTGCTTCCTGAAAGATACCTGTGCCTTCCTCGGTGATCTTGCCTTCTGCCTTAATGTGCATTTCCAAACCATTTTGCTTCAGATGAAACATCTTGGTTTCTACCACCTGAGAGAAACACCCTTGCGCGTTCGCCTGTAAGGGAAAACAAAAATACTAACCAAGAAGCCAGTGATTTTAAGGACCGTGTTTCCTAACTTGTGGTCTTCAACTGGCTGTATTCATTGGAATTGAAAGTCCATAAGTCACAGCCAGCCTGAGCTGTGCAGCTAGAGGTCATCAAATCAGCAAAGGATACTTTACAGATTACTGAAAAGAATATTCAACAGTTGAAATCCAACCAGATCTCTTGGGAAACAACTTGCCTGCTTCACCTCAATCTTGCCAAGTTTTCTCCAAGATTTGGAGAATCTTGAAGCCAATTCCCCTGCTCAGGAATTTCACTCAATTGATCCCCTACCTACTGTGGCTTTCATTGGAACATATCCGACTCTGTCCCAATTGCTCCATCAGCCCTCGGCAACAGAAAAAGAACAAAATTCTCTTTCCAGAGCTAACAGGAGCAGAGAAGTGGGATCCTCAGAAGGAGAATGGAAAAGAATACTGGAATGTTGTGTTTGTGTGGGCAAGTGGTTGTGTATGTGTATATGAGAGAGAGGGAGGAGGGAGAAGGTATGTGACCCCAAGAGTTCTGCAGGGATCTTTATAATCACCTTTCCTTGTAGGCATTGTAGGAGGAGAACTCTGTTAGTTTAGAGTGGCAAAAAAAATCAGGAGTCTGATAACCCCTATCCTGACATATATTTTGTTAAATGGCATAAGTTTTCATAAACTGCAGCTCACAAAAATTACAATTTTTAAATAAAATGTGTTAGTTGGAAAAGGCATCTCAGATTCCTCATTCTCTTGAATTAGCTACGCACTCATACACACCCACTGGTACTCATCCAACTCTGGAATCAAGAGGAGGCTATTAATGCAAGTTCAAAATTGGGGCATAGGAATATGCAAGGGCAGGGAGAATATTTTCGAAACATGGCAGATGAACACCTATTATATAATCCATAAGAAAATCAGACAGCTCTCAGAGAAAACTGCCAGAAATTTCTGGAATAGCCATGTTTTGTGTCATCTAACCCCCTTTCCCTGTCATTAAAGCTGATTAATGAGACCATGTGAATCTTGCTTCCTTCATTTGAGGTCTTGACGGTAGCCTTAGTTCCTCTAGAGCAAAGATGGTCAACCTCTTGAGTAGCTGGACTTACATTCCTATCTTCCAATTGTCTATGCTGGCTCAAACTAGCAGGAATCAGAACTAAAGAATGTTTGATGAACTACACATTCCACATCCCATCTGGAACATTTTCCTTGATCTGGAACTTACCTCTCCACTGTACTCTTCACACAGATGAGGGTCTATCCCTGGACACTGATTGTAGTGCACATAACTACGGCAGATGGTCATTTTCACCAGGCCAGGGACAGGTTTCCCATAGGTATACCTGCATCCAGAACCAAATTGATTAAAGAGTTAAAAAACAATCTACAGCGGTAATTTTTTGTATGCTTTTATGATATAGAAGGGTGAAGGCTTGCCTCTCGTGAAAACAAGGTAGTCTGCATCTGCTCGTTCTTTTGAACATTGCCACTTATTTTATCAGTATGAGAAATCCTCTTGCCAGTGATGTTGTGAAGCCATTCCCCAAAGATGGGACTCCATTGGTTCATCAGCTTGATTGATTATGGATGCTGGTAGCCATGCTCTCCTTCTCTGACTAATGCTTTGGGCTGGACAGGCATGAGACTCATGACACAGTGATCCCACCTATCTTGTGATTGGTGTTTCAAGGAAGGCTTGAGGCTGACAATGCATCTCATCCCTGTACTGTGCATAAATTAATAACTGGAAAGGGGACTGGAATATTGCATATTGTTGATGTCATGGGTGAAATACAATTATCTTCCCTACCGGTTTGCAAATGTCCGTCCGTGCATGCGCAGAGGCCAAAAATCATCACGAAAAACGGACGTCATGATGTCCGAACGGGTGGGCGGGGCTTCACGCAGTTGGCCGTACCATATTGCGTGATCCGGATAGAATCAGCTGAATTTCACCCCTGGTTGATGTGAAAGAGCTCAGTTTGGAAGAGGAGGAAATGGGGAAATCTGTGGAGTTGGACATATGCACCCCACATTTTCCTACATGGTGTAGAACAGAGGAGGAATTACGTGGTCTCCTCCTCTCCATCTCATCTCTATTCTGCTACTGCGGTGTATGTCAAAAGATTTAAAATTAGAACCTTTGGAACTCTTTATACAAATTATGTGCAGTGTTGCTTTGAGTGACTTTGGAAAGTTTTGTGCCTTTCAATATACAGCCAGAGATATGCAGATAATTTTAGTTCTTACCTGCTGTTCACGTTTCTCCATGTTTTTACTTGGTTTTTATCGCAATTTTGCCTATTAACTGTTTCTGATGTTTGCTGATTTGTTAAATCAATGAATGCCAAGATACATATTTTTGCTAGAATAGAATTGCCGTATAGAATTTTCTAGTATAGAAATGCTGTATAGAATTGCAAGGGTTTACTCTGAACTGGATATCAGGAGTGACTAGGAAGTGCTGTGGGCAAAAATGGAAATTACCCATATACATAATTTTCCAACACATGGCTTCTAAAAAGTTATGTCGTTCTTGTCACCATCTTGACCTTTTGATACCCTCCCCATGTTCCCACCCCAAAGGAAGATGCCTGTGATAAGACAGAGATCCAGGGAGAAGTCCTCCATTCTTCCTTTCCCCCAAAAATAAAGAAAAGTAACCTTATTAGAACTCACCTCCCACAAACGGTCGCTTCAAATTTTGTGGCTAGAACTGAGATTTGCTTTGGTACCGTCACCGAAGCTTCGAATTTGGGTAATACTAAAAAGAGGAGAGAAATGTCAACTCTAAAGGAGAACTTTGTATACTCTTCAAGCCACGCAAAGTCCCGTTTTGCTATCTTATAATATTAAAATGGTGTTGAACCCCAGCTGAAAATACTGAGCCTCTCTAAAAGCTAACCCAGTGTCAGAATTAAGCATACATCCTATAAACCTATTGAGTCTTTTCTACCATGGCTGGTTGCAAGCCTAGCTTTGGGTTCTCTTCCTAGACAAAATGGAGATACAGATGCTAAGGTAATATTTCTCCATTTCAGCAACGTTAAGATGTGTGGACTTCAACTCCCAGAATTCCCCACTCCACACATATTAAAGTGCTGGCTAGGGAAGTCTGGGAGTTCTAAGTGCCAGAGCTCACTGTAACAGCATTGCCAAAAGAGCATTAAGAGTTGTTAACCTAATCTTGCAAAGCTTCTTCTCCGGTAATATTGTACTGCAAACTAGGGCATACAAAACCTTTGCTAGACCAATTCTTGAATACGGCTCATCTGTCTGGAACCTGCACTGCATATCGGACATTAATACAATTGAGCGAGTCCAGAGATATTTCACGAGAAGAGTCCTCCACTCCTCTGCTCACAGCAGAATACCTTATGCCACCAGGCTCGAAATTTTGGGCTTAGACAATTTAGAACTACGCCGCCTTTGGTCTGACCTAAGCATCTTACACAAAATTATCTGCTACAATGTCCTACCTGTCAATGACTACTTCAGCTTCAACCGCAACAATACACGAGCACACAATACATACAAACTTAAGGTAAACTGTTCCAAACTCGAATTGCAGAAAATACGACTTCAGCAACAGAGTGGTCAATGCCTGGAATGCACTACCTGTCTCTGTGGTTTCATCCCAAATCCCCCATAACTTTAATCTTAGACTGTCTGCTGTTCACCTCATCCCATTCCTAAGAGGTCTGTAAGGGGCGTGCATAAGCGCACCAAAGTGCCTACCGTCCCTGTCCTACTGTCCCCATTTATTCATATCCATTTCCTGTATTCATAATCATGTTAATACTTATACCTGTTATCTTATACATGCTTGACAAATAAATAAGTAAAATAAATAAGTTAAGCCCATCTATATATTACAAAAACCCTCCGTTTTCTTTGTCCATTTATAATCTTTAATTGAGAAAAAAAAATTGAATCAACCTACTTCAAATGGACTAACTTAAAGAATGTGTCCAAAATCCAGGATCTATTATTCCTGTGGGATTGAAATTTGGCAAAATAACAACATATTCAAGACCATCACAGTCAGTTGCAATCATATGTTCGTTATTTCCATTATATCCCTCCTTGTGCTGTTACAGATAGTGAGTTGTGGTGAGATAATTACCTTAAGGATTAAGAGCTGTCTCCTTAAGAGATTGCATTGTGGGAGATGTAGTGAAAGATTGCATTATGGGAAATGTAGTCCATGACATGTGACCATATCTGTGTACCTGATTGGCCACTGAGGCTTTCTGCCGGGGTTTTAGAAGTCACTCCCAATCCTACTGCTTTTTTGCCCCCCCTTGATCATTCTGTTACTCAGTTGAGATAAGGAAATATCTCTGAAACAATGACCCAGTGAGCCAGATGTTGTCTAGAGAATCTTCATTCATACAAAAGAGATTGATAGGAATACAATCAGTACCCAATTCTACTTAGAGTTCACAAAAGTAGGCTTGATCCTTCTTACCATATTCTTCCACATCAAATGTGTGCTCATCACTGTTCCCGGAGGATTTTTCTACCACCAATTTGTAGGTGCCTAAGGCAGGCTCAGAAGACAGAGGGAAAGATAGCTGGGTGAGGCCCATGCTAAGCTTAACATCATTCCATTGGAACAGACGATTTTTCTTGGAGTCCTGTCAGTCACAAAAAAAATGCAAACATGAGAGTTTTTGGTGTTGATAGAACACTTAATGCCCCATCCCATCTTCTGGTCAATCTCCCCCCAATTTTTCAGATTCAGGGAATTATAATTCTGGGAAATCAATTCACATGCAGATTGTTCTGTTATTCTGTTGGCTGCACAAATATATTTCCAAATTTTGTTCAGCTGCTTTCAAGCTGCTTTGTCTTAAATTTGCTGTGGGACAATTGAAAAGCTGATGATTCCCTTGGATTGTACTGTACTCAGAGAAGGGAACTTGATAGGAGTGGAGAACCAAAGCTGACAGATGTCTTGCAGAGATAAAAGGGAAAACTCCTAGTTTTGGCTTTGTGGCTAGATAAGCCATGACACAAATGGAAGGCCTTGAAATTAAAAGTCGATTTAGAACAACATCCTCGTCAGATGTCCTCCAAAAACATGGGCTGAAAATGTTGGGAATCCTCACACAAGATCTCATAAAGTCAAATGGTTGGAAAAATGAATCCTTTCTAAAGTCTTAGGAACTAGACCAGCTGCAAGGCAGTTGGTATATATTGGGGGGTATATGTGTATAAATAAAAATCAGATTTCAAACAGCAGGCAAAGAATTTGGGGGAGGGAATCTTAAAAAAAAAAAAGTAAAAAAATTGGATCAGTCGGAACCAATTGACTCATTCAAAAAGAAATACCACACACAAACTTTTGTTATCTGCACTTCTCTACCAGGAAAACAGCATCTTTTCCCTCTGGAAGCCCTCTTGGCAGTTTCCCCAGTTTTCAAGTCTATTTGCAACCATTCTTATCAGAGAACTTTACCTGGTCAATGACATTCTCTCTTCATTTCACAACAGAGATAGAAAAAACAGAGTATTACAGTTGTAAAAGGAAACTTATTAGGCCTTTGAAAAGAAACAGCTTAAGACCAGTTAGGGAAGAGGCAATAATAGGTTTTGCAGTCTTCAGAAGTATAGATGAGCGGGGCAGTCATCACACAGACAAGAGGTAAGGCAAGACTATGTTTAGCAACTTTAAGATTTATGGACTTCAACTTCCAGAATTCCCCAGCCAGCCACCTCTGGGAGTTGAAGTTCACATATCTTAACATTGTTAAAATTGAGAAATACTGAGCTATGGAATATTAGGACTAGTTGGTTGGTTGGTCGATCGGTTATGTACGTACATACAGTACTTATCAAATTTACATAGCCACCCAATCCATTCAAGAAGAAATACTTGAATGGGAGACCACCAGGAAATCCCACTGGATTAAAAAGTCAAAAAAGCACCTAGAGCAAAGGAATGTCAAACCACTTTTGTATTGTTAGCCGAGTTGGGGATGGCTATTATCTTGATAAAAAATGCCTAGGAAATTTTAGGGCTATAAATTAGATTAAAATGTCTGAAAAAAGATCCCAGGAAATCATGTGCATACTGCCGCCAAGAAAACTACCTGGACCCGTCCAGGGTTGTACCAGATTAGTTTCTGGTCCAATCATTGAGCTTAAAATGGACAAGGAATTTTTTTAAAAAAAATCTGACCATGGCAACTTACTTAAGTATGATCGCTAAGAACGTTATCTGGGCAATGAGTCCAGGTGAACACCAAGAGTCACTGGCAAATTTAATTCAGTTCTACGCTTAATTTGTGGAAACATTTAAATAATAAAAATATTTATCCCAGCATTTGAGAGGTTGCCATAAAGAGGAGGGGTTCCACTTATTTTCCAAAGCACCAGAAGGCAAGATGAAGCAATGGATGGAAACTAATCAAGGAGAGAAGCAACCTAGAATTAAGGAGAAACTTCCTAACAGTTAGAACAATTAACTAATGGAACGACTTGCTCTAAGAAGTTGTAGGTACTTCATCACTGGAGGTTTTTAAGAAGAGATTATTGGACAGTCACTTATCTGTAATGGTATAGGCCAGACCAGGATCTTCTTGAGCAGGGGGTTGGACTAGAAGACAATGAAGGTCGCTTCCAGCTGTATTGTGATTGAAACTATTGAGGACCAGAGGATGAAAGAAACAAATCTCCTTGCTCTTCTCTTTTCTAACCAGTTGGAACCAAAAGCAATGAACTGGGGTTGCCAAGTTCCCAGAACCTAATTCAAATTTGAATTCTTTCTTTTGAAACCCTATCACTCAATCATTAACTGATATGGGTGGATTTGGAAATCCTATTTCCCCCAAAGTACTTCAGACTATATCTCTTGGTAAAAAAAATTGCAATGGTGGTTAATATTTAAAACCTTTTTCTCCCCACTTCCGCCCCTGTAGTACATCATATAAAAAAATCTATTTGTTCTAAATAACCTAAGGCCGTGCTGTCGAACCTATGGCACACGTGCCAGAAGTGGCACGCAGAACCATTTTTCTGGGCACGTGAGCTGTCGCCAAGCTCCCCTGAAACTGCACATGTTCATGCAGCCCAGCTAGTGTTCAGGCCTCTGGTGTGCATGCGCGCCATTCAGGGGACCCAGCTGATCTTCTGAGCTCTCCTTTGCATTCACGTGTGTTTGCACATGTGCGTGAGATTGTGCGTGCATGTTCACACAGAATTTGTATCTGTGCATTGCATGTGCAAAAGTTGTGCGCATGCACAGATGGTGCAGTTGCGCACGCAGCACGTGGAGAGGAGCCGCGCATTACCGCGGATGGCACCCAAGCACGCGCAGGCACGCAATGGCACACAAACACGCGCAAAGCGTGTTCCTGTTCGGCACTCGATAAGTAAAAGGTTCACCACCACTGATCTAAGGGAACAATGGTGCCTACAATTTGAGTAGATTGTATCACATAACAACTACTCATTCTGGAGAAGAAAATCAAATTCTGAAGCATCCCTAAAAATATACTTGTACAATCAACTAGAAATTAAACTTTTATTTAAATCATAAAAATATAAATTCAATGTCTTAAAAACAAAAACAAAACTTCTTGGAACTGAGCTGAGTTCACAGCCCTTCCAGATAAAAGTCCATCCCTGCTTATCCATTGCCCTCCTCAAATTTCTTCATTTCCATAGGATAATGCAAGTTTTGTTCCATTGATTTACGGTCAGTGTTTAAGTCCCAATGACTTAGAGTTCATGGTCTGATACGATAGCATGATGGGGGAAAAAAATCAAGGCCAGCCAAAATACTTAGATGTCCCGGAAGATATGACAAAATACCATCCGTTATCCCTATTCACATAACATCATAGCCAGCAGATACATTTCTAATGATAGGCCTAGTGCAGGAGAATTCCCAAATTGAACGTTAAGCCCATCATAATGGTGACTTCAAGGGATCATTTTTGCATTATGACTAACCTCCAGAAAGTATTGTAGAACACTTTGAAGGAATGGGATTCCAGGATGATGAGCACGACAGAATTACTGTATATTCCGGGAAGATCTATTTCTAATTTTTTTGCACAGAGTCAGAAACACTGAGGCACTTCCAGATTGAAAGGATTAGCCAGTGATAGCACCATTGCCCTGGAGACACCCAGTTGGGATCTCCTTTTATGTCCCTAGCAGGAGCTGGAGTGAAGGACGAGCTCAACCCTGCCCCATGGCAGCTCTTGGGTCTCGAACACAGGCTTGCTAGCCTGCCAAGTAGTCCAACCAGTGGTGGGTTCTAACCAGTTTTACTACCAGTTCTCTTTGTGCATGCGCTTCGTGTGCAATCACCTCTTCTTCCAATTTTTGGCAATTTACTCATTTTCCAGAATTTCTTAAAAGAAAGTATAGAGTACACAGGGCACAGTCCAACTAGCTCTAGATATATTAATTTCTTCCAACTAATAGGTACACTAATTATAATTCTATCATGCCCAAAAAATGCCTTTAAAAGCCTCTGGCGATCCCAGCTGAGTTGCCTGATCGTGAGAGGCTTCTAAAAGCATTTTTTTCTGCAACCTCTTAAGAGCCCTAGTGGCGCAGCAGACTAAAGCACTGTTATTAACATCAGCTGCCTGCAATTACTGCAAGTTCAAATCTCACCAGGCTCAAGGTTGATTCAGCCTTCCATCCTTTCTAAGGTAGGTAAAATGAGGACCCAGACTGTGGGGGCAATAAGCTGACTTTGTATAAATATACAAAAGTATGAAGGCTATTGCTTAACGCATTGTAAGCCGCTCTGAGTCTCCGGAGAAGGGCGGCATATAAATCAAACCCAAAAAAGAAATGCTTTTAAAAGTTAAAAAAAAAAATGTTGGCCACGCCCACTCAGTCACATTATCCCCCCCAAGCCACGCCCACAGAACCAGTAGTAGCAAATTTTAGATTTTACCCCTGGGGTGTAGCAACATCTTTTTATTGTGGTAAGAGAAAAAGAATACTTACCTCAATGTAAATTAAAGGAATCTGACAGAAATAAAAACAAGAGAGAGAGAAATCAGAAACTACAAGACAATGAATTATAATCTTATACACATGTACACACAAAGAGGAAATGTGAATGTATGATATTATAGGTGATCTCTTCTGTTTGTGGGGCAGTGGGGAATATGCTGCAGTAGGAACAGGGAAGTCAAATCCTGATCTTCCTCAGACATAGAAAGTTCTGGGAGATTTTGGGTCAGTTCCTGTCTCATCCCAACTATCCGAAGATGGTTAGGGAACCGGAGAATCAAACAAATGAAGAACAGTTGCAGGATTGGGTATGTCTAGTTAATGAAACTTCTTTTCATTAAACTAGTTTAGACTAGGGGTAACATGGCAGCAGTGTTCCAATATCTAAGGGGCTGCCACTAAGAAGAAGTTGTCAACTGTCAACCTCTTCTCCAAAGCACCTGAAGGCAGAACAACAAGTAATGGATGGAAACTAATCAAAGAGAGAAGCAACCTAGAACTGAGAAATTTACTGACAGCGAGAACAGTCAATGGAACGGCTTGCCTTCAGAAGTTGTGGATGCTCCATCACTGGAGATTGTTAAGAAGAGATGGACAGCCATTTGTTTAAAATGATATAGGGTTTCCTGTTTCAACAGGGGGTTGGACTAGAAGACCTCCAAGGTCCCTTCCAACTCTGGTATTCTACTATCGTTACAGGATTGTCATTGAGGGGAAAATGGGAGGAGAGAGAGCCACCTTGAGTTCCTGGACAAAAGATAGTGTACAAAGCTAACAAGTAATTAATGGAAGAGGGAACACAGTTACAAACTGAAGGACTCAGTTTGTATTACATGTATTACTTGCATCTTTGCAACAGATGTCATTTTGATGCCCATTTTGGCTTTCTTAGATATGGAAGACCATTGTGCTTATATGTGTGTATGATGAGATGCAAATTTATGATATAGTTGTAAACCAGGATATGCTCATGGGCATTGCCATCTTGACATTTTTAACTATTACTGCAGGAATTACATGAACATAGAAAAGATTTTTTTAAAATTATGCCAAGGTGAAACCTCAGTGAAGGCTTTAGCCTTCCAGGGAAGGGAATGAGTAGCCATTGTACTCGGTCACAGTCTACCTTCTTATTTGCGGGACGGAAGTCTTCATGCAGACAGACAATGCGAATCTTCACTGTGAAAGGAAGAAGGACACTATTGGCTTTGTGGCCACATACATCTGGATCAGGGGTGGGTTCTACTTACCTTTACTACCAGTTCGCAACGGGGCCACACGCGCATGCTTGCTTTACTTGCACATGCACGCACGCGCTCTTCTGCACAAGCGCAGAAGCTTCTGCACATGTGCAGAAGCATTTTGGTGAGGTCGGGGTCGGTGGGCGGAGCCTCCCGCTGGTTTTACTACTGATTCTATAGAACCAGTGCGAACCGGGGGCAACCCACCACTGATCTGGAACCCAGCTTGGGCTTTATAAGGATAGTAGCCCCAGATTCCTCCCAGGAATTTCTATCACCCATTCATAGATTTGGAGTGAAGGGAAGTCATCTATTCTGACCTCTAATGGGTACAAGATCAAGCCAGAATGGAATCTGCAGGGTAATTGACATCAAGGGAAGGGCTTATTTGATTTATTGACTCATATTAGAAATTCTGTATATATAAAGCACCACACAGCAAATGAAGAGTACAGTCACCATGTGCTTTACTGCTCAACTATATTCTGTGACAAGAAACAGGAAACTCTACTCAGAACCAGAAAGCATAGAGATCCAAACTTGCAAATACTGCCATCTACTGACTGAATACTACTGTAGTTGTTGCATAGAATTTCCAACAGTGAATTCCAAGAACTCATTCATTGCACAATGTCTATCCGGTGTTCCTTTGTGAAACTTGGTGTGACAATCTATCAAAGCATTCAGATTTTAAAAATCTGCACAGATCCCCCTAAAATGGAATAAAATAAATAAATAATCTTCAACATGTGACCAAAAATTAATTGAAAGTGATCTGGTCCTCCAGTGGGAAGTAATTCCTACATGAGGGGAATCCGTAGAAAAAGCCTGTTTCCATGCTCTTGGTGATTCTTTATGACTACCTTCTCTGTCATTCCTTTTTAAACCATCTCTCACAGACAGATTTGTTCAGAGAGGCAGTTCTCCAAGTAACTGGGGGCCAAGGCCACTTTGATCAAGTTGACCAAATGTAGCCATCTGTTAGACCCTGTGTGTGTGAATGTGTGTGCCTTTGACTCTGGATGGACAACCATTTGTCTAATTGAACAACCATTTGACTGAAATGGTTTAATTAGGGCACGGGTGTCAAACTTGCCGCATCACGTTGCCTTCACGTGATGTTTCGCGACATTTTCCCCCTTCGTGGAGCTTTGGTGGGAGTGGCCTGCGCATGATGGATCTGGCCCGCAGCCCACCAGTTTGACATCCCTGGTTTAGGGTTTCCTACTTGAGCAGGGTTTGGAGTAGAAGACCTCCACGGTCCCTACCAACTCTGTTATGCTGACTCAGCATTTTCTTCTGAAGCCTGCCTAAATTAGTCCCTGCAGTTTTTTGCCAAGATTTCAGAAAGGATTTGCCAATGCCTGCTTCCCAGGGCTGAGAAAGAATGACTGTCCCAAGGCCATCCAGTTGGCTTTGTGCAGAAGGCAGGACTAGAATTCATGGTCCCCCCAAGGCTCTAGCCTGGTGCCTTAACCACTGTACCAAACTGCCTCTAGCACACGTAAAATACCACAGAACAACCTGCCTTAGGAAGAGAAAGCTCATCTGTAAAAGATTTATCATAGAAATAAGAAATTTCCAATGGTTTGGAAGAGACGCTATCTTGGCAAGGGACTACAGGTAGTCCTTGACGTATAACTTTTAACAACCAGGACCTGGTTATTTACGGGACCGCCTACTACCACAAACAGCTTCCCACCGGCCGGTACGCTCTCATAGAGAGGGGCTCCTCCGGGTGCCGTCAGCCAAACAATGTCGACTGGCAGCCCCCAGAGGGAGGGCCTTCTCTGTGGGGGCACCCACTATATGGAACGAGCTCCCCCCGGAGATACGGAGGATCCCAGATCTGTGCACTTTCCGCCGTGCTCTTAAGACCCTCCTATTCCAGCAAGCCGGCCTGGCCTAATTTTCTGCCCTTTTCTTTCAAATTCTTTTAAATCGAAATTTTAATCTGTTTTAAATTATTGGGATTTTTAATTGTCTCGGGCTAAATTATTTAATCTGGTTTTAATTATGTTTCTAACTTTTGTATTCATGTATTTTATTCTGTGCCTGTTCACCGCCCTGAGTCCTTCGGGAGTAGGGCGGTATATAAATCTAATAAAATAAATAAATAAATAAATAAATAAAAAACCATTCCAAATTGCAACAGTGCTGAAAAAAGTGTCTTGCAACCATTCCTCACACAACCATCACAGCATCCCCATGGTCACATGATTGCAATTTCAGCACTTGACAACCGCCAAGTTGTTTATGATGGTTGCAGCATCCCAGGATGGATATAGACATTTGTGACCTTCCCAGCTAGCTTCCAGCAAGCAAAGTCAAGGAGGAGGAAAGCCAAACTCCTGATTCCGAAGTCATGCATGTTGCAGCACCACAGTCATTCACCCTTATGACCAACTGCAGAGATGCTGCAACATGCCCCCTGCCTATTTCAGTAAAGCCATGAGAAATGGGGTGGGGAGGAGTAAGTGGAATCTGGGACATTGGCAAAGCAGGCCCAGTTTGTGGAGACCTGGTGGGGTAGGATGGGGCAGGAAAGAATTGTGGGGGGCCCAGGGGAGCATGAGGTAATCTCAGTGGATTAGAGGAAGCCTTGGGTGGCCTACTCCAGCACCAGATCCTGCATGGTCTTCCCCACCCTGAGATACCTCATGTGCATTTAACAACCAGCACATTCGATTAGCGGCTGCATTGGGAAAAGCAGGGAATGATCACATTCATTTAACATAATTCAATCAAATGAATTCTCAGGTTATGAATATAATTGGCAGGCTCTACTACATTCGTAACTCGATAATTACCTCTAGCTGCAGTGATTAACTTAAGAACCATGGCAAAAAAAAAAGTAAAATCAAGCATGACTCACTTAACTTGCTTAGCAATGGAAATTCTGATCCCAGTTGTGATCATACCTCTATCTCTACAATTTCTCCACTGGAAGGACCTCACTTACCTTCCTGTCCTGCCTTGTAGATGGGCTTGTCTGTCTGAACAAAAAGTAGGTCACTTGGGTTTCTGATTGTGACCCGTTCTTGTTGCATCACGTTCAACGTTTGTCCCTTTAGTACCACTCTGAGAAGAACATTGGGACGGCCTGAATAGTGGAAAAACCTTGGCAAATGGCTTGAGGAACGATTCAATTTAGGAAGCTGGAAAAGAAACAAAAGTAGCAGCATGAGGATTTTTCACAGTTCCTATTGCAAGGATCTAGAACCTCTTGCTTCGCTTCCTGGACCTTTGTCAATAATCATGGAGGGCAAAAAAGTCAAGATGGAGGCTACAACAATGCCATTGAAGCTCTGCCCTTTTTTATATGAATAGCAATAGCAACAGCACTTAGGCTTATATACCACCTCACAGTGCTTTTAAAACCCTCTCTAAGCAGTTTACAGAATCAGCATGTTGCCCCCAACAATCTGGGTCCTCAATTTACCAACCTCGGAAGGATGGAAGGCTGAGCCAACCTTAAGCTGGTGAGACTCTACTGGCAGTTGGTATACAGCAGAATTAGCCTGCAATACTGCATTCTAACCACTGTGCCAACAAGTTGTTACGAACTGTTAACATGTACAGTAAGGGGAAAATTAGGTACAGCTGATCACAGAAATGACCTCTTTTACTTTATTTATCTTTTCAGGTTTAATACATGATAGCGATCTCATTTTAGGTGACATATATTTTATTTCATAGATTGTAATGTCAAATGGCATGACAAGAAGTCCCTAATTGCCAGTCACACTGACAACAAACAACTCCGATTTGACTGGGACAAAGCTGAAGTCATCGGCCATGCCAAAACCTGTCAGGCACACGAGTTTATTGAAGCCTGGTATTCCACCAATGGATCCATCAACAAATACATTGACTTAGAACCAGGATATGAACCAATAAGAAAACAGATCATCCAAATCGATGACAGAACTGACCATCTCCTCACTAGTTGGATTTTGTGCCACTCAGAAGTCACAAGACCAGAATCAGTCTTATGATTCAACCAGTCACAAGACCAACCAACCATCCGGGACCTATATAAATGAACAAAACACTTCCCCAAAAACCCTGCTGAAGATGTCATCTAGTTCAGAAATGAAATGTCCAGGATCTAAGCAACAAACTCTAAACCCGAGCTACGAATATTCTCTACAATAGATTGTAATAACTTAGATTTAGCCTTGCACAATCAGTACATCTTGTGCAGATAATCTGACTTTTTTAATCTGTTGCTTTATTTTTGTTGTGCTAGTATTTTCTCACATCTACTTAATTATACTTTGTATTTTTTCCAAATTTGGTTTGTCATTGACCAAATAGCATTTCTGAAATGATTCTGAAATGTAGTTACACCCTAAGATTGAACGTGTTTGGTTCTGCAACCATATCAAACTGCTGGCTCCTATTTAGCCACTTTGGGAAGAAAAGTAGAATACATACATCATTTTTATATGACACATACAAGTAAGGAGCTCCTACCTGGAAGGAAACACATCGGAAGATGTCCTCCCCAGCCACCATGTCCACTTCAGTCAAGCTTATGTTCTTGTCCTCAAATTCTATGGTGATACTCAAAGTCACGGTCTCATTTAAATGGATCATCTGGATACAAACATTCTCAGAGGTTTTTGTGTGGATCACAGAGGGTACCAGGATCAAGTATTGCCTGGAAAGCAGGAAAGTGAAAAGGATTTATCAAGTGAGTGACATGGATGCCCTGTAACTGGGGTAGGTTTCACTACAGAAAGTTACCACCCATGCATCTAAAATAATTTTCTTGATGGATTAATTATCAATTTTGTCGATAGGAGGAAGGAAGGAAGGAAGGAAGGAAGGAAGGAAGGAAGGAAGGAAGGAAGGAAGGAAGGAAGGAAGGAAGGAAGGAAAACAGGCTGACTCTTAATGGCTATGTACATTAACATTTTCTGTCTCTTGAGAGGTGTTGGCAGTTTGCAAGAAAAATAACTGTTCCTTCTCTCAATACTATTGCACCTGGGCAAATAGATTTGGTGGGCTGTTTTGCCCCCAAACCAGCCAAACTTGTTTAAATGATAGAGCAGAAGATATGAATATTTTGCCACTTGGTGCACAATACCTGTCTCAAAATGACTTCCCTTAGATTCTAAAAGTTATTTCTGTTCTCTTATCTAAATGGAATAATTCTTTGTTTCTTGTCAAAGTAGGCACTCACCTTGCTTAGTTTGAAACAACTAGCCAGGAGAAAGTATCTCCAGTTAAACGACTAATGTTGTGATTGAAATACCATGGGATGGAATGGGCTCTACCATGAGAACATAGCATGAAGACTAAAGGAACTGGGCAGAAGAATTAAATATCATGGAAGCTTACTGTCTTGAAGCAGAAGCTGGAATCCCTGCTTAAATAGAATAACAGAGTTGGAAGGGACCTTGGAGGTCTTCTAGTCAAACCCCCTATAGGAGACCCTATGCCATTCTGGATAAATGGCTGTCAATCTCTTGAATTACTCAGGTGACCCTGAGGACACAGAAAAACCTCCAAGTGGCCTCAACGGCTCTCTAAAAGAATGCAAATGACCAGCTGTCTGCAAGGAATATAAATCTTTCCATTTCCCACTATCCAGTCAGAGCTGAAGAAGCTTCTTGGATGAGAAATGAAATGTCTTCAAAGAAAAACCCGAAAGTACAGTAGCCTCTTGAAAAAAGCACCTTTGGGATAACCATGATCTGGATTACTGAAAATCTCCATAGTCCGTTGGATTGGATCTTTGATTAAATTTTTGCCACGGACTTGTAAATTGATTTTTGCAAGAAAACTGTATAACTATGCTGCTTTGTAAATTGACAGTGCAAAAAAAATTTGGAATGGAAATCAATGGAGCCAAACTGCTTATTCTTCTAAGCTTGCCGGTTTCTATCAACCCAAAGAATTAGCAGATAAAATACTCTGGGCACAAATTTATTGTTTAGCTTCAGCTTCTAGGAAATGAAAGCACTTCTGAAAGTATACATTTTGCTAAGGAAAATCAGTTGATTAACTGAACTAGGCAAATGACTTCACAGGGTCCTAAATTCCATAACCAAGTAGGCTGACCTAAATTGGCTGGACAGCTGCTTAACTTCTTTAACTAAGTCAGTGAGCTCACACAACCTGCTAAACATAGGTTTAATATTGGTTAGGTGCCTTTGTGACTTAGACTGCTGTCAAAGCTCAAACCCATTCTTGTTGGTTTTTGGGCATATTGAGCAAATCCAGAAAACAATAACCAGATAGAGGTTGTGAAATCCCAGCTATCTTGTTAATTCCTCCGTGATCTCAATGGGAAGATGTAATGTATGCATGATGGGTGAGACAGGGGGACGCATAACTCTCCACAGAATGAGACCACATTTTATTACACTAATTGAGAGGAGGGAAATCTCCATTTTGCAGGAACATCTATTGGATTACAGCTGTGTTTCCCAACCTGTATGTGGACTTCATACGTGTGAAATTCAACTCCCAGAATTCCCCAGCCAATTAGAGCAATGCTAACACTGAATTAGAGGGGGCTATTACAAAACTAAACCACCTCATCGTATTTTTGAATGGGAGCCACTCAGAATTTGACATAAGATGAGTGACTATAAATAGTCCCAATAAATAAATTAATAAACAAATAAATAAATAAATATACTAATGTAATGACACCTATGTTGCTGTTTTGCACATTGATACCATTTTATACATTACATCAATCAATATAAATGATATCCATGGAAACCAGAAGAAGTAGATGTCTGTTGCATCGAGAACAGGATTAAAGTGAGATATTATTCTATTACAATCAGTCATCATTTGTGGATTTTTTTTTTAAAAAAAATGACCTGTAGATTTATCTCTCCCAAGACGAAGGTATAATTGATTTTTGCCAGAATTGATTTTTATTTGAAAATAAAATGAATGCCAGAAATCACAGGCTGTGTGATCAATAAATGAAAAAGCCATAGAGCCTTTGCAATATTATGCTTCAATTCTTTGCTTCCAGAAGTGATCCAGAGCAAAGCCGAATAAGCACGAACACCAACATCTAAATGAATAATTGGAAAAAAGACCAAGTTTATTGGATGCACATAAGTAGAAAGGATAGTTGCTAGGGAGGAAAAAAACCTTTCATATAAATTATGATCCCCCACAATTCTATAAAAACCTAATTTAAAGTGCCTGTATAATCCAGAGAGCCAAACTCGCTAGTCACATACTGTAGGTCCAGATGTTTTTCATGAACAACCACCACCACCCCTGAAATCTTTTTTCAAAAAACTACATTCTGCTTTCGGCTCTGGGCAAAAGGCCATCAAGCCTCTTTTGAATCATTAACTCTTTGTAAACTGTAACTAAACAGGATTTTGGACCTGTATTAGGATAACCAAAGTATGTTGTCGCCTTAATTTGTTATTTTAGTTCTTCCCAGGTTCTATGAACCCAGCCTACCTGATTAGCGGTAGTTCAATAAATTTTGGAAACCCAGGAAAGTATTATTTCTGAGCCCTAATTAAATCATCTTTATGGAGCTGTTTGTGCACTTGATTGGCTATGTCTCAAAAATAGGCACCAGCAACATTTTCTGAAATACGAGATAGTGATGGTTCATAATCTGAATTTCCCTCCTTACATTGGGCTCTGGAATAAATTCCTATCAGGTAAGGCAGCTATGAAGCATTTGGGATTGAAATGCCCAAAGGGGCTTTGAAATATACTATCTGATCAACAGAATCCACCAAAGAGACAGATGAGAGTTGCAGATAAGACTTGCATTAATACCCAATCACTCCCAGCTTTTTGCCTTTGAATGCTGAGCATTGCATAGTCATAGCAAACCCATTAAGAATGTTTGTTTCACCTAATGAAAAAAAACACTGGTCCCTCTAACTAGTTTTTGATGGCCTACAAAGAGCAACTTAAATGTCTTTCGGGCAACTCATGAGAACTCTAGCCTGCTCCCTCTGGCCCCAGAGTTTGTGGATGGATCTCCAATTAATTTCTCTAATCCTCTGTGCTGTACAAAACCAGCTGTTGCCATGCTGGGGCAGCGGTTATACAATGACTCCAGTGTTGATTGTGTCAATTCCCTATTTGCAAACCTGCAAAGAAGCAAAAGAAAGGACAAAGCCACAAGTGGAGATTCAGTGAGGAAAGAAGGAAGACAAGAAGCATCTTACGGTTCAGGGTTATCGGCCAAGGAAGTCGAAGGAAGAAGAGTCAATAGCAGCAGCAGGGAGAGGCTGGGTACCCTCCAGATCCATCCCTTCCCCATGGTGGTTGGATGGCTGGTGGTGTGCAAAGCAAAGGCCTCTGACCATTCCTCCCACTGCTACTTATACTGACTATCTGCAAACAGAGAAGATAAGAAATGGGTTGGAACAGATTGCAACAGCCAATTCTGTTTGCATTACTTGATCTTTCCGGTTGCTGAGGAAAAAAGAATTAAATTGAGATAACTAAATTGCCAAATTCTTTTCCAGCGACTGCTCTGCCTTATCAGTGAAAGCTAGAGAAATTGGCTGAATAAGTTACCTTCCAACCAGCTCATATTTGCCTAGCAGCAACACTGCCCACTTTCTATGCCCACCTGACTAGCTGGCATCATGATTTTCTGACTGATTTTCAGCCTTAGAACTGATTTCTGTGCTTGCTTTGGAAACTTTAATCATAAGTGCCCTTTTTTCTGCAAAGTAAAGATTTCAAAAAGATTTACATGTCTTGTGTGCTTAATTAGCATTAGTGCACCGTGCCAAAAAAATCCCCAGTATTTCCTGGGACAACATCTTGGGTGCTGTGGGAAACCCCGCCCACCCCAGAGAATGAAATACTTTGGGGAATACTAAGAGGCAGAATATTATATTTCCCCAAAGGAAAAATGGAGAAACATGCTCTTAAAGGCAGAAAGCAGCCCTAATTTCCTGCATAGTAAAACAGCCTCCAGCAGATGCCTGAAATCTGTAGAGATGGGTATTTTGTGCCCATTAAGAAATCCAGGCCAGTCTATTCACAAACAAAAGACCTTCAGCCACAGCTCTCCCAGGCTGGGATTAAAATTTACATCCCACAAACAAGAACAGGACATGACATTTAGGACATAATAGGATTAACCCACCACCATTGAAATAGCAAGAGACACAAAAGCCCCTTCATTGCATAATCTCAAGAACAGCTCAAACATCAAAGTCATAGAAACCTATAAAGATCCAACCACTCATTCAACCATTTTGTCAGCTGTCCCAGAACATGCTGTGGTTGGTTCTGCTCATCAATAAACAGAGTCCTTCTTTCCAAATCAGCCTCCATTTTATTTCCAGCACTTTTCTCCTGACTTGAAACCGGACTGGATTTTTCTTCCAACAATGCTTTTAAAAAATCCATTTTACTAAGAAGATTTTGAGTGCCATAGTTGAAAAGGGATGCTGGAAAATTGGAGGAAGCATAAGAGGATCATCAAGATGGTGAAGGGTCTGGATATCAAGCCTTTATTTATGTGTTTGTTCATCAAATTTATATGGCCATCCATCTCACACACAGTGATTTTGGGAAGCATATAGAACTTATAATTAAAATATTTTACAAAACCAGTTTAAAACAATAAACATGTTCATTAATCAAACCCAGGAGAGGAAAAATATGAAGAACCGTGAAAGAGCCTGGGCATGCTTAGCTTGCAAGAGGGAAGATTAGAAGAAAGGTAAAGGAAACATGGTAGCAAGCATCTGAAGGTCCCACAGAGAAAGGAGTGGTTCTCTGTGCTGCTCTCAGCAACTTGGGGAGGATAAACCCAACCCTTCAAAGACTGGAAGTTGCTACCATATTTCTCCTCAGACCAGCTCTTCTTTGGGTTAAGCATGTCAGAATAACAAAATAACAGACTTGTGTAGGAAACGGGACCTCCCCAGATTAAAATATTCTTTATTCTTAATATTAAAAAGAAGCAGGATAGAATATTTCCATCAAAGAAGAGATGGAGGAAAATCTTCAAAAAGCAGCCCCAATCTTCTTGCCATAGGAAAACAGCCTCAAGCAGAAGCTTGAAGTGGCTGGTCTTTTGGAATGGAGATTTTGTACCGATTCAGAAAGACTGGGCCAATCTATTCATAAGCAAAGAAAATTCAAATAAACAACACAATTTGGCAAGCTACTAAATCTATCTCAGCATCTACTTCTATCCTACTATCACAGCACCATTGAGAGTGTCCTGACATACGGCATTCTTGCATGGTATGGGAGCAGCTCTGTAGCGGACAAAAAAGCTCTACAGAGAACCATTAAAACTGCCCAGAATATCATCGGATTCCAGCTACCAGCCCTGGACGACATCTTCAAATCTCGCTGTTTGGGAAAGTTGCATAACATTCTCCGAGACTCTTCCCATCCTGCTTACAATCTTTTTGGACTGTTGCCTTCTGGCAGAAGATACAGAACAATTAAAACTTGGACCACACGTTTTCTGAATAGTTTTTATCCCAGAGCTATAATTGCACTCAACAATGAACTAAAGGGCCACCATCAGTGAGCGGTTGGACAGTATTACTTGGTCTGTTGTGTGGATGTTTGGGTGGTTTAGGGGTGGAGAATTGCGGTGGGTGGGAGTGTGTTTGGGGATTGTTATGTGTGTTGGACCTGGTCTTTGGGTGTTAAGTTTGGGTATACTGTGTATACATGTACAATGACAATAAAGTTATTTATTTATTTATTTATTTACTTACTTACTTACTTACTTACTTACTTACTTACTTACTTACTTACTTACAGACCTCCTTTCCAAAATGAGACCTGCTTCCATTTTATTTTCAGCGTCTTTCTTCTTTTCTCCTGGCTTGGAATCAGACCAGATTTTTCTTCCAGCAGTTGGAAGGGACCTTGGAGTTCTTCTAGTCCAACCAGGCAACCTTAATCATTTCAGACATATGATTGTCCAATCTTTTCTTAAAAACCTCCAGTGTTGGAATCCTGTTCCTTTAACTGCTCTTCATAGGATTCAGTCTCCAAACATCCCCCTCAACATCATCTTCACCCATCTTTTCTAAACTCTTTCCAGTTCCTCCACACCTTTTTTCTATTGTGACAACCAGATCCAGACATAGGGTTGCAGGTACAGTCTGACAAGTTCAGAGAGAACAGAATGATCACTTCCTGTAATCTAATATAGTATCACTTGTTGATACTGTATTTCTATGGACGCAACCTAAAAGGGCATTAGCTCTTTTGGTAGTTCCAGCACCCTGATGGCTGTGGTCTATGGACTGTGGTTTCCTGGGCCCCATCAGCTGAAATTCCTTGGCCCACATGTTCCATAGCATTCTCCTTCTGTCAATGTGAATAAGGTGAGCCAATAGTATTGGGATGAGACAGTTCCTCAGATAACCTCCATCCACATGCCATAAAGAGCTTTATAAGTAATAACCAACACCTTGAATTGCACTAGGAAGCAAACTAGCAGCCAAAGCAGCTTCTGTAAGAGATGTTACATAGGCCACCCTAGGGCTCCCAGAATTGTCCATGCAGCCACATTCTAGGCCAACTCTACCTTCCAAATACTCTTCAAGCCCCATGTAGAGTGCATTGCAGTAGTCCAAATGAGAGATGACTAGGGCTTGAGTGACTGAGTGCAGGAAATTGCGAAGCAAGAAAAGGTGCAACTGGCACAGGAAAGGCTGTGCAAAGGCTCTCCTAACTATCACTGCCACCTAAAGGACTTCCTTCCAAAAAGAAAAAAAAATCCTCACAATATTTTTAAACTTCCTGCTGTGGAACGTGGTCACTCATGTGGTTAGGACGCTGGATTGACAATTTGCAAGCCCATGTTTGAGACCGGAATGCTGCTGTGTGACTGGATGAGCTCCCGTCTTTTGCTCCAGCTCCTGCCGACCTATTAGTTCAAAAGCATGCAAACATGAATAGATAAATAGGTACCATTTTGATGGGCTCATTAATGGGCACATGAAAGGAGCCCCCAACTGGGCATCCCCCAGGGAATGGTGATGTAACTGGCTAATCCTTTCATCACAGAAGCGCCTCAGTGCTTCTGTTGCATAGTATAACTTCTTGTTCTGCAGCCGTCAAGTCTCATTGGTCACCCTCGGAGTTAAGGAAGCTGTTTTTCTTTTCTTTTTTCTTTATGCTTTGAAAACAGTGACTAGCTTATGCTAGATCAAGGGGTTTGTCCAGGTCACCTGCTATATTTCGTTTCACAGTAAGCAAAGATCCTTAACCCATTTGGCTCCTATGCTCCATTCCCTCTACTTCATGAAAGGCTTATTTTTTCTGCATATGCACTGATGGAGCAATGAAAGGATGGACTTTGGGTTTTTGGTTTTTTTTTAAAGCCAGCTGAAATCAATAAGGCTAACCCCAACTGGCAGTTTCCCGACAGCACTTGTGTGCCAGCCAAAGAACTTGGGGACAATTTATTTTTTCAGACCTTGCACCTTCAGACCTGTTGCACGCAACTCTACCTTCTTCGATTAAAAAAACATTAAAAACTGGAGATTTGGGGGACAAGTTGTTAAGCAAATCATGCAGTTGTTAAATGAATCTACTTTTCCCCCATTGACTTTGCTTGTCGGAAGCCAGCTGGGAAGGTTACAAATGGTGATCATATGATCCCAGGACAATGCAACTGTCACGAATATGAGCCAAGCATCCGAAATTTGATCATATGACCATGGGGATGCTACAACGGTCGTAAGTGTGAAAAATGGTCATGTCACTCTTTTCAGTGCCATTGTAACCTCGAACAGTCACTAAATGAAATGTTATAAATCAAGGATTACCTGTAAAGAGATTACACAGTCAGAAAAAGAGAAAAAGAGAGGAAAAAATATATTGGAAATAGCAGTATAAATATATTTGAGAAGGTCCCACTCTCTTTGTACACATTTTCAAGTCTTTCTTCTGGATTTTTTAAAAGTGCCTGCAGATGCCTGGGCACTCTGTGTGTGTGTGTATGTGTGTGTGCCAGATTTTTTTTATAAAACAAAGTCTATCTTCTTTTTTTTAAAAAAAACTTTCTTTGCTGTCACTTCACTGACTTTCCTCATTTCAATCTTACTGTCAACATTCCGACTAATGAACCCAACCAAAGCAAGCACGACTGAGACAATCCAATCTCTGAATTCAAAATTTCATTCATTTTGAGTACATCATTTGGCACTGATTAAGGCAAAACCAGTTCTAGCTAATTCCCACGCAAACCCACATAACTAAAGTATAGGATTCTCCCTCCTCCCATTAGTGCAGGTTACATTGTCCAATTGAGTCTCATTGCATTGTTGTGAGAAAAAAGTCTTTGGC